CTCTAAGGAAATCGAGGACAAATTATTTTCTTAGTTTGTACTTATTGTGTCTAATAACATACAAAATTCTCATCTCAAAGCTATTTAGACCGAAAACGACGATGAGTGAAAATGTCTATTCATGGCGGGGCTCGCCATCGTGGAAAGAGTAGGAGTCGATAAACCTCTTATAGCATAATGACAGATCCATAATGTCCTCAGGGTATATAAATTCTGTATCCTTGCCGTAACATAATCGGGTGGTTTTTTTCCGCTTGTGGGGATTCGAAGTCAGGACCGCAAGCACGAACCTGTATATAATGTACAGAGAATTTCTCAATCCCAGATCCCAGTGTTTTGTGAGCAAACATGTGCTCACTCATCGTGGAACATTGAGTATTGTCGTAGCATGAGTCAAGATAAAAATTAAACGGTGATTTATGATAGGAAATGCATTGTTGATGTGTTTTCGACACATGAATTAACTCTAACAATTGGTGGAAAAATTAAGTAAAATCTTGCCGTTTTTGAACCTCTGGTACGTCATTTTCACAGCAATAACTTATATCAAAAAAAACAAATACAAAAAAAATTGGACTTGGCTCTAACTTGAATCGTGCTACGATAATACGTGAGGAACATTACCCTTGGTCTTGCATTTGCTTTGTTTCTGTACTATAGTACAACTGAATTACAGTTTAATCTCTTGAAGAAGTGGTATGGAAAATTATAAATTTGCACAGGGAAATAAATTATGGTACCTCAGAAAAAGTTTTCACAACCCTAATTACGGACATTTTTTTTTCAGGATGTTTTGTTCGGTTTGCGGTGCTGCAAATATTGTAACAGCCTCTTTATTTTGTGGTTCACGTGGTGCTCGGTACTCCTCTGCAGCTGGACCCAGTACATCTTATGTTAGTGGCTCTAATAGTTTGACATTTGAAGAGTTTGTGAAACAAAGAGCAAATGCTGGAGACCAAACCTTTTTTAACTGTGCTGTGAAAAAGGCAGAGAAAGAAAAGCAAGTGGAGAAGAAACTAGGCGGAAAAAAGAAGACTAAGGGTCGTGATCAACTAGTGCAGGTATGATCATACAGCAATGACTCGAAATGACTTTTTTAACCTGTAATTTGTAGAGATATCATTTATTTAGCAGAGACATTATTTATTAAGTGAAGTTATGCAGGCAACTGCAAACACTGGTGTGATTTCCAAATGCATGTAGCAATAAAGCCCTGTTTTGGTTACATTATTTTATCAGCTTTGTTAGAACTTCCTTGGAAAGAAGCTCTGAGAGTATTATAATTTTGGTAATGGTGAGCTTAAGCAGAGAACGGGTTCATCCTTGCCAATAGAAGTCAAGAGTAATGTGTCAGACATTACCCTGAAAAGAGTTGCCTTGGATAAACATCTGGCATTCAATAAACAGCTTCCAAGGGATCATGAATTTGTTTTGTTATATCCAGACTTTTAGCAAGTGAAATACATACCCGGAACAAAGCAACCCTTTACTCTCCAACATTACAAAAAATATCTAGGAAAACCCTATCAAAGAATAGTACTGTATCTTTGTGCTGAGGAGGATTTTTCAGGTATGTGTATTGTACATGCAGTATTTGTCAGCTGAAACAGTTATTCTGCATTATGGAAGTACTAGAGTATAAAACAAAGTGAAAAAAATTAAAGTGGTTTGACAACTAAGACAAATGGGAAAAGCAGATGCATTTCTAAATGAAACTTGCAAAGCATGTAATAATGCGTGTATAGTTCTCAGGATTCACAGGCCATAAAAGTGTTTTGCTATAAAAACCTAGTTAAAAAGCAAAAAAGTCATGGACAATTCTCTCGAGTGCTGTGATGGTAAAATGTAGAAGTCAGTGAAGTTGGTTCTGTTTTTCAGTCAAGTCAAAGTCCAGCATGAGTTGTTTATCCAGTTAAAAGAAAAAGAAAAATGCGAAGTTAAGTGATGTCTTTTCTTTCATGTTATTGTTGAAAAGCACCTGTCTCTAATTAGAGTAATTAGACTTTAAAAATACCAGACGTAATTTACAGCTCATAGACAGACGGGAAGCATTAAGTGATGCAACTTTCACAGAATGATTGTCATCTTCTTTAAGCTGTGACTGTAAGCAGCGCCCAGAATATGTTGCACATTGTTGAAGGGAAGTCCTAGCCCTTCTTAAACCTACATTCCCCTCGATGGCCTCTCTGAATGCCATATATGATGAGATGTTACCAAGTAACACAAAGGTAATCGAGAAGCTCAAAGCTGTTGTAAACAATGACCAAGAAAGGGATTCTCTGAAACACCTCAAGAGGTATATCAGAGGTTTGGATTAAGAAATACAAGCCAAGTTCTTACGTTTTGTTAGTGAGTCTGAATTAATGTTATTTCCAGAGATTCTCGTAACATTTACACAACTTGAGGGTATTGCTCGAAGGCCCATTGCACACACATGCAATTATATTTTGGAGATATCATCAACATACCAATCCTTCCCTGAGTTAAGGGAGGAATTCAACGGCATCCTTGCTGTGGATAACTGGGAGATTGATATCGTCTGAGCATGAAAAAATGTGGTTTTTGGTGGTATTCAATGATGACACTCGGCAGAAACAAGCGATGTCTCAAGGAGATAAAAAGCTCCATGAGTCAGTTGTTATCCTTGTGCCAGTTGAAGTAATTTACATGAAAACGACCAAGAAAGGCCGAGAATGTTGAACAGTGAAACGGATCGGAAGTAACGACGTGAAGAGTAAATTTGGCTGAAAATTTCAAGATGTGTATAACACTAAGCAGCTCCTATAACAGTATCAAATATCATGAATTGAAATTCGACCTCAGTTAAATTCAGCCCAAAGTTTTCAGCAGGGAGTGGAAATTCTGTTATCATGGACCGACACTAAGGGAAAAACAGATTCTTTGAAGTGGTATCACCCGCTCTCTTGTTTCCAAACTCCATCCATTGCGCACATGCCTCAGTTTCACAGTTAACTATTTAGTAGCCAGTTTGGCAGCCGAAGCTAAAAGAATAAGAAAAAGAAAAGAATTGAAGCTTGGTAGACGCCAATCATGTTTATTTTGTTTTGCCGCCTGAAAAATAAAAAATAAAATCGTTACATCGGTTGACTCAGATAAAATCAGCCCATGGATCTTTGTTTTATTTCTGCTACATGCAGTTTTGTAATATTGAAAATATACTTCAAGTAATGGCTTTTGAGTTTTCTTTCACTTAAGTTGTTCAATGCAGTTTATGTTTGTACTCTGGTTGTGTTCGAAGCGACTCTTTCGTTCGCATGGTGGATTCATCAGGGTAATTTTATAATCCTGCTATTCACATGGAATTACGCCCTTTCGAAGAGATCAAGCTAAGATACTTCATCCTGAAAAAAAAAGGCAATTTTCATTTCGGTGTCGAAAGATTATCTGGGATTTCTAGGGTCGTTTCATAGTTCGCCATGTCATTGGCCTTGAAAACTCGCACCCCCCAACCCTGCCCCCCTCTTTCTCTTTCTCCTAGTTGACCTTGTGTTTGTAGCTCTCGCGCCCCTCAAGAAGAGCACGACTGCTAACTGAGATGATAACATTCCAACCCGTAACTGGAGTCCATTTAATCCATGGTATCAAAGTCCTGTACTGTACACTACGACTTGGAGTTCACAGACCCAGTTGACCCTTTTAAGCCACTTTCAGGGTTAGCGCAATCTACAATCAGGAATCCCTCAATCCAGGGTATCTATGGTATCAAAGTCCTGTACTGTACCCTAAAATTTAACTGCCATAGAGTTTGCGAAAAATATAGCCCAGATAAGTGCCAAGTTTTGGGTTTAATCAATCTATGGCATCAAGGCTCTGCAATGTGCAATGTCATTTAAATACCACACACTGGGTTGATACAGGGTAGGGCTGTCTAAGGTAATTTACGTTTTGAGTTAATTCAATGTATTACATCCTTGTCTTGCATTAAGATGCCTTAAATGCAGTTGACACGGGATATTAGCTATGTCTTATGTGCTACTTCTTTCGCGAGAGCAAAAGATGATCTCGCATTCCATGTTTCCGTGAACTAAATCTATTATGCGAGGGTCGCACGCAAAAAAGCAAGCGAACAAACGATTCGAAATGAGTCAGCCCCTGCAGCCTGTACACTAATACGACCACGGACCTCAGAACCCAGAAAACGAATCATGAAGAAGAACTCAAGTAACCGAACCAAGCTTGTTACACCACTACATAAAGATGTGTTGAAAACGGAAAAAAGCCGGTACGTTCCCTAAAGAGAGGGGAGACGTACTTTCATTCAATAATATAAAGACGTACCACTTTTTACGTTTACTTGGCTTCCACATCTCATTGACATCATAACCCTTCATACTAGGCGAGCACACACAAACGTTAAAGACTGTCTGAACAGTTTACGAATAAGAAACATCACCCTCAGAGCATTAGTCACTTTGGGAATAATTTGCGTTACCTCCAACTCTTCGATTGCGTATGCTTGGTATGCAGGGAAATTAACTAAAAGCGAAAGGGGCAGTGAATTTAATGACCTAGATTTGATTAATAAACACTATAAGGAAAGAAATCGCCCAGTTTTGCAGTCTCATTTCCCGTTCATACATCGGACCATTCTCACGGCCACGATAGTCTACCGTGGTGGTTGCCGTTCCACCCTTTCTCGACTCATTCTTAAGCTGTAATACTACGCATAACAAGCTATTAATACACGGTAGAGTAAGAGCACAATTAAAAACACGGTAAAGTGAGACCAAAATTCTAGACTAGGAAGCAAGGAAGATATTTCTGTGGCCCCATTGCTATAAAACAAACCCACCATTAACGTAGACACGATAAGTAACGATTTTCTTATTCAGAAAATTCAGTAACCTCCCAGCCTCTAGGGAGTTCTGTATTTTTCACAAATACTCTTGAAGAGTTCATCGCAGCTTTTTCTATGAGCTGTAAATGAACATTTATTTGTCATAAATTTTGATTAAAAAAAAAACCATCAAAAACTTTCTCATAACAAATATAGTAATTTACTTTGGTTATTTAGTTAATCTCTAATTTGAAAAATATACTGAAATTTGTTCCTCTAGATTTACTTCACAAAGAAAACAGTTGGAGGAAGACCACTTGTAACAGTTTGTTTTTTAGCTTACACCCACAATCTTCAGGTCTTAAAAAGCAAAACAACTTTATTTGAGTTAACTTAAAAAATCAACTGACGTCTTAGTGAAGCGTCCTCGTGAAAAAAGCACTTGAAAAAGATACTACGAGAATTCATTCCGTCAATTCCAACTTTTTCTGCCCCTAAAGTATTTTTTAGCTTCATGCAAGTTCTTTTTCTGTGAGGGTTCGGGCGCCGACCTCTTTGGTGGTGGGCTAACTTCCCTGGTTGCTCTTCCTCTTAGAGCGCTGACATCCGGAGTCATTGCATGCGCTGATCGTTTACGAACTCCTCTGTTAGAGTTCTTAAACAGATCAGGTGGGGCTTCAATGACTTGAGGACGCAGCGCAGGAGGATGCCGTTGCCGCACTCCCTCTGCTACTTGTTCAACGCTTCGCACAGAGGTACGTTTTTCATCGAGAGAGAGAGTACGGCTAAGGCCGGATGAATTTAAAGGGTTTGACAATCGTGATGTTCCTGGCACCATTGAAAGAGTAAAAGGGCCATTTGAAAGCCCTGACGCACTAGGGAAAGATAACGCGTTTGAAGCTTTAGCTGTAGACCCTTGAGGTCTTTTTGAATGACCGTTACTTTCTGATCCAATTTTCAAGGACGAAGGTTCAGAGCTTTGCCTCAACGTTGAAGGTTTTGATGACCATGACGTATTGGAACGAGATGATGAACCACTGGCCGTGCCAAGTTCCTTGTGGACATATGCGTTGTCTAGCGGAATTGATGAAGTCGAGAGCAAGGGAGATGCACTGGAAGGCCTAGATGATACCAAAGAGAACCCAGAGGACGTGGGTTGCGAGACACTTAATGACTCAGTTAGAGCCTGGTCGACGGGCGACCCAGTATCAACTGGTGACCACACACGCTGGGCCGGTGAAGACCTTGCAGTTGCTTCTTTTTCTTGTCGATACAGCTTGCAAAAATAACCCCTTTTATGTGACCTATTATTTTGGATGACATTATGCAGCATAGGATTGGGCGTGTCAATTTCAAGTGAGTTATACGAATCAATTTCCCCGGAATCAGAATTTGAATCCATGAACGTAAAAGTAGAGGCGGTTTCAACAAAATCAGTAGCTCTAACATCTGGCTTATTATCACTTTTTTTCGGTTTCATCTGCTTTCCATGTACACTACCTTCAGAGGAATGACGGGGCGATTGCTTCTCGATGGCAATGTTTCGAGAAACATTATTTATCCCTTTACAAGATGGGCCCTTAAAATTCGCTTTGTCCTCGTTTGAAACTCCATTTTCAACTGACGGACTTTTAGTGGAATGTGATCGATATGCGACTTTGTCATCATCTGATTTCTTTGGGCTTCGCCCTTCTGATCTTTTCTGGTATGCATTCCCTTCCCGATGCAATGATTGACGTGAAGAATGCTTTGACTCCTTTTCGACTGACTGATTTCCCACATGATCTTCAGATCTGGGGAGTTGTTTACAATCCTTAGTAGATAATTGTTGATGACGATTTCTGGAGTGAGTTCTTTCCTCACCACCATTCCCTTCCCTACTCATGCTCTTAGGATTGACAATTTCACTTCTTGTAGAATGACTGTTCAAGGATGGCTCACTTCTAGTGGAGTTCGCATTAATGCCAGTTGCCTCTCGGAGTTTGGTTTCTGAAGAGTTAACCGATTTTTCCGCCTGACGCCTCCCATTTCTTTGACCCGGTGCTTCCATCCCACCACTAAATTCTTGTTGCCTACCAGACACGTTCCCAGGCGCATGCTCAGGGTCCACTGCCATATCACTAATGCTGGAACGGTGGTAACCAATCCTTCTCAAAGACGGGTTAGGCTTCTTAGCCCGTGGGTCTTTGGCAGGTGAATGATCTATCTTGACTGATTCAATGGAAAGAATCGACTGTACCTCTGATGAAGATTTAACTGGAAAGAAACATCCTCTCTTTTCCGCATTTTCTATCAAAGCTCTCCAATCTGGGGATCCTCCCTGATAAAATACGAAGGAAGGACGTAGCAGTTATTACTAAAGTTGTTTTTGGAATCAGAGAATGCCGGCTATGAGGATAAAACAATAATTGCGTATATTTTCCCACCTTCAGAGTTTCCATATGACCAAAAACATACAGGGCATGTCGAGCCCTTGTTAAGGCTACATTCATTCGTTGTCTGTCGGTAAGAAATCTGCGAAAGAGAAGCATAATAAATCGGGCAGGAACGTCAACTAGCATCCTTCCAACATGCAGCAATTCGACGTTTTTAGAAAGACACGACATAGTCAGCCAATGGAACTTATATTAATCAAATGACACTGTATGAGTCACAAGTTTAATGGGCCCAAAATCTATAGGCTTACACAAAGTGTTGTAATGGCCGACTAGGAAAGGTTTTCAGGTAATGATAACCGTAAACAAACGCACCCTATGGAACCACGACACAGCTGCGCTCGAACACAACTTAAAATGATGACATCCTTCTCTCTTCCCTGGAAATGGAAAAAAAAAAGCAACAGTGTACTTCACATTCTACAGGAGCTGTATAGAGTGGAATGCAGGAGCAATTTCAATGGTCGAAGAGTTTCAACAAACCTGAAAGCCATCCACAGTGTTGACCTCAATCGCAGCACTTCTTGTAGAAAGATCCCTGCAAAACATGGACAACAGGGTTTCTACAAAATGGATAAGCATAAGCAAATGCCTCTTGTAGAATCTTAAGTTTTGAGCCAAAGCTCTCAGCAGAAGTCTGTGGGCTAGCTGTGTCTTCAAGATAGCCAAATCATGATTACAATGTTTCGCCAAATAGAATACCGACTTTAGATAAGAGAAAACTGCTTTTTAAGTAAAGCAAGTCGAAGACACTCTAACCAAATGGTAACTCCCCTAGGATACGGATCAAAAGGTTAATGAGCAGTTAGAGTTGCGCGCAGTTGCTACATATAAAACTAATTCAAGCCACAGCTAAAACAACTGTGGTTCAGGACTATTCCTTTCTTGCCTTTTGTCACAAACAATTTCAATTCCGTTGAAGCAACGTCTTGCTTCACTTCAGCTAAAGTAAGGGGTTATACCATCTAACCGATGTTCACCAATGAAGACTTAACATACACATTATTCACCTAAGTCTCCCTTGGATCTCCACTTTCTGTTTCCGATATGGTGTGATAATGCCAATGCTTTCAGAGTTTAAAATATTTGTCAAATCGTAGCACAAATTTACAATGATATCAGCCTCGACGGGATTCCACAAAGCGCTGAAAAAAAGGGGACTCAGAACAATCAGTGGACTATACTACTTTAATACTGTACCCTAATCTAAGTTCGTTCCCTAATGCCTAATCGGTTACTGTACCATTTATTAGAATAAAGATTATTTAGATAACATAATACATAGATGTATGACACAACAAGATGATACTACATATGTAAATAAATTGTACCCTATGAAAACTGCTCTAGATTGATGCGTTAAATTAAGCAAAAAATAGTTTAGGCAAGGCTAAAACCAAGACAATGCAGCGCTTTCATCGATATAGAGTTGGACACTCCCAGGAGGCCTGCAGGAAAAAGCGATGCGCTGTCGCTCAATTTGCATTGCTACTGTGTATCCTATCCCTTTTTCCCTTGCACACTTAGGGTAACTAATTATTCCCCTCATCAGTATGACGGTGTTGTGTTAACAACACCTGGAAGTGAGCTGTGGCTCGGTTGCCATCGTGACCTTCTTGCCGCTGAGAAACTGCCTTCCTTTACCATTACCTTTGCAACATCTATCCTACTATCCCATCTAAGACTATTGACTAAGAGTTTTAACTGAAAACATCGAAAGCAAAATTAAAGCTCGTGATGGCGCTTTTGTGATATTGCTATATTTAGCAGTCGAATTCTGATTTGTGATATCCTTAGTTTCTCGAAACACACGAGAATTCGAACCAAAGAGGTTTGAACACTTAAATTAAAACAATTTAGTGATTAGGACGATCTATGTACAATTAATATTTGCTAGTTTGCTGATTTGTGATATCCTTAGTTTCACTCACAAGAATTCAAACCAAAAAGATTTAAACACTTAAAATAAACAATTAAAGTGGTTGAAACGACTCATATACAATAATTGTTTGCAAGTTTGCTGATTGTTAATATCCTTAGTTTCTCGAAACTCACAAGAATTCGAACCAAAAAGGTTTCAGCACTAAGTTAACACATTTTAAGTTGTTGAGAAAATCTAAGTACAATAGATGTTGCTAGCTGGCAAGGCTTCTAAAGATAACATCAACATTGCTTCACCATCCATCTTGCCAAAATGGTTTCATTTGCTCACCCTCTATCCTGGCATATCTCCCTTCCATTAACAACGTCAAAGAGTGCATAGTGCTTCACCAGAGGAAACTGTCTCTGTTCTACTGATCTAGAGTGCAAAATACGCACATTCAAGACAGATATTACAAGTGTTTGTTTCGAACTTATGAAAAAGCAGATGATCCCAGATATGAACCTAACGACGACTTTATCTTATTCCTTTCTTGAGCCATTGGAACAGGGGGTCATTCAGAGAAAGTCTGTCTGTCCGTCAAACTTGTTTTGGAGTCACGCATAAGCAATTCATCACAACGTGGACCTAGCAGCGACCTATCCTCATCACCCTGTCACTTTGTCCGTCCGTCCGTTCATGAGTAAATAAGTCAGTCAGTCAATTAGCGACATGGGACACCGATGGGTCAAATGAGAGCAAAGAAAGAAAGGTGAATGCTCAAAAATGAAACGATAATAAAGAACAACAGAGCACTTCTATATAAAATTGAGAAACAATATCAAACCTGTGGCTTCTCAGGAAGTTATTGTACACATGTGAAGAAGGGAAAGCCGCAATCTCTGGATGCATCCGGTACTGTTCTTCCAACATCAGTACTGGCTTCTCCATTTCTACAAACATCAACAAACGTTGAAGGGGCAACATGAGAAACAAGGCCATCTAATTTAGACTATTCGTTCAGGAGTCAGATGTAAGGAAGACTAGCGGGTAAAATGAAGATACTTTCTCGTAATACGCACTGCACTGGTGGACAGTATTGCTTGAAACATGCTGGGCTAAAAGAATCAATGGAGTTGCAAATATATACTGCCTCGACCCTATTCATGCCAGTTTATCACCTTTGGAGGTTTTATAAGGATAAAAGATAAAACAAATCGAATAGTGAATGCTTGGTTTCATGAGGATAGAATATATAATACATCGAATGGTGAAGGCTTGCAGAAGTGTGAGAAAGCAGGCAAATTAAGAGTGCTTAGAGAGGTAGAAATCGCTTAAAATTGCACGTTTACAGCTCTACGTAACTTGCATACTAGTTGTTAGTCAAACCTCTCTTTAAAATATCAAAGCACATGCATATAAGTCTTTGTAAACTTAAGTGACAATACAGCTAGTCCTGAATTGGAATATTGATTAGTTTGCATAAGGCTACTACACAATGGTAAGATTCTGCTTGGAATTCGATACAGAGGCATCATTACTGATTCAGAAGCTCACAGGCTGAATTTGGAGGGAATCATCAGGTCATACCACAGGTTTTGGGAACCCAAAAGGAGGGTGCTTGTTCATTACAATGTGTTATAATTCTATTTCATGTTTACAGCGCTACGTTTTAAACACTTCCCAAGGACACAAACGGTACACTCGTGCCGATGCCCTGTAAGTCCATTAAACGCTATCACACTTGATAGGTTCAATAAGAAGAGAAATATGAGTAAAGGAAACGAACATTTACTGTTTAGATAGCATCGCCCTTGCAGAAACAGTTAAGAGCGGCATTTGAAGACACAAGGACAATGCAGAGTTTTAGCGAAACGTAAAGCACTGGGTTACCTTTGGATATAGCGTGTGGTACTGACTTCTGCAGCAGAGCACTACTCCTTGGAGGCTTTACTAAATTTTGTAGCCCAGTGCAACTTACGTTAACACCTACTAGTACTTAACAAGGAAATGGGAATATTTTTCATAGTCTGTTGCTTTCACTGGAATCGTGCCACCTCATAACAACACACCACTAGAATTCTAGTCCAAGATAAATGATTAGCGTCACGCCCATAATCCCAGTTTAATGAAGAAAAAAGTGTTTGTGCGGTATATGCAGCTATTTCCTTCTTAATAACCGAACTCTTCTACGAGAGATGCAAAGACAAACGAGAGCAAGGCCTGGTAAAGTGGGATAAGTAAAAGAAGCCCACTTCCAAGTGTTAGAGATGTGAAAACAAGAAGAAATAATAAGGAATGAGATACTGAAGGTTTCGCCCCTAATTCCTTTTTGCATCGCCCGAGTTGCCCCAGTAACTTGACTATGAAAATGGCAAAATCATAGCTTGAAACCGGCAGACAATCGCCCTCAAAGTCAAGCTTAGTTACAAATTGAGAGTTTTGGGACCAGCCTGATAAATTGGCCACGTTCTGAACTAATTTTTTATTTTTCTTTCACTGATGCCTAGTGTGAAAGCGATATGATGGCTTGTTGACAGTGTAGATGATAAGAGAGCGTATACTTGTATTCGTCGACCCTTCTTTACTCTTCACAGTTACATCATTATCCAGCAGCTCGTCCGGATCTAGCACTTGAGTTCAAATTGAAGACACCCGGGAGGATTTTGATACTTTTGGGATTTTCTGGCGCAAGAATTGTCTAGTAACCCGGTACCTTGTCCGCTTGTCAGTCCATGTTGCGGGCTTAGATGATGCAGTGAATTGAGTTTAATAAAGAAGGGGCGAGTTCAAACGAGGCAAACAGGATCCAAGGATTGTTATGGTTAGGAAATTGAATAATCTCCTACCACTAGAGAAAGAGACAGAGAGAAAAGATATCTTAGGGGGAGAGACGTTTCCAACCGAAAGGACTGAAATTGTTTCTCAGTCCTACACCGGATGGGTGCACCAGAGTCTGGTTCACTTATCATTAGGGAGCTGTCTTTCCCACTTCTTCATTTCAACGTGAATAAAACGAGTAATGACTAAATTGGGTGATTCCGATATCCACCCTAGAAAAGTTAGGAGAGAAGTGATTTTCAAACGTTATATCCCTGATATTCATCCAGAACACTCCCCAAACGATACCGCCCACTTATCCCCAACTTGAACGTGCTTTATCGCTTTGACCATTACTTTTAAGATTTTTAAAACAATATAACAAACCTAAGCAGCACGTCTCCCTTACCCCCCCCCATTCATGGTTCCCTATCTTTTGCGACTATCTCTGTGTACCCACCCCTTCTGTCAAAATTTCTTGCCAGCCCCTTTCACCTTCTATACATAAATTGAGCAGCCATCTCACATGACGAGATGCACCAAATTAACAAACTATACAACTCACGCTTTTTTTAATATGAGCGTGTTGATGTTTGGATTCCAAATACCACGACCAATCCTTGCCGTTTTTCCTTAATATGGATATGTAGACACTTTAAACCCTTTTCCCGATGATTTTGTATTCCTTAAACAATAGCTTCCTTGTACAGAGTTTCGTATCTTTTCTTGTTTGTTAATGTATCAGCACGATTGTCCACAACGTCTTTTAAAATATGCTCTTGTCCACCTCTTGCTTCTGTGTATCCCTGAGATAGAGCCCATTCTCCGTTGATCTCGACGCACAAAGAAAAATTCCAAGAGCAAAGAAATATCCCCATACATTCAACAATCCCGCGCTGCTGAGCTTTTTTTCAATCGCAATTCAAACTATCCGAAAAACGTGAAAATATCACGATTGAAAACCATATGACAACTACAGGAGAGTTGCCACGATCGCGGTCGTTGCTGATACCTTTCGAAGGTACTGTGAAACATCTTTGTAGCACACTGCCCCAAAAGCTTGAGATCTTGACTAGTAAAATCATGACAAGGGGTTACCCTGCCGGGCAACAGCATCAGTATTATAAAATTTCTTTCTTGTCAACGTAGAAGAGATGAAAGATTCCCAACAATCATTAGACTATTTCCCATAAGCCTGTTTGCTTTGCTTCATTTTCAAGATAAATATCCTCCATTTTGGACTCTATCGTAGACCTGTTACGTATCACGAGAAGACGTGAAACTTCGCTTCTTTAAACGGCTCACCACCATGATGATAGACTTTTCAAAATTCAAAAAAATTACAGCTGATGGTAAATAGCGATGTTCTTTTGATTATCAGACAAGAACATCTTAAACAGTTATTCCACTGCTATTTGTCAATTTCCCCACTTTTTAAGCGCAAAGATACAAACGTGGTGCAGGTATTTAAATACGCTCCTCTTGTAAATCCCTGTGTTACTGAAACCTTCCCCAGTTATTACCTCAACATTTGACCCAGAGTTTTACAGCCCCAAATGTGAAAATTTATCAAGCGGTCTGCTGTATAAAGGCTACATTGTTTTAATGGTCGGGTCTGTTTTTCATGCTCAGTAAAGCCCAATGGGGCTGGACATTGTGCTCGTATAAAAGCCACATACATTGTGTACAAAAAGGGCAATAATTATCAAGTAATATGAATCGAGTCATACAATTACATTTTAAAAATGTGCCTTTTCTTACTTAAGACCACACGCAAATCACAAGTTATAGAGGAAGATGATACGAAAGCCTATAGGTGAACTTACCTTCTTTATGATATCTGAAGAATCTGTAAAGTCTTTCAAACATGGATCTTGCAAATAACTTCTCCTTTGCTCTCTAAGAACGTTAGGAGAAGATAAGGTTATCACTAGGAGAAGGAAAGGTTATCACGTTTTCGTCTGGCTTCAAAACGTTCTTTAAAATTGAAGCTCATCCCATTCTTATTCAAATTATGGATATGCTATGCTTGGCGGAAGCGCCAGAAACAAATCAGGAAAAAACAAAATTAACATGTGCCAGAGGTCAATCACTAACTGAGAGCACGAATGAGTTGCCTCCAATAATATGTAAAACAGGAATAATCGTAACAAAAGTCGGTTTGTTGGTATGACCAAAAAAGATGGATCGCAAAACCATAAAGGAGAATAAGACTGGAAAACTAGGGGATCGTTGACTGAAGCTAAACAAATCCGTTTAAGGAAGGCACAAAAGAAAGGAAGTAGTAAAGATTTGTCAACTTTTTTTTGACATACCCCAGACAGTACAGTGCAAGGCAACTGCTCAGGATCGCCGACAAGAACCACTTTAGACGCCTGGAAGCAGAGTGGTATCAGTAAATCCAGTTCATTGGACTGACAGGCCTGTAAAAAGTTACATCACTCACTTCACTGTATGTTTTTAGAGGAATTGATTAAATTGAGTGTTAGTCGAGAGTGCTTTGGTTCTGTTTTAACTTCGGTTTAACAAATCAACAATAGTTTAGCGTGGTCTGTACTCTAATCGACAACGATATTCATCATAACAGTGGTCACAATATTGTGAACTCAAGAGGCACAGTAATGGCAATAATTTCGCGATCTAATTGTTGCCTCGAGTTTTCACCCCCTCCTTTTAAAAGTATCTCCTGTTGTAACAGATAATTTCCATCGTTTTTTTATTTTTTATAGTGCGGCACTCAGTCGAAAATCGCTCAACCATAGAAATACCAACTGAGTACATGAAAGACTAGATTTAAGTTTCAAAACCAAAATGTTTTATCTAGAGCTTAAAAAAAAGCAACGTCATATTCAGCACCATTTTGGTCATGAAATATTTGAAAATGAAATCTTATCCCATAGACGTAAGATAAAGTATCTCTCTTGGAGTTATCTTACCTCATCCACAATAACGCAGGTGAAATGGGGATAGATACGCCTGCAAAAGGGGAGAAACATTAAATATAAATATAAAAACTAACAAGTAATCTTGTGACCGTTGAAGCAGATCAGTCCTAACCGTCCTTCCAGGTCCTGCTTTAAGCTGGTGCTACCAGCCCCACTGAGAGTTGTACAGATAATATCAGCACGATAGAGGATCTCCTTTCTTATACTTGATTCTTTTCTACGTTTGTTAGCTTGCTCTGCCCTCTGTTCCCGGAATTTCTTTTGCAGGGTTCGTACTGCGTCCATAAGATTTAACTTTTCCTTTTCCAATTTCTCCAGTTGCTGCTCGCAAATCAATAAAAAGAAAGGAAATAAGTTTAGAAGTTTAAATACCTCTCTATGATTTCTACCAGTTCTCAATTAATGCTGATAGTGATATAAACTGGGTTTTAGCTTTCCACCTTTTCTACAATACAACAACAAGTACAACAACAAACCAACGAAAACAAACAAATAAACAAAAACACAACACAAGGCTGAGTTGTGTACTTCGTGTGATGTGTGAGGTGAACTTTTTAACTTCGTTATCTTGCGTTCCAATTTCTTCTCTCTATCGTCAATGACTGCCAGACTTTCCTTGGTTTTGTTTAATCTGTCCTCCGTTTCGGAAGATGACTGATCGACCACGAGCTTTGTCATACTGTCTAATGAGAACTTCAAAACCCCCGGGTGGATATATGATTTACGGCCCACTCGCACCAGACACAAATCTCCACAGTTGTTAGAGATTGCTTGAAAAGAGAAAACGAAAATAATATTCAAATGCCTCAATAAGTCGCGTCGTACAGAAAAGTACATCATGTTGAATACCTCTACGGCTGCCACAATAAAAGAATGACGCTTAAGATATATACACGGATCAAACCGGCTTCTTCTTGCATATGCTCCTCTTTATGCGTCTTCCTTCAAATGTCAACATATTCAATTGCTACTACGGTAACTGGTTTGAACCCAAGAGTAAAATTAGTCGCATTCCTCAATTCTATCGATACCATCCAAAACTTTTGCACGAAAACTTGGAAAGCAAGCACCTCGATCGTAATCAACTGCATTAAATGTGCAAGGTAAGAGACAAGACAAACAAACAAAGGGCAAGTGATTTACATCAGAAAGCTTACTTTTGTAGCTGAAGTAACCTTCACATTTCACTAACCTCTCTTGACATCATCTTGACGGTTACATCGCCTGTTTTTCTCCTTATCGTGACGATTTTGAAGTCGAATCTGAACTTTTGCAAACCGACCAATCAACTCGTCAATGGCAGCATTAGATGGGGCACACAAGAGAATTCTCACTTTGTTTCGAACACTTCCATTTGATGAGGTAGCTGTGGTCTGTCCTGGAAATTCTTGACCCCGCTACGAAAAAAAAAACAAACAAAGCTCATGTGGCTCACAGAAGTTCAAAATTTAGGGCGGCGCAGCTCGGTACCATAACGTTTAACGTGTAAAACACAGTTCAAAAGTCGAGTCTTACTTCATTTTTGCCTGTTTTCACATAAAGAGCAATAAGGTAATGACAAGTTGTTGTAGGTAAGAATAGACGTGGAACTCCAGACGTTAGGCAAAAAACTTACATTAAGTATCTCCTTGACAAGACCCACAATCGTGTACGATTTTCCTGTCCCCGGAGGGCCTTGAACGAGACAAATGCGTGGTATAGGATAGGGATTATGGACAGCATTGGCCGCAGTTGAGATGACCCTTTCTTGTGATTCGTTGTATTCCTTGTAAAGATGAATAGTTCATTCAAGGTAAGCATTAAGATGTTTCACGATTAATATAATATCAATCCTTGCCATTTTTTTCCTATGTAGATGGCGGAGATGGTTTAGCAATTTTGCACAGTGGCAATTGAACTACCTTTGTTTGTCTTTTTCTTGCCAACATGAAGAATTCATTAGGAAAGTGATCTACCGGCACCAAAAAAAAAAACCAAAACAAACAAAAAAGTGAAAAATAGGGTGATCGTGCAACCAATTGCTATGTTCTCAGACCAAATTAGAAAAGTGGCTATCACCGTTCATTACACAGCGTGGCATACACTTGTTAAGAGTGCTACATATCAGTAAGGATGCGCGATGAAAAATTGGCATGAACATCCAAGAGTAGTTACCACACACCTGCACGCGAACGTAACCTATTTACCACGTTGCACGCACCGCGATGTTACTCGTGTTTCGGTATCCCACCCGTGGCTTGGTAAAAACGATCATGAACCCAATGTGAAAATATTTCGTATGCTGTCGAACGCGTTTTCGAGATTTCCACATTTTGTGGAATAAGTAGTACGATGTACGCCGTTATACTTAGGGTTAGGAAAATTAAGGGGGCTACAGGGGAACACTGGAAAACGACTAGGGACACAATTTCGCAGATGTCCTTTCCCTGCGTAAAACCAAGGAAAAAGGTGACGCCAGTACGCTAGCTACTTCCCCGTTACTTGTAGTACCTGAGCGACATGGGGTATTGTACGATAATCATCGGAGCAGAAATAAATTGCTCTCCGCGGTCTAAGAATGTCGTTGGCCAATAGGCTCTTGCTAAATTGCATTAACGCAGACCACTGCCTCAGTGCTGTCAACAGGGACGTCACAACCTGTACTTGAAGGCGACAGTTCCTTGCAGGTCGGAAGTTTGACGCAGTTTTAATGGTCAAGTTCAGATCAAACGTCGCCACAACAGCTTCTACAGAACAAACGCTTCAAGGTAAAAAACTTTTAAAGTCACAGACTTAGACAAATCATCCTGACAGAACAAATATTAATTTGTCACACAATGTGAAATAAACCTAACAGAAAACTATGCCGAGTTTTTAATTGGTACTTCTTCGATTCCACTGGACTCTAACAATTCCAAGACCTAAAAATCAATTCTTCGCACAGTATCCTTTTCATTTCTTACCTTTTCAGGTCTGAGACTTTCATGTCAATATAAAGATTAATACCGAACGAAAACTTTTCTTTCCTCCCATTACCTATCCTCTTGGTTTCACGCCTGGAAGTAAAGGGGTCACGACTGTTCTTAAGCCAAGCTAGTATTTGGTTGGCAAGAAACAAAAAAGTACAAAGGAAACAAAGTTCGTCTGTTAACCTCCTCAAACAATAACTTCCCGACTCGTACACATCACTGAGGTTGAAAAGTAAACATCATTTCAAGATAACATTTTATGGGAAGGAAACCATACCTTCCTCTCCACCACTAATTCCCAGACTACCCCGTCGTGACAGCTTAGCTCTTTGAAGAACTGACTTCTCCACCAATCCGAAAACTGCCGAGTTATTATCACTCCCATCTAAAAAAAACAAAACAAAGAAAAACAAAATAATGATAATAATAATAAAGTAAAATACAGCCATTATAAGAGTATGTGGAACTTTTGATGACTCGATGTCACGTTTCTCAAATTTCATTTTAAAGTACTTCTAATGGTCAACTGCCACTGGAATTTCATTTTCTGCTCCCTTCTAACAAAATCATTAATGATTCTAAGATAACTTTATTCAGCCTTTCTCAAATTATCAATTTTAAGGTAGCTCTATTGGCGACCTTTCATGATACTTTCATCGTTAGCTTCCTTTTGACAACAAACAAACAAACAAATGAAAAAGAACAATCACACACAAAAAAAACATAACAAAAAAAAAAACGAAACAAAAACTCTAGGTGCATTTCCAAAAGAATTCTCATGTGCTATTAAATACAAACACACTATAGTAATCCCATCAGTCGTTACCACAGTTGGTTGGAGGAACCGTTGGCAATTTTTTATGATAATCGCGAAAATTGAAACACACTTCATTTGAGTGTGATGTGGTTCAACGTTTTCCCCGGTTCTAGTTTTTGCTTTTGAGTATGGTAGTTCATTACATTGTGGGCGAATAAATAGAGAATGGTATTTTTTTCATCTTGTCACGAACGTGGGACAAAGAAAAAATTCTCAGTCCTCACGAAGAATCAAACCTCAGACCTTCGCATTCCGCGCTAAGATGCTCTGTCACTGAGCCACAGAGACTCTATGGTAAGCAAGGCCCACTGCCATTAAAGACTATATCATACACCATATATCACCATTATAGACCCATTATGTTAGTAAATCTTCCTATTAAAATTGAGCCGCATTCGTTCCTTTTCCCTGCAGCCTTCACTAGGCATCAGTGAAGTGAGCAAGGCCATTGCATGATCGAGCTAAAAAATATCCCATCTTTCATATCAAATCCTGGTGATAAATCAAAATTGGAGCCAAGGAGAAAATTTCACCACATCAGACGTATCTTATTCACCTCTTCCATCAGCTGCAGAGCGCGTAACAAGAACCAAATCACTTTCCATCGGGAACAAAGCCCCTTTTTGTTGCTGTTCGTTAATAACACCACGGCAAGGAATGATCCAGAAACTATTGGCGTTACTTCCATCGAGAACATTCATGGTAACACACTTCCTGTTCACTTCCTTACCACCCCAGGAACCAAGAGCCTAAGATGAAAAATTGAGAGTTATTACAAGTAGTTTGATCGAGGTAAACGTCACAAACCGATCATCGTTACGTGTAGAGCTAACAAGAAAATGAATCAGACAACCAATTGTATCTTGAGTTTGCTATAACAAACGAAAGGTCTTTAGTTACGAAAACACTAGCATTCGAATATTTAAAAAGTAAGTTTAGTAGAGTTCCCAAAGTACTGCCCGCACTATTTTACGAAATGCAATATCTACGGCGTGCCAAAGAGCAGGAAAATCAAAAAAGCAGTTGATAACGAGAAATATTAATAAACAAGTTGCATTTTTCCTGGGACGGGAGCAGATTACTTTTCATAACTACCCGCCGTTTACCATTCTGCCCGTCCTTTAAATCTAAACGGCTAGATAGAATCTATAATATGCTTTTACTCTAGTACCTGTTGCCAAATTTCCATGAATAGCAAGGGCTTGAATATTTTGTAATATTCGTCCATAGAGTTGAAGCTTTCCGGTACACGATCTGCAACATAATTTCGCGGCAAAGTGGTGGATCTACCATTTCTCAATGACTCAAAAAAGTGATCCACCCTCCAGGTTAGAATCTCGCGGAAAAAGTCATCCTCTGAAAGAACTCTAGTCGGCTTTGTTATGGCCGCCTGAGGAGACGCTAGCTTACTCAAGCTTGCAATTCCACCAGAAGAGTTTGTGACCGCATCAGACGAACGTATGTCAGGTGCAAATGTTACATGTTTCTTAGGTTTTACACTTTTGACTTCTTCATCTGGCAGAAAGTTATCATTTAAGTCTGGATTTTGCACAGGTTCGTCCAACGGGATATCCCCAACATTAGCATCTTCATCTGACAACGAAAGGTCATCTTCCGTCTGATTTGTGGTTTGCGTGCCGTATACGTCAACAAGATCTTCTTCTATGCTTGCGAGGGCATTATCTTGAGAATTCAGCAAAAGTTCACTGTAATTGCAGCAGTGACCCCAAAAATTTATATCATCGTCGAAACGAGTATCATTCTGAAGCTGTTTGCTAATGTCAGAGAGAGAAAGTGTCTTTTCTTCCCCTTGTTCCAAAGGTTCAGGTTTGACTATAGAAAGAACTGGTTGGGCGTTTTGCTCCGAATCTATACAACCAGCCAAGATAAAATCACTTCTTCCAATTTCAGCGTCAGTTGCATGGTCAAATGAAGAGGTGTTATGAACGTTTTCTGGCTGCTCTTTCTTAACAAGACTACAGTCAATGTCACGTACTACTGGGCTTGCAGCCTCCACATTTATGGCTTCATCATCCGAAAAGCGGTTCACTTCAGTTTTGACCATCACACCAGCAAAAGGATGATGTGCTGCGAGGGGCTCATCATTCAAGTCATCGTTTGAATCAGCGGATTCCGTTTTTATTGTTATACTGGTATAATTTGTTGGAATTCGTGACTCTGACTTTCTTACACTTTGAGAAGAAAAAACATCCCTTTCGGTTGTGTTTTTCCTCTTCATTTTATCAATGTTGTCGCCTGCGACGGTCTTCCGACAGGAGGCACCTTCACCATCCATCTCTCTGTCTTCACTTTTCACCTTAACTTTACGGCCTTTGTCATCACTTTCGAAAACCGAACGAAGGAGCTCTTCGTCGGAACTACTCATCTTGCTATCACTATCAACAGCTTCCTTTGTTGACAAATTTTTCGACCGAGTCGTTCCTGAATTTGGCGATGGATCTACTTCATCCATGAGTTTATTGAGAGCAATATCGTCGTCTTGAAGGCTCTCGCAGTTCAAGTAATCGTCTAAAAATGTAAGATGCTCTTGTCTCGAGGAAACGGGCTTTGTTTGATTGCATGTATCTGGTGAGGATTCTTCGTCATCCGACAGAACAATTGCGTCTTCTTTCCACGCACCTTGATTAAGCAAGCAAATCAAATCGCGTCTAAAGTACTGACGAGAAGAATAATCTTGTAAAACTGTACAGCCTACACCAAATTCAACTGGAATTTCTCTGAGTGAAATATAGGAGACCCTCCTTAAAACAAGCCCCGCAAGGGACAAAAACAATGGTTATAATGCCAGCAATTGAAATATGAATTTTACTCCGAGGGTACAATCTATATGTTGTAAGGGTAGCTCAACTCTGGCCTGGCTCAACATTCTGGCTCACTTTCAATTTTTTCCTTTTTTTTCATTCCCGTAGTCAAGTGTGGTCCACGTCTTTATCCATAGTTCACATACATGATTTTCATATATTCATAGTCAAAAATTCAAAGGGGAAGCTAATTGGTCAGACACATGCTCCGGAATAAGGGTATAAATTTCACTAATGAAAAACACTTTTGCTCAATGTTTTTTTTTAAAAAAAAGAAGTATAAACTCTTGAAAACTATGGATGTACCAACGTACCAGAATTCATAAGGATGGGAGTCTGAGAAACTTTCTTTATCCTGCCAGCTGATTTCCTGGCTCTATTTCTTCGATGCTTTACAGTTGTTTGAAGAGCCGTGTGCTGGACGCTTTTTTCAGCTTTTACAGGGCCCAAGGACGCTCCGCAGTCTACTAGAGGAACTTTGGCTGTCATAAGTTCAAAACCCAACTCTGGAGACATTTTAGACCTGGAAAACAATAGTACATTATCTTTCATGAGCAATAGTAACGGCCAACGACCCACAACGCATCAAATGTTTGTCTGTTTGTTTTCACTTTCTCATGACACATTTTTGTGTGATATTTGAAACCAACTTGCAATGGACTGTTGAAAATGAAGTAATTTACTAGTTTTGCTTTGCTTTGCTTATGTCAAACTCGTGCCATTTTCTAAACCAATCTAAAGACAATCGCGACTGAGTCATTTGCATTTTCCCGTGCTTCTGGCAGTCTGCTGTATTAACTTTGAGTTCTCATACCCTTATTCGTTTTCCTTGGTCCCAACTGGTCGTTAAGATTATTTTGGTTCAGGATGTACAAAATCAATTGAAAGTACTCTGTTTTTTTTAACAACCAAAACAACTGATTATGAATTGTTTTGGGAAGTTTTGGCAATGGTATGAAGGAAGAGCAAACAATACATTTCAGAATCATTTTTTTCAAAACACTGATAAGGGGTGTCCCGTCAAAGCACAAGACATCGTAACCGCGTTTGCTTGTACAAACAGTAGTTGCAATGACCTAGCCCTCGAGCTAAAGTAAAAACGACAAATTTAATGAGGTAATTTACAGGGAAGTTCCCTTACACTTTAATATTCCGTAAATGACATCGAGGCTTTTTGCCCCTTTTCATTAAATCCCTGCTAGCAATCTCTTCCTCTTCTTCTTCGTCTTCAGAACTGCTCACACGCGAACTAGGACCAGGCTTCGCTCTTGCTCGGAAACTTATCTTGCTTTTCAAGTTATTCCTTCTTGTTTTTGTTAACCTGTTAGAATTAATCTGCTCGTGTGACTGACAAGATTTTTCTTTCTCTAAACGGATAAGGCCTTGTTCATCTTCAGAACTGCTCAACATTGAACTAGGACAGGGCCTCACTCTTGATCGAAAACTTTCCTCGTCGCCGCTTTTTCTTTCCGTTAATCCATTAGAATCAAACTGCTCGTGTGACTGTTGAGCTTTTTCTTTCTTTATTTGGATAACACCCTGCATGGGGAGGCTAGCTTTACGACATGATTTGATATCTGCGCTATCCATGGAATTTGCAGTAGACAAAGATTTATTGAGGAATCCAGGGGTTGGAACTTTTAAGGAAGGTTGAGCCTAAGGACCAAATGAAACAATCGAAATTTCAGATAATCTGGCCTTTAAATCAAAACTAATATCAATACACAGGCCTCGCAACGAGTGCAAGACATAAATACTTCTTAACTATGCAAATTAAGCCATACACTTCCACGTACTTTTTCTACTAACAAATCCCATCTCAGCAACGCTGAATCAACACGATAACCCTTTAGCCCTTAGGAGTGACCAGCATCTTTTTCCTCCTTACAGAAATACTGCTGAATCATTCATTAAGATCACGAGAATAAAGAAAATGATCGCCAACCCAAGAAGATTTGATTGCTACATGAATTCTCCATGTCCGTACCAAAGGATAAGTATAGAGAAGAGTATGGAGAATATAGATTCTGATATCAGGGTGTAAAGGATTAAGAGATAAACTGCAATTAGAGCAAACTGGGGAACCTCCGTTCTGGGGAAACCTACTACACTAAAAATAATGTTCCCTGAAGAGAGGTTTCCCTTTAATGAGGGTAAAAGATACAGGTGTACAAAGGTATTACGAATATTATTTTGAATTATAAGTATGTGCACAACACATCAGTTAATTAATCTCAACTAAGTGTGCAAACTAGAATAAGCTGTCACAGGACTTATCACTGTACATTTTTTTAAAAGGAGTTTGAGATTAATTGCCAATTATTTCCCAAAGTGAAAACTAGCGAATAATCCCTACTATAACCACCTTGATTGAGAGTGACTTTAGCAAGAGATGACATAATTATCGACCAATCAGAGCATGCACATAATCGCCTATAGTAAGCAATACAGTCTGTATGTACTGAAAACTAATCATCATCCAAATAAATTTAACCAAACTGATAATAATCGTATAAAATATCAAATCCACTACCTTAGGAAATGAGGGAACTCTGAAGGTAGACAAATTAGCACAACTTTTTCTAAATAAATCATACCGAGTAAAGACATTTTAAAGTGCTTAATTGGCGTGCCAAACCGGTCCATTACTACATTTCATCCAGTATTTTGAAAGATTGAAAAAAAAACATAACTGTAAAGAGTTAGTGAATTGACTACTCAGGTCATGTAAGCTCCAATTAATAGAAGGCACTCAGAGACTGGCAAGAACAAGTTTGATTGTCAAGGCAAAACCAGTACCTCAATGAGTGAAATTATCTGCTGCTTTTCCTCTGCAGACAGCTCCTTGGGTCCTGGCAATGCAAACAATTCCCAGAACTTGAGGGCATGTTTCGATCCCACTCGATGACTAGCCTTAAGCAGAAGCTGAAGTAGTTTTCTGGTAACATCAACTTTCTAAAAACAAATGTGCACATTAAAAAATGACGTGGAGCATAAGCGTCTGGGATTCAAGGCAAGGCTTTGACCAGTATTATGTTCTTAGGCAAGACACTTCACCCAAACATTGCCACTCTTGACAAAGAGAACATTAGAGATAGCAGTGCGATATATTTTACTCCCAAACCCCGCATTTCAGTTCCAGGGCTTACATTTAGTAGATGTGTATCAAAAATGCATGTCTCGCAAACTAAACTTAATTAACACAAGTAACATTGCTATTGAAAATAAGAATCAACCTTAGTCTTAACATACTTAACATGGAAAATGAATCAACAGACCCGGTACGACTCGACCTAGCTGGTTATGAAACAACCGGGTATGAAATGACGGTGGGTATAAAATGACTGGTAACCATTATAGAAAAGCAGGAAATAAAGGAAGTGTAGTTCAGTGTCAATGTTTTGTAAAATCAGTGAAAGATAATAGAGGTCACCATGAATCTATGGGGAATAAACCACCCCAACCCTAAACTGGAACGCAATCTTCCCGAAGCCATGTGGTCTGAAATATTGATTAATGCTGAATTTCTAAATATCAAAATTGGGCGCTCCAAAATTATTTTCATTTTCCTCACAGTATCTTATCTGAAGTTCCACTGTTTTGATACATAACACTTTGAGAAATCAGTGAAAGAAAAAGCTCTGACTCATTCCTTTGCCTTTGCTTTGACAAGAGAATTACTGGGAAAGCCTCCTGGAACATGACTATCAGGTGATGGAATCATAACTGTATATACATCATGCTTGTAACACAACACCAGTCACTGATGGAAATATTTCCTGAAAGTAAGGATCTCTGTGAAATATGGTAAACGTAAATTTCACCTTCTTGTCCCCTGTTTCAGTTAAAACAAAATCTACCATGTCTTTTGCCCAAAGGCCAGCTGTAGGAGCCAGGAGCACCGACATTTGTCTCTTGACCAATTCATGAATTATGCCTAACAAAGTAGACTGAACATCCGACTTGAAAGTACTTTGAGTCACACACTCATCTGCAATGAATTTAATTAATGAATGCATTGATGATTTGTTGAATCAATACAATTTCAAGCAGAAAAGTGATGAGAAAACAGTAAAATATAAACTAGGAGATTATTTCTTGATCCAATACCAAGTTCTCTTAACCAACAATATAAGAGTTGTATGGCAGAAAGTAAGAAGAACTACTATTGAGATCTTGGGACTGATAGGGTTACCTTAAACAGAGTTTGGATTATGTTGTCAAGCTCATAGCCAACAGAGAACTAATGCCAGTTCTCATCCATTCAAAGTACGTTTTTATGTTATATTGACTGTGTTGGTCAATGTATATTCTATGTTAAGGTATACATGTACAATCACAGTGCAATAATATCTCAGTTGTAACTTGGAATTTCTTGCCTAGGTGTGTGTACAAAGGAATATTCCATGGTGCACCGTTCAAAAGTGTTGCACGACTGATTTTCATTCAGTGTTCTCCTTTCCAGACAATAACTGGTAAAATTAGCCGCCTGTGGCACCACTTATAACTACCTAAAATCACTTGGAATTCTTAAAAATTCAAGTAAAAGTGTTGCTCTTGTGTTTTGAAAAGTTATTTTACCTGTCATGCTTGGAATAAGGGAGAACACCGATATCGTTAACCTACCCAGGTGAGCCCCTTATCCATCAGAGGTTACAAAAAGTTTTCAAGCCTAAACTAACTTCTTTCCACAAAGATTGTAAGGTAAGTATCAACAATTTCTCAGATAAATCAGTTAAAATTTCTTGGAACAAATGTATCATAACCCTGCCGTAAGCTTCCGTCTTTTAATTGATCTAAAAACTACTTGCAAAGGAGGCTCTCATGGAACACAAAGTATTTTTGTATTCGAAATTTCCCAAACACAATTTCAAAGCTACATCATAATTATCCCACAATTAGACTCAATAGAATTGCACATTTTAAACTTCTATAACCCTTTACCCTCTAGAAGCGATTGGCCTCTAATTTCTCCTTACAGCACTAAGCTTAATTCAAATATAAAAGGTGACGAGGATACCTGTAAAGGAAATAATCACCGGTTTAAGAAGCTCCTGATTGTCAAGCAAATTCTCCTTGTCAAGACCACAGGATATGTAAAGAGAACAGTGGGGAGAATATAAATGCTACTGATAAAGTGTAAAGGGTTAGAGCTGTGTTGTTTCTCCTGTATTTATTCTTTATTCTTACCTGCAACATTGTGAAGATATCTAATTACAAGTGAGACATAGAGCTGACCATCATCAAAGTCCAGAAGAGAAAGCACAAAAGGTTGAAACCATGCCAATGCCGTGTTGTAAAATCCACTGGAAGATTTTGCATCACTCAAAGACCTGGCTCTATTTGACTGCTTGACATCTTTTGGCTTGAATTTCACTCCACCATCTTGGGTTTGCCACTGCAAAATAGCCTCTTTAAAGGAACAGTTTTCCGTTATAATCTCAAAGAGTTCTTCAGGCTTATATGTGAACACAGAAATCTGCCAGATTCTCTCTTCAAGTCTCTCTTGCAAGACAACAAAGCACTGTAGCATTGGCCAAAATGCTTCCACCTCTGAAGATAATAAGCAGTTAACAATCTGAGTTAAAATTGCCCAAATCTATATAAAATAAAATGCTTACGTCGAAGTCTAACACCTGACTCAAGAATAATAGTCTTAAAGTCACATTGTGATGAAAAGGGAGAAGCATAAGGATAGAAATGAAATGGAGGTACCCCCAGACACCGAGAGGGGACCAAGTCTTTGCAGCTAACTCCACCAAAAACTTTCCAAGAGCTTAATCCTCAGGGTGAACAACTATTTTTGTCACGAAATCTAAAAAATTCAGACTTTCTTTAGCTGAAGGTGGCTTATCATTTAGTCTATGATTACCTTTAAAATGAGCTGTACCTTGATTAGCACGAAAAGAAGGGTAGATAAAAAGTAAAATATAATTTTTTGTTGCTTCATCTGGCATTTACAATATCGTCATACTTTGTACTTTAAGGTATAATACTCATATGGGAATAATTTATGTTCACTTGTAACTGTAATTCTACTAATAAGATTAATTCTAAAACGTATCATTACACACAAAACTTATCTACTCATTTTGTAACAGGTTAACAGTAGGCCCTAAGTACCTTGATTTCTCATTGGCTGCACAATTGCATTCAGAATCCCTATGTGACCAGTGTAACTCATAAAGCATGACTGCACTGTGGCCACATCCATGCGCATCAGTAGCACAAACAGTCCCATCCAGTACTCTTTTATAGTAAGTGGAACATACAAGTGTGGTGGGAGAAATTTAAGAGGCAGGCCAGTAGTATTTTCGTCCTTCGGTATTACAATTTCAGAAAGTTCAAACAGATTAAACTCCACGACATCAATCATCCACTTGATAACCTCTTTCAAGAGATCGTATTCGTCTGGATTTATCATTCCTTGTCCTCTCACACTTATAACTGCCCAACCCCGCACCTGATATAAAGATATATGTAATTAAAAAAAATAGTTATCTAACCTCATTTAAGTGGTGATAGCACTTCTGTGTTATTCATAACTATTTATAACACACAAAGAATAATCCACGCAGAATGTAACCTTTTAAAATTTGGAATCATTAAGGTAGAAGACAAATTAGTTACAGTAACTATACATAAGGTCCAAAAAGGAAATTATATCAAATTCTGCAACACTCAAAGTAAATCAAACTGGATGGTAGAGTAAAGGACTTGAACCTGTGACCTCCAGATTCCGAAAAAGTAATAAACTTGATGAATTTTTTTCAAAGTTTGAGGTTTGGTGCAAAAGGTTGAGCACAATTTATTTTAATTTGCCTTCACAGGTTTCTGCATAAAATCTCTGTTGAATTATTAGGTACTGTGGTATTATTGTATACCATTTTTTTATCATTGTGGAAGATGCTTATCAATTCAATTTTACTCCTGTATAAATTTTAAGGAATAACATTCAGATCAATAACAAACAAAACATCTCTTCACCTCCTGGCCACCTCAATTAACCCTTAAACTCCCAAGATCTCATTAGCAATTCTCCTTAGTATCTACAATACAATTCTCATGATGTTACTTCTGCAACTTGATATTGAATCAACTAATAGTCCCCCAATTGATATTTTTCTTTACTTCTTGGCACTTGTCTGCTTGATATTGTACTGTTATTGTATGGGGAAATTATGTCTTAGTCACTCATACTGACAGGAGTTTAAGTTAAGAGAAACAGTCTTAAGTTATAATGCAGTTAAAAGCAATTTAACAGAGTTAACAACAAAGAGCATCTGCGGTATCTAGTATTCAGTAGTTTTTGCATTTGCACATGCGTCAGAATTCCATGTGCTCTTCATTTGAGGTGTTCTTGTGAGTACTTTGAGCATGTATTTGCAGTGTTGTGAGGAGTGTCAGCTCTTCCTCCAGGCAGTTTTCATTTTCCTCATTCGTTTTCATCTCGAAAGGCTTAAGCACTATTATCTTTCATTTGTTTTCCTGGTGGTTAACTGCTTTCGTTCATATGGATCAGCTTTCCAGGCGTTCGACAAATAACAGTGCCACTGCCATGCTGGAATCACCAGAATTAATTTCTTCAGTCCTGTCCTCTGTGGATCCTCCTCCTTCCTTAACAGAAACCTTGGTTGCCTCCGCTCCTGCAGTCAACCCTCCTTCTTTTGTGCTCTCCACCAAGGATCTCAGTCCAGCCTTTTCCTGAGTGTTAGGCAAGTCATTACCACACATTTTAGCGGCCATGCAAAGCCACTCCACGAATACATGTGCTTCGGTCTCATGCTTCAAATCGACAGGAAACTGATCCTTTGGTGGTATCATTGAGGTCAGCATCACTTCACACCTTCTGTGATTGACCAGTATCTCCTCACAGAACTTTAGATAGGTGGTGTAACTGTAGCCCCTACTCTATATCTCCAATTCCAAGCCTTCATGTCAGTCTCTTTGGAGTGATCCCAAAGAAATACCAACCTGGAAAGTGGCGGCTTATCTTGGATTTATCCAGCCATTGAGGCATAGCTTCAATGACAGCATTCCTGAAGAGCCTTTCTCTTTGCAGTACATGAAAGTAGATGATGTCATCAGCGGGATCATGGCTTATGGTGAAGGAGCACTTATGGCAAAGTTTGATGTGGAAAGTATGTACCCCAATGTCCCTCTCCATTCTGATGATTGTTATTTGCTTGGAATGAAGTGGCAAGGCAATTATTTCAGCAATCTGGCTCCTCCCTTTGGATTACCCTCTGCCCCATTCGTCTTCCCTTCTATTGCATAGAAGATTCAGTGTTTCCATCACCTAGCTCCACACGCAGCAACTGTAGCTACACCAGTACCACTGTCACTCCTGCTCCAGCTTCCTGTGACTTGACAGCAAAATGCCAGTCTACCTGCCAGTGAACAAACATTAATACGCTTCTGTGCACGCCTTGCAGATCATCTTAATCACTCCTATATTAAAGATTATCTGTCTGCTGTTTGTTCTGACCCACTCACTGACTGTCTTCTGCTACAGTAGCTCCTAAGAGGGATTAAACGACATCAGGTCAGCCTGTGACTGCAGACCTTTGGGCCATTGTGCACAATTCCTTGGACTTCTCCACTTCTGACAATGTCATGCTGTGGGAGTCTTGTTGCTTTGGCTTCTTTAGGTTTCTCAGAGCCGGTGAGTTTACAATGAATGGTCCTTTTGACCCAGCTGTGCACCTGACAATAGCAGATCTGCAAGTAGATTCCTTGACAAATCTTCAAAGTTTCAAGGTGTTCATTAAATGCGCAAAGACTAATCCTTTCTGGCAGGGCTGTTTCATTTTCCTTGGGTGTGGCTCCACATCACTCTGCCCTGTGTTGGCTTTATCAAACTACCTTCACCTTCGAGGACCAGGTAAAGGTCTCCCATTTATTTATCAAGATGGCTGTCCTCTTTCGGGGGCCTGTCCATCTTCATTCTTACAATCTACACTATAGGTAGCAGGCATTCTCAGAAAGTTCTCTGGCCAGAGCTTTAGAATTGGAGTTGCAACTACAACTGCTCAGCAGGGCACTTCCGACCACCTCATAAAGACCATGGGACGCTGGTCAAGTGAGGCATATTTATTGTATGTGTGCACACCTGTGGTAGCATCCTCTCAGTAGCAAAACAGATTACATAGCAGGTATGATGGTCAGAATCTCTCACTTCCACCACTCAGCGGGTGCTGTCAAATTTGGGCAGTTTTTCTTGAGGCCATGGCCTGCTGTTGCCATGAGCCCTATTTCTCCAAGCTGATTGAGCTCAGCTCAGAGGTCATGGCTGAGTTGCCAGGATTTGCCGGTCACGGGAGAAGTCTCCACCTAGGAGCTGGCTGCCAATAGTAGAAGCTGCTGGAAGTTTCAGGCACCCAACCTCCAGTTAACAATGCAGTTGTTAAATGCAGTTAAATGCAGTTAATTTGACAGAGTAAACAACAAAGAGCGTCAGTGTTCTCTAGTAGTCAGCAGTTTTTGTAGAAGCATGTGTCAGAATTCCATGTGCTCTTTGTTTGAGGCGTTCTTATGTGTACTTTGAGCATTTACTTGCAGCATTGTCAGTATTGGCAGCTCTTCCTCCAGGCAGTTTTCCCCACCCATTCCTTACCTCTTTCCACTGTTTATTAAGTGTGATGGGTGCCTGTTTTCCTTTCCTATGTCGGGGCTCATGGCTGGGTTGCCAGGATTTGCCAGCTATGGGAGAAGTCTCCATGTAGGAGCTGGCTGCCAATAGTGGAAGCTCTTGGATGTTTCAGGCACCCAACCTCCAATTGGCAATGCAGTTGTTAGGTACAGTTGTGCAGTCTTGAATGAAGTAATTCAACAGTGCAAAGTTCAGCTATCATTGTAAATATTTTGCAATACAGTGATTATTTAACAATACACTGTTTTTCAATATAAACACTATATTACAATACTTCTAATATTACAATACATTTAATTTAACAATACACTGTATTACTGGATAATATTAAATCATTCTTCATACCTCTGGATCAGGATGAACAAGCAGAAGATATGCTCCAGGAAGCTTTTCCTCCAACTTGAGTGGACATCCACACACATTCAGAGCAATAAGTCCTCTTTTAAACCATAATGCTAGTGTCTCATTATGTAAGAAATATGGGAACCTTAACATTTCCAGAAGGGGAACTTGTAACTTCATTGGGACATCCTGAAAAAGTTTAAAACAGGTTACTAACATTGATGACAGGGCCATTGAAAAGAAAAGTTGTCTTTGTTTAGAATTGTGTCATTGAGTTATATTGCAGAGTAATTAAGCCCCAATAACTACACAAATTTCCATAAACCTTTATCACATGGCCTTTAAATCCCTGATTTTTGTCTTCACACATGCATCAATTCAAGAATGCATTTGTTCATACCTTTGTTTATTCATTTGCTTTTTCCTTGAATTTTTTGTGCATTAATTCATACACCCTTCTCTGATGCATCAATTCATCAGTGGTCATCCTTATGTTAAAAGAAATTTTCAAACTGGTAGTGCAGTCCTTTAAGCTCATTAATTTTCAAAAATTTGAAGCAATTTTAGGCAATAATATGAGGTACAACAGGCAGTAGGCTTTACAGGTTACTGTTTGAATAGGGGTACACTGCCAGTGAAGGACTAACTTAGAAAATTCTGACCCCATATTCAATTTGTGTGTTGGTCAAACAAACCTGCATATGTGGAAAAAATCCTTCCCTACGTTCTGCATCTTCTAGGGCAGTACTGATTGTCAGCTTCAGTCTATCAACATCCAAGTGCTGCAAAACCTATCAGGGAACAAAATTATTCCTTGTGACAAAGAAATGTTTCATTGTGCCAGAGAGTGAAAACCTAATTCTGGTCATGCTGGAAAACCTATGATAATAGTCAAAATTCTCATAACCATCACCAGAAACCAAACTGACATTTCTAACTTGAAAGCCCAAACATAAGTAGTATAGAAGTTAGCAGTACCAGATCGTGATCTGGTACAAACCCCAGCTCTCTATACTACTTTCCATGTGATGGAATTATTTGATGAAATCATTTGATGGAATTATTTAATAGAATCATTTGATAAAATTATATCATGGAATCATTTGATGGTATCATTTTATAATATCAAAGTGTTAGAATACTATAGGAGACTAGCCATATGATCTCACTGCATTTTTCCATTGCATGACATTCTCAGAAAAACAGGGGAAGGCAAAGTTAGGTTCCCATGCATTGGAATTGATGGTGTATAACACTGTTTATGAAGATTGTGGGTATATTGGATCTAAAAAAATCTCATATAATATTAAATGATAATTTGTCCAACAGCCTTGACATGAAGAGAAACAATATTTATAATCCAGCTGACCCAGTCAATTAAACAGACGCTTCAAACAAATGGTATATTGATACAAAAACAAACATATTTTTGAGAATGGGTCAAAAATAATGTCTGGCAATCTCAATATGAATACAAGAAGTATCATAACTCTTAAAGAGGCACATGCACATGAAAGCACTTATGCTGCTAACACTTATGTCAATTAGATGATGTCTGACAGCAATACAAACCTACAGAGTACTTCGATAACAGATTAAATCATTCCATATCAAGACGATATTAATGTGTTTCAATATCTCATGGATAACCCAAGTTCTTAATTTAGTGACAAAGATGATGTATCAGGTGTCCAAACTACAAAGATTTAAAGATTTTCACCAAATAAAAAAGAGACATATGAGATGAAGCTTCATCTTGATACAAGCAAAGGGTTTTATGGCAGTTGTGTAGGTCTGAATATGTACCCTTTTGCAACTAGTGAATATACTGTCGTTTTTTAATTATATTTTCCTTCAGCATCAATCGACCATTCAACAGTCCAAATATCTGCTACTAGTAGGGTTGAGACAGTTTTGAGAACATCAACTAATATGTTTAGTGATCAAAGCTGAAGTATAATTCATCTTCATAAATACAATAATGTGACTCCCAATTATCTCACAATTGGTATGGTTTTGAAGAATAAATCTGGCATCAGTTATACACAGGACTTACAAATTTTGTCATTGTACTGTGGTGTCCATCCTGTCACCAATGCCCAGTTTCTTTGTGATGTTTTTGTTTTCTGAATGGATGGCTCATGTGGTATAAGGTTGTGCTTTTTTGTGGGACAGTGTGATATTTAGTTCTAGTAGATTGTTGTATGTTGATGGTTCTAGTTTGTAAAAGTTCATTGTTTTGTCAGTGACAATGAGTAGCTTGGTTTCCTTTTTTATGTGTTTGGTGTCGTCTTTGAGTTTGTTGAGGAAAGGGTTGTTTACTTGTTTGAATTTTGTTGATTGTAAAATCTTTAGCATGTCATCTGAAAATTTCTTTAACTCATTGAGTGGAGGAGGGTTCTTGGTAGACTTGAAGCCATATCGATCTTAGGAGTGGGTGGATGAAATCAAATCCTCATACTGATTTTATCATTAGAAATTCCTGCTATTATTTTAGACAGGAGAAAATAAAAACATTTTAAACAATTGAATTTATAATGTAATTTATCATTAGCATGTCTTGTTGTATCTGGCATAATTGCAGGTGCTGTGACACTCAACCCAATTGAATTAGAGACTATATCTGGAGTAGGTGTGCTGCTAAAGACTTATAGTAAAATAAAGAATTTTTAGGAAAAACCAAGCTATGTCCTTTGCTAACACATCATATGAAAAAGTACTGGTTCACTTGCAGTCCTCTATGAGAGGCAAATCATGTGATGATCAAAATAATTTGACTCAGTTGAGGGTTCTTGATGATATCATCATCGATATACGTGTCCTTTACTTAACAAAAGGGATAAGGAGTATTCACAAAAATTAAATTTTGTCTCCAAATAATTGTTTTGATGTCATCACTGATGAGTGTTTGAGTTTTACACCAATATTGGTTATAAAATGCTAACATTCTTTTTGAATATATTGGTATATTTTAAAATTGTAATTTCATCATTTTGAATATTTGTGTTAAAATAAAACAAATATTGATCGTCTGTTTGCAATCACCATTACAATGATGTAGCACACTCTCAATCTTTTAAAAAATATCTAATATCTTATTTTTATCATTTTTGTCACCTTTTACATTTATTGAAGATTGTATTATTAATGTGATACTTTCAATGATAATTGATTTTCTCATAATTGTAAATTTATTTTCATTTTAATTTATGTACTCTTTCACATATTTATATCCTTGAATCAATCCACTACTAACACATACAATTTCTTTGTTGTTTTTTCAAGTTTCATATTTTCACAACATTGTTCATTTTTTACAGTATGTTCTTGAAGTTGCTTGTCACACATTGAACAATAAATCTCTCCCATATTCTCATATTCTCAAAAGTTAAAGTGGAGATCCAATGTAGCCACCAGATGGATCAAGCAAAAAAAAAAGGTTGACACTATCATGAACAGAATTTTGGATGGTAGTGAATCCTTTCAAGGTGATATTAATTTTAATCATCACTGGATTAAGAATGTTCATATGCCAGTGACCATTTACTATGCTTCGAATCAAATTTTTTGCAAAACAAGATTTCACAAATTAACAGATGATTTCAAACAATGATTGTTGGGATGCAAAAGACAAAAAGATTATTATCTTGAAAAGAGCAGAATGCAATGCTGAGGCTGTGACCCTTGGTCAAATGACTGACATAACAAACGAAAAATTCGATACAAATAACTTGCTTACTCAGACTTTAAAATCAAGATTAGTATTTACTTATTTAGTAATAGTATTTACAATGACCATGACATTAAGAATAAAAAATTTATATCCTCATGAGTTTTTTCCATGGATTTGTCTAACAGCCTTACCATGATTGATTTCCTGTTTTTCTGAGAATATCACGCAATGGAAAAATGCTGTGAGATCATACGGCTAGTCTCCTATAGTAATTCAATGCTTTGATATTATAAAATAATTAAATCATATGATTTCATTAAATAATTCCATGTTCCTATCATACACATCCTATTTAGTTAGAAACGGTTTTTTTATATTTTTAACACTTAGTGGTAATGTGATAAAATGCTTATTGACTGAGTTTGTTCCAGCCAGAGGGGAAAATATTCGTTTCTCATAAATGACATACTGAACTCCCTTCGCTTAGTCCATGCATATGTCGTGCGGTTGAGCTAAATATTTTCATGTTCAGTCCTCCCACTGAGTCAATAAGTACACAGTCTGACAGCTATCCTTGTGATAAAAGGATAACACAGTAACAATACCTTTTTTTGCCTCTGTTCAGTCAACTCTTCCTGTAGCCTGTGATACTCCTGTACACAGTCAAAGCAGTAGCAGAGATCTAATAGTAAATCTGCTGGCCATTCATCCAGTGGTTTATCAATATATCCTGGGAGGTCGCTTTTCATAAAATCAGGTGAAGAACACCATTCACAGGTTCTATCAATTGACTGCCCCAGCCAACTACAGTCCTTTTCCTGCATTGGAAATTAAACAAGAAAGGGAAAAAATTCCATACAGCTTATGATCCAGGTAAAATGATAACCTTGTTAGAAAAGCCCACAATTAAATCCAGAATGATATTATTTTAGGATCGTTCAGTGGTGTAAAGCATAACTAGATTCGACAAGACCTCGTGATTTCAGAGCCTTCTTGTTTGTGCTTTACATTCCTGCTGAGTTAATTTACAGCAAAGAACTATGATTTCAAGGTTATTATTCTGGTGTGCAAGGTGAGCCTTGAAGAATATAGAACACCTGCCAAATTATGCAGCTGCACGCTCCATTATGACCAGCTTCTAGACAATGGAGTATTTCTCTTCAAGTCCAAGATAACACTTTCTAATCTGAAGTCTCAATCGTACATAATCCACCTTCAACGTTTTAACACCCAGAGAGTATTTTTAAAAGTCACTTTACCAAAGCGAGTAAGTTGTCCGAAACTCCTGACGATAAAGGATCAGGAAGGTAAGAAATGCACAGAGATGCTAATCTGGAGATACGTGACAAGATGAATGAAAATGCTACATATTTACACACGGACAAAAGATGTCTCTCAAGCTCTGGTTCGCAGCCCAAAGTAAAAATATAAACATAGCTTACCCTTTTCACAACCACGTTCATCGCTGTGAGATTCCAATTTCAGTTCAACACTATCCGCTGGTTAACAGCTCAAGCTTTCTTCATCCACGAGACGTTGCATCGTAGCTCCACATTACCGGAACTCATGTTCACCATGTGTCCACCGTCCTGCGCCATTTCGCACAATAATAATGGTCACGTGGCTACTTTCCTGGCAGTTCAAGGCTCCATGTGGTAGTCACAATGTATCCTTTGTTTATTATGCTTTTATGAAGTCCTTGAGTACTTCGAGCAAACAATGTTCCACAAATTAATCTGTCTTTAAATATGTGAGACTGCTTGAGGTCTTTTCATCGCTCATTGTAATCAATTACAAGGTAGTTATCTAAATTTCAGTAATTCGGGCCCGATTGATGGGTACAAGTCCGCAGGCATAATTCCTGGTCATTGGACACAGTAGACAACATCAACAAGACATCAGTTTAAGCAGGCATCACAGTCATATGTTTCCTTTACCCTCATAAGATATCATTTTCCGTCACTGGACATCTATTTGTTTTATGTTGTCATCCACCTTCACAAGACATCGTCAAACCGGTTAAAGACGTCACTCACCCTCTCCTTCGATAAGCATCATTCACGTTCATAAGATATCATTTATTATCATAAGACATCGTTCCCCGTCATAAGACATCATCCACCTTCACCGAGCATCGTTCTCGATCATTAGAAATCATTCAATTTTGCCAGGGATCATTAAAGGTCGATAGACGGTGACAGAGATCGATGCCTTGTGATGGTAAAAGGTGAAAAACAAAACAAAACAAAAACGGTGAAAGATGTCTAATGACAGCTTACGTCGAGTGACCGTGTAGGATGCTTTGTGACGGAATTTCAAGGTCAGGGTTTCCTTCAAATCGTAGAAATGACTTTAAGTCTCATTAGGAAACTCCTTTAACCTCTTAACTCCCAAAACCCAATTTTCAATTGCCGGCAATTTCTTCCAAACATTTCTTTTGATTTCAGTGGTCTTAGAATTTAGTGCCAACTCAAACAAAATCCTCCGGTAGATTTTTTTCTTTCTTGTTAATTTCGTCTTCTCTAAAATGTATCGATGATGCCTTTTTTGTCACTCCAATTGGTTACAGGGTTAAGGCGAGGAACAACAGAAGAAAAAGCCACCTAAAACTGCTCAAAAGTCTCTTTAATGATATCTGGTATATCACAAATCTCGAATAGCTTTTTACAAGTATTAAACACGACCAAAATATTATTTCAGAGACAGTGTACAAGATAAATCATTTTCACAAAGAAAGTTCTTGCTCTCAAAGTCAAATACGTAGCTAGGCTAAAGATGTCATTGTGCTGTTACAGACTGCAGTGTAGGTTTGTCGTCTAGCTTGTCGTATTCCAAATGGAATTCCTTCGCAACCTTCCTCCACGTACTACAGTCAAAGAAGTAGTATGTTCCTCGTTCGTATGAATTCGTTTTTACTTGAGGATCAACACCAGGAGCACGAGTCAACCATAGTCTTTCGTCTTTGTGGTAACGCCAATCGCGTGCATACCTAAAGAGGATAACCAATAAGCATCAAGATGACGCGTTACACACGTGAGCACCTGTGCACTTTTGAGCCGAGGGCTTGAAAACCAAAACCAAACTCATTACGTAAACCAATCAGATAAAAGGGACGTAGAGCACGGAACCAATCAGAACTTAAATTTGGTACAAGTCACCGGCCAGAAACACAGTAAAACGCGAATGATCAAGTTGCGCTCGGTTAGCAGTAGAAGAGGGCCGATAGAAGCTGTGTCTTGACTTCACAAATAAGAAGAAAAGGTTAAGTTTCAATTGCAGGAGTTAAAAAGGTATCGTTTCTTCGACAACGAAGTCTCCTCTGTCCACAAATAGGGATTGCGTTGGGGGAACCTCACACTCAGCACACCAGTTAAAAAGGAATCATCCTAAAGAACTAGTAGGTTAAAAAAAAATTGTCTATACTAACAGTTCAGCTGCGGCTGCAAGTTGGAGAATATCTCCTCCATTCGTGTAATAGAGATAGAAGAGCAAATCCTCGGTATACCGACTGAGTTTAATGGGTGCAAGCTGCAAAAACACAAAAGAAAAAAAATATTACTATTTAAAAAAGATTATATATGAACAGACCTCAAAAAGCTGGTAGACCTCACAAAGAGAAAAAAAAATAAGGAAAAACAAAGACAATATTGAGACTTTAAAGTAATAAGGGTGATCGAAGTTGGACGGAACGCTTTGTTAGCTAAACAGGCCTGTTTGAACAGCAGTTTTTCACTACAACATCAATTCATCACAGTTCTATACCTTGTCCCTGATAAATGAGTTTATCCGGTACTCCGAGGGCACATGATAGTCTATGGAGAAAACACAGTAAAGTTTTGCTCCAGAACTGATCTTACTGATCATAAATATTAAACTTGACAGTTCAACATGCGACTGCAAGTAGACATTGTCTTAAAAATAAAGGGTCTGTCACAAAAACTGTCACATGTTCGTTAAGCTTTGACATCTTTCGGTTTTTACAGCAAATCCTTTCAACAATTACTGTACTAATCTTTGCAACGGGACGGATTCAAAAGGGATTTAAAATCAATAAAGTTTCCTTGGGCATTTTCAAAAGTATACATTCCTTTAGGGCCTTACCTATTTCATGTGGTCTACACGGACTGTCCGCAAACGGTGAACCAAACGTATGATAAAGACTCCTTAATTGCATCGACAAAAAAGTAGTAGTCAATACGTAAATTATTCACAAATAGTTTTAGCATTAAAATAATTGAAAGGAAGATACCCTAACTCTTCACTCCTTTACTCCCAACTCCCCCCCCAAAAGAAAAAAAAATGAATAAAAGGTACAGTCAATTTGACCAACAACCCCCCTCCCCCCCCCCCCCCCAAAAAAAGAAAAAACTGATATATATGTACATTAGAAATAATGGCTACATTGAATTTAACTTGATTGTTTGGCACTTTGATGTAGTGTACTGGTAAATTTCACGGACTACATATCGCAAAAGATAGCCCCTCAAAATAAATGGTAGAAAATTTTCTTCAAAATTGCCGCAAACCACCGAAGAAAAAAAATTGTATCCTTAAACTCCGTCCTTTAGCTAACAAAATATTTAAAAAAATCTTCCTGCTCGTCATTGTTCCTTTCGTCGTAAGAAGGTAAGCAGAAATTGATATTTGACAAAAATAGTGCCCTATGGCTGACAAATTTGTCTATTTTCATATCAGAGTTTGGTGAATAATACATAGATATTATCTGCGGAGTAGTTACGCTAAGAGATAAGGGGTTAATAACAATAATTATTTCATAAATTTAAAATCAAACATGCTCCAAAATATTTTCTACTTACTCTGGTGAATTTAAGTTAAGGCCTAACGTCGTGAGGTCACTAAAGAATAAGAAAAAACACAACTGTCAAGTAAACTCCGAGAAGATAACAGCTATGAAGTCGGAAACTGGGTAGCAGCGAACGCATGACTCTGTTGCACTTACCTCCCGAGCGCTAACGTCACAAGATTTGGTTCTGTTTCTGCAGCTCTAATGAATGTTAACAATCCTATCATTCCAAATTGATCCGTTACCATTCCTTTTGGAATGTTTGAGATCATACCTGAAATACAAAGGTAGAGTGGTGAGAATAACATATACATGCGGTGTCTTTCGATTGAGCGTCCTAAACCCAAATTAAAGTAAACTCAAAGACCAATCAACACCAAGGCGGAGTCCATCAGAAACCTAACCTAGACTATTATGTTTTAGGAGAAGGATTAACCTTTGCCAAATGCTAATACAGGAAAATAAAACCGCCACTTGATAATTACCTGAAGGAGATGTCTGAATTCCTCTTGGTGGTTGCTTGTGATTTGTCGAATTCGCCTTTGCCTCTGCTGTCGCGAATCTTCGTCAGAAAAGTAAAAACTGTACATTAGCCTGTCTACTCTAGCTTTCAATGTCAAACATTTCGTTTCAGGCACATATTTTCAGAGGCATAAAACATTCTCGTAGTCTCTCCATACCACACCCGCCTTTTACAGTACCCCTCTACTGTCACGGAAACTAAGGTTATACTGATATCTCGAAGGCGTTGTGAGCGAACGAGATTTTGAAATTTCCTCCAGGTCTGAATGGGATTCGTGAGCAACTTGACTTGCGAATAAGGCAGCCTCAGAACTGGCTATAGTTTGGTGAAATCTTTAACAAGAAACTGATAAGTATGTCTCGAGATCAAAGAAACTCTTTTTTGAAATTAGGGGAAGCGAGGCAAATCAAAGCTTTCATGCGCCCAACACCTCAGTGTTTGAAGAAAACGAGGGAGGGGGAGAAAACAACAGGCCTACAAGGTAGACTTTGACTTAGAGCCCTGACTGGACGATATCCCGAACTTGCACAGGACTGTTGCTCCGCCCTGGAGAGGAAATGGGTATTAATAAATAACAAGGGAAATGTGACGAGATGCTGAAGGGTAACCGGCAATAGACCCGTCACCTTCGTCACATCCTGGAGGAGTAGCAATACTCCTCGCCACTTCATTCTATGAACACTAGAATAGGCTACAGTGGCGAGGCCGCTTAGATCGTGAAGTAAGAAGGTCATTACCTGGCGTCCTTTGCAACATCTTTCAACGCTTGTTCATACGACGATCCGCCTCTAAGATCTAAGATTAGGAAATCAGCGAGGACAAATCAAGTTACTTCTCGTTTGAAAATATATAGGAAAAACTGTTCATCTACTATTCGGGGTATTCCATGTAGGGAGCTCCAAAAGCATCCCTGCAGTCAAAAGGAGCCCTGACATCCCTGCTTTCATCAGGAACCTTGTGGATAAAAACCTGATGGAAATAAAGTAACAGTAACTAAGAAAACGCTACCTGTTCCAGGGAAAATGCTTGAGCTTGCGGTGATAACCTGCAATAGAAATTGTACAATTCATCAACACACGAACACTAGAGCGTGCCATTTAACCAGGAGTCTACAGTGTACTTACTGATGGCTTAGAAGGATCCTGAGGAACAGAACTGTCCGTTTGGCTTTCTGTGTGTACAAACAGAAATTTTAATCCTTTCTAACCCTTTACACCCTAACATCAGTATTCATATTCTCCATACTGTTCTCTGTACATTTACTAAGGTGCTAACAAGGAGAATTTGTCGAACAATCGAGAGTTTCTTTGGTCGGTGATCATTTCCTTTATTCTCATGACATTAATGTTAGATTCAGGGGTGATATTGTGAGGAGAAAATAGATGCTAGTCACTCTTAGAGGCTTCAGGGTTAAAAGGAATTGTAGTAATAACGTTGGAAAACTAATGAAGATTTTTTTTCGACAATCGATCACCCTTTCCAGTTAGAAAGGCGCCTCTTATTTCTCTCCCTCCTGGGGTCTCGAGTCTGAGTTCTAAAATCTGAGTTCTTAAAATCTCGCGCTACTTTCTTAACCAATCACAAGCTAAACTCAAAGAAATTGCACCTTGCCACGTATATACCTCGCGCTCTCCAGCACTACAGGTAGCGTAATAATACTTAAATCGAGTTCTCTACGACTGCTTATGATAGTTCCCTCATTTTAATAATCTGTTGCATTAACTTTGTTTTCCCTCTTACAACACTCAATCACATGCACTCTCCGATAGAAATTACCTGACTTAAAGGTATTTGAACCAGGGAGAGCAGGAAAGTCCTCATTATGAATTGAAAAATCCGGTGGAGGTTCAGCAGGTTTAGACACTACACCGTAACTTGGCCTGTTGGGTAAGCTGCTAGGAGGTGCACTAACACCCCCTATACTATCCAAACGTGGCACACCCTCCACACGGCTGAGACTCTCCAATCGGCTTCTGTTTGCTAGTGCCGGGAACTCTGACAGGTCTAACCCACCCGAACCACCTGGTGTCGCGTCAGCGAGTCCTGTGGATGATGTAACTAACACGTGAGACAAGTGTTCTCTCTTGCACAAGTAACAGTTTTCTTTAGAGAATTCCTCTTGTGCAGTGACACAAAGTGAAAGCAAAGTATCTCGTCCAAAATGACAGAACAATTACCAATGACCCCAAACAAAGCTTCATCCTCGAAAGTTTGATCCACAGTGCAGTATTTTTGACAAATAGCTAGCGGTCACTATTAGAATTATGTGACAGAAAAAAAAATCAAACAAAAAAACAAAAACCTAATTTGTAAAAAACCTACAAAGTTGTTTTACAAGATTTACCTTGACCAGCTCCTGAGAATATGTGCCGAAGAGATTTTGGTGAATCAGGTGCACCTATGATGCAAGAGAAAGGGAAGAAGGAAAGATTTCAGTCTTCATTCAGTTGGAAAGACAAGTAAAAACTATCATAAAAGAGGGGTTGTATTCCCTCTAAATCCTTGCAAATGTACCTATTAGGGAGAGGTTTCCTCCAATAGTTTTTGCTGAAGATAATCCTGTAATGTACAATCTCCAGCATATACAGTGTAAATGTGATTTTGAGTACGAGAAAGATGGTCCGGCTTAAATGAATACATAGAGGTCTGGTAATGACTATTCCCAGGAGTTACCATGTTTCCCTTGAGTAAAGTTGATTACATATTCAAATAAAAGTGTCAAGTTTCTACTTAGAAACCGTGGTACTGTGTTGGTGGGGTATTGCAAGATAATTCACTCTGACAAAGGGCTAATGCTCAAAATGTCAGTTTTAGAAACTATCTATGGCAGCCAAATTACATCATCAACTCAGTTGATAAAACCAGAGTACCTGATTTTAAGTATTCTGAAATTAAGCCTGTTGGAGTTAAAAAAGGTAGATACTAACAGAAAATACTTTCCCAATTATGATAATAATAAGAAAATCTTACCAGGAGGTTGAAATGCCCCTGAAAAAAGAGGAAGTCCAGAACCACCCATACCCTGCAAGAGGAAGAGAAGGAAAAAAAGATTACACAGATATTACACTTGTACAGCTTAAATAACTGACCTGGAATATTTATTAATATCCCTTTACAACTGAATCTGAGCTCATGGCAACATGCTTTTTCACTATGAGAGAGTATACACTTTCTAAAATACCATAAAATATTCTCTTAAAATATTCTCAATCTACACGTACTGCAAAAATTGCAAGCCTTTTTTTCAATATCTTTTTACAAGGAATAGGTAATTGTTACTTTCCTAAGATACAAGTATATTACATGCATTCCAATACTAGAACAATCAAGTTAAACTATTCAACTACAACAAACTGGATCTACATCAATTTAAAATTGACTTGGGACAAGAAAAATTTTAAAAATCCAAAGGGTTGAAGGAAAGTCTTGGAGGTCAAGTGGCCCATAACTGCTACCACCCATCTCCAGTTCCTGGAGCATCAAGTGACTAGGGGCATGTGCTCAGGTCAGCTTATCTTCCTATGGTGGAATGCTTGTCCATCACAGGAGACACCCCTTTATTTTGTTAAATTTCTCAAACAGCTTGCTGTCTTTTGATTGACATATCCTCAATAGATGCACTCATATACATACAGTACCTGTGTCACTCCACTAGTTGATTGGCTTCTTGTGAGACCAAAACTGGACATGGGACCAGAAACAGAGCTGCTAGCACCACTACTGATACTATTAATGAACACAACATCAATTAGTGGAAAGGCATAAGTGATGGATTTTATATAGAGGGAGGCAAACACTGATCTATTTCTAAATTATAGATTACAAGAAATGTTGATCTCACAAATTCACTTACACATGTAGGTGGTTGCCAGAGTGGCTGACTTCAAGCTGTAAGAAGCCCCTGACCTTAGCATTTTACTAAAAGTACCCTGAAGCTGATCTTATCTTTTAATGAACCACAAAATCTTATTTATCAACAATACATGTATGTAAAGAATTATCCAATCACAAAAACATAAGAAAATAGGTGTTCTATAATTGGGAATGCACAACCCAAAAGAATTTAGCATGCAAAAAGATTTGTCTCATCACAGGTTGACTAAAGTTCAGAGAGGTGAATGTCTTACTGAGAGTAATGAAATGATGGGTCATGCTTTTACAAAAACTTGGAATACAGAGGTATGAGAAAATCATCAATAAGAATTTTGACCAAGCTTCATCTTGTGAAGACAGGTAGGATGGTAAAAAGACCCTTTGAAAGTTATTTTAAAGAGCCACTGTGCATTTTCTTTTTTCTTTTAACTTTAAACTGCTACAACTGTGAATAAAGTTTTGTCACCACATACCCCCCAAGGTTAAAGCCTCTCTGTTGATGTGTTTGTTGAGGTGTCTGTGGTGCATTCATTCCAATTGCTAGTACTGGTGAACTTCTTGAGGAGCTGCTATAGGTCATGAAGGGTATAAATAAGGGAACAGGATGAATATCAGTCAATACATTACTAAAACCAAGCAATTTCAATTGAGCAATGAAAGTAATCCACTATTACACTGCTTTCCCTCAATGTACATTGCAATTTTTTCTAGAAAGTTGAGGAACCTCTCCAGCCAAACAAATTTAAAACTACTTGAAAATGTAACATGGTCTGTCATATTTTCCCACTTTACTGCCAGCTTACAAGTATTTCTTCAGGGTTCCCATTGGTTCCTTGCAATATTTATCTTTTTCTACTTGGCTGAAAACATTATTTAACTTGAACTGGTTTTCTGACATTCACCCCAAAAACTCCAGAGGAAAAAAATGAATGAAAAAAAAATTAGTATATTTTTAATGGGTTTTAAAGGATAGAAAAATTCTTGAGCTTGCTCCTTTGTATTTTACAGTAAAAACCCCAATAAAAGGAGTAAATGTCCTCTATTCTTTTATCACATCTGAAGCCAAATTCAGCTTGTTGAACTACAGTGTACCAACCCAATATTGAGTTGCTCAAAAATGAGCACTTTGAAAAACTTTTGCAGGACCCAAGAAACAAATTTAACTTTCCTCAAGCAGCATGAATCCTGGTACTGAACATGTTATATAAAACTGTGAAATTCCTCAGGAACAGATCAACTGACAAACAACACCCTTGCTATTCAATCATGTTTTCTTCTTCGTCTTAAATTTCCCTAACCAGGTCTAAAGTCAACTCACCTTGATAATGATGATGGTATGGAGATTGTTCTACTTGTCTTTGGCAAATTATTAAGCCCACCCTGGTTGCCCAAGTGACCAGGACCAGGTGGCATTTGCCCCATCACTCCTCGAGGACCCATAGACAGGATCCCTCTACTGCAAACAGGCAATTAAGATCAAATGAACAAGGGTTATGGGAAAACATGATTTATTGATTGTTTGTAAAAATCCAGGATAAGAGCTAAAACCAGTAATTAAAAGTCCTATTTCTAAGGTTGGGCCTGTACCTTCATTTAGCCTTTATTACATATTATGAGCTTGTGCAAGAGCCACCAAGGAACTCACCTTAAGGTACCTAGCCCAGAATTTGGAGTTCCTCTGTTTGAGTTGTTGCAACTAATAATAATTTGCTCTTTGCTGATTTATACATCATTATTCATTCATTCGTTTATTTATTTATTCATTTTTTTGTTTTTATCTCTTAGTCATAACATATTAATTTAACCTTTAAGAAGGCAAAAGCTCTACAAAATAACACATGAGTAGAATTTTTGTCTCTTTTACAAGGGAAGGGGGGGGGGGTGCAGAAAGATTACTAAAACATGATTGGACCACAGAAATAATATTGACCTTTTGTCAATGACTGTCACAATAATAATGACAATGTAGAGTGAATATGAGATAAAAACTTGGAGACCCTTTGATGTTTGACTGAAATAGCTACAAAAACTCAACAGTACAACCTCCACATCTGTTATAGAGTGTTAATGCACATTTTGCTAATTCTACAATGTTTACCTTGCTGACTGTGATGACATATTCCCTCCCTGTGACCCAACCATGTTGTGAAGACTGGATGGAATGCTGGGAACACCTGGAGTGGTTACACTTCCACTGAGTGATGTTGTGGAGTGGGTGGGTCCAGGATGTGACAAGCTTCTACCAAACTAAATAAGTGAAGTATCAAAGTGTACTAATTAGGAATAATATACTGGTGCACAGGTTACAAATCCTTTTTGTAACCTCTAGAACTTATTTATTGAGGCAAAAAAGAAATCCAATTCTGGTTGGTAGTGAATTATGGCAGTATAGAGTAATATCATTGATGTGTTATTTGGTCTCATCATCCAACTTGTTCTTGCTGAGGTAGAGAACGATTTGCTTGCCAAGATTAACCAATGGCTTCACAAGAGGCTTAACTTCTACATGAAGATCAATTTCATAAATACCTGAGCAGATGACATTCCTCTTGGAGCACTTGGTGGAACCTGCATGGAATTGACATTTGGAGGAAGTCCTAGCAAATGACAACAATATATCATGTAAACCACAAAACAAACAGGAAATGCAAAAGTTGCCAACAATAAAAATAAACTCAGCATGAAAAAAAAAGAATGTGGACCACATATCAGTAAACTTGAGGCAGTTCACAAAGATGAACCGCCTTTTGGTTGCTTCAAACATTCAGTTCTTCACCAAGCAAAGTTTCTTAACTCTAAGGTGTATCGCTGAAGATTCAGCCTTGTGAGTTTTGCATCTCTTCACTAGTTCATTCACCTTTAATAAGTTACTCTTGTTGGTCAACTAAGTGTTCACCTGCTTTCTGATGCAAACCTCATCAATTTGTGCTTATTAGAACTTATCTTACCAAGTGAATGATATCATGTGGGATTTCCCACTTACATAAATAAAAACTTAATTAATTTTCTAAATACCAATGTTAGAAGTAACAAGCAGTTTCTGTTAGCTCAAAAAAATGTTCTGACAACCTGACCATAGCCAGGGCTGCAAATAACTGTTCAACAGATCATAACTGCTACCTAACCGTAGTTCTGAACAAATGTTTTCCCCAAATGAAAAGCAGTGAAACTGGACACTTGTGATTGGATTCATTCCTTTTAGTAAAGAAAAAGTTATTTGTGAAAAGATAGATGAACTTAAAAGTTTATACCTGAGCTTGGGAGCCCTGAACCATAAAAATTAGATTGGTGGGGTCCAGGTGATTGCATACCAGAAGGCGTTCCATAAAGACCCCCAAGATGAGGCTGCAAAAGAAACATTCTGTCATGATTGGTTGATATCAACACACACATAATGTTACACAAGAAATGAAAAGGAGACAAGACCCTTTCAAAAATAGAGTTTACACATAACTAAAAATTAATGTAGATTACTTAAATGTCCACCCTCAGTTTAATCTTTCCTTCAAAGTCACTCCTATACATAGCTTAATTCAAGAACAGTGAAAAGTCAAATATTACTCAGGGCTATGCTGTAAGTTAGTGACAAACAGGCATGGATAATGCAATAATACTCATGCCTAGAAAATCTCACAAGCTATAAACAGTATGAACTTTAACCTCCTTCTCTGGTCTGTGTGGAGGAAACATTGAAGGATTGAAGTACATTCCACCTGATCCATAATCATCTTCCCCATCATCATTAAAAACAGGCAACTTTTTCCTCAGGGAGCCAATAGCTGGCATGTTTTTCCTACCACCTAAGGTTTAGAAAAGCACAAGGCCTTATATTAACACACCAAGACTTGGTTTCTAAAAACACAGTTGGGTTGACTGTGTACAGAACTCTGAAGACCTGATAAGCAGACAACATTCAATTGTTGTTTGACAAAACAAAGTACATCTAACCATCATCACATGAGCAAAGTGTTCCATTAACATGACTTTATTTATGTGAACAGCATCAGTTAGCAATGAAATAGAAACAAGTTTGTTAACCCTAGTCCCACCTACAAAGAAATCTCAAGATCTAATGATAGTCTGAATCTGAGGCCTATGTCAACTTTTATTTATATAACCAGGCCTCAGTTGCTAAGGCAGTTACCCTAATTAATGTGAATAGTGCTTAGAACAACACTGCTAAGATGCTTCATCTAAAAGGAGAAACATTTATTCCTGTGTCCATGATAATATAGTATAGATTTGGAAAAATCAGTGGGAACAACTATGAGAATTATTTTATATGTTTTCACTTAATTGTGTTTTAATTATTTTGTATTGACAACCAGTTTTATAGCTGAAATGTACAGTAAGCACATTGAGAATTAAAACAGCACAAAACTTTTGTTATTATTATCATCACTTTCTTGTATACCATTGATTTACATGTGGAGTACCTGCTTAAAAAGTAATCTTAGTATGTATGCTGTACAGAAAACTTTAATTTTTAACCAAGCCCATCAGTAGTATTTACTCAAGCTTTTGTTAATTTACCATCAGTAGCATTTACTCAAGCTTTTGTTAATTTACCATTATTATGTACAATTCCCATCAGCAATTTGAACTGCTGTACTTGCTCTATAGATTGTTATGATAATGACACGCCTCTTCAGCTCTTGGACACTAATAATGATAGTACAAGAAACCATCTGCACAAATGCTATTGCTTAGAATGAATTTAGGTCCCAATGGCTCAGTTATTCAAACAAGTTCTATTGTGGACCACAATTTTTGATGTCCAATGGACTTTGAAAGTTCCTCGTTGATGGGTTTTTTAAATTTACTAGATCTTCCTTTTGGTGATAAATATAAGGCAGCCTTTTCCAGAGTTTTACAAAAACTTTACATTAAGGTGATAATTTCTACATGACTTCAGATAGTTTAAAGCCTCGTTTGATGAATACAGGCTTGAAGTTATATTTTCATTTATTCCAAATATATTATCATTATGTTAACTTTTGAACAAGGACAAATATAAATTGCCAATTTTATTTTAACTTGTGACCAATATCCTAAAGTAATGTAAGTAATGTTTTCTGTCATTTTTAAAAATCAAAATGCAAAAAAGTATAAAACTACCATTCATTGACAGATGAAGCATAAAAGGACAACACACAAACAATGCACATTTCGAAATTATAATTACTACAACAAGACTTTTTTTACCTGGGGAGAGATCCTGTTGACCTTTCCTTGGAGGAAATGGATACCTGATTTAAAAATATGGAAAAAATAATATTAAGAAACATCACACTAACCAGTATTAAAACAATACATCTCATTGTAGCAAATATCATACAATGTAAGTATATAATATATAGATTTAGCCAAGCCTAAAAGCGGAGCTCGCATTTTTTTTCTTGCATGTCTCAACTAGAACCCGGGTCGCCCGACTCCAAGCCCAGTACACTGACCACTGGACTACTGAATAAAGCCGTGGCATTGGTGTGCCTATGGTACAGTTGACCATGCATGTTAAAAGTAGCATCTTGTGCGGTCGTATGGTCGTACGGTCATTCGATCCAATGCTTTTAAACTTCTGATGAAAATTTCATCGTCAAAGAAGTTCCCACAAGTCATAGCAAGCATGGCAATCATTTGTGTACGGATATTATTCCAGGGTGATGGAGGCAGGCTGGAGCAAGTTCTAGATGACTAATTACCAGTGTTTACAACTGAATGGGAGTGAGCGAGTGATTGACTTGTTTGTATATCAGAGTTCCTTAAATTTGAACTGGTTTGAGTGCAAGTAATAATAACTGCAAAAAAATGACTCTGATTGGTTTGGAAAAGGGGAACACACTGTGTCTTGTCATTAAGACCTTTCATAGGGAATTATGACTTGCAAGTACCAGTCTACACCAGACTTATTGGATACAGAAATCAAGTTTCATAGTTTTTAAAACAAAATGAAATCAATTGCAAATACACATAGAGTTGCTTTCATTAATAACACACTATACTCACTGGCTTATTCCAGAAAGTGGATCACCCAAAGGGCGATGGTGTGCCATTAGAAAAGAAGAACAAATCTTAAAAACCAGTACAGGATGGCCAAGACCTAAAAAGAGAGATTAACATTAAGAACCATTTGTTGGGTGCAGTCTTTATATTATAGTGCAATCATTATGTTCTGTCACAAAGCTATCACTTTCAATCAGGCTAACAAGGGAGACAGGGCAGGTGGGATGACTATCACTGTTTTATACCCACACACAAAAAGTTTTACATCATTTCCCAGCTTGAAATGAAAAAAAAAAAAAATATATATATATATATATATCACAACCTTTAAACAAAGTACACAAAAGAAATTGAAGCAAATATATAATACAGGCCCATGGAAATTCATGTTTTTATACCCTCTCCTCGCCAGGGACCCCACTGTAACTTGGCACCCATGGTGCTAAGACAATTTCTTTATGCTGTGTTACAGTGTGGTCCCCAGCGAGGCTCAGTTTAAAAAGGAAGCAAGGTTACCTAGCTGGTTTTCAACGGTCGTGTGTCAAGGTTGATGTGGATGCAGGCTGTTAGAAACCTCTAAACTGGAAATTTTTTAAGCTAACTGTGGCTTAGCGTCAGTTGCATGGGGAAGATTGAGTTTGTAGTGAATTGAAATGAAACTACAGTGAATGTGATTGGATTCTGCATTGGATTTGTGGCCACCTGGTCACTTTACACTGGAATTTTTTGCTTCTCAGATTGGGTGTTTGGAAATGGAGTGTTCAGCCTTGGGCTTTTCTTATGTACATTGAAAACCTTGAAATGGACACTTGCTAAAATGCGTTCTTTTCATTAAAGTAAGTGGTCAGATAACAAGCAATATGCTGTGGAAGTAAGGTGAGGTATTTTCTTTGAGAATTTGATGTATTTTTTTATTCCTTAGAACGGTTGTAAATATTCCCATACAAACTCTTATAATTCCACTATGACTGTTATTGTGCAAGATGATCATCCAAAGCTGGAGCTTGGACCGCCTGTGTCCCAACGTACTTCAATAGGACAAGCAAATGAAGCTCAATGTTTTCTACTATACCTGTTTTATACCTTATTATTATAAAACTGTTCATGAGGGGATGTTAAACTTAACTTGAGATACAATTTAGCCTCAACAGTCTTTTCAAAACAAGTAGCAGTAAGTTGTGAACAATCATACATCAAATTCTATCATCCTGTACACTGTCCTCAGAATGTTAGTGTAAACCCAACAATTTTTGGTGCGATCACTAAAAAGGGTGGCACTACGTTATGAAGCTTCCTTTTCATAACTTAGAGAAAATGTCCGTTTACAAGAACAGCGCTCGAATTTGCGCCTCATTGCTCTTCACGTATTCATACCTTATTTTTATAGGGTACGCACCAAGAACATTAATTAATGTAAACAATGAACAGATAGATATTAAAATATCAGATGTCATCACGCGAACAGGCTTGTTTGTTCCATGCCAAACAAGATAAAATGACATTAGAAACACTTCCGGAAACCATTCTATACATTGGTGCAGTTATTTTAAAACAGTACGTTTTGCAACTTAAATGCATATTTAGTCACCTGTGTTAACTGTATCCTGACAACATTAACTCCAGCTTAAGGTTTTTGAGGCAGAATTTTGGGCACAACCTTGTGGATTTACCCTTTCGATTCAAAAAGTTGATTCCTTTCGTTACATGCGCAATAGAATAAGACACGCTGACCTTCATATGTTACCGGCTCATACATTGGTGTGTTCCCACACCTGGTGCCGCAAATATGACATACGAAAGCAAAGCATCTATGTCGTGGCACGGAAGGAGTCATAACGGGTCAATTTATTGACCAATTCCTGTGCAAAGTCCGGAAAAAATATCGAACACGGAATCAGGTTTCCCAGAAATATAAAAACAAGAAACTTTCAAATTTCCTGAAGAGGATTTTTCCACGTTCCAGTACTGATCCTCCAATTGAGAAGTTTGGTTTTAATGATTATATAAATAAAAATGACTCCTAAGTAATCATTTCATGTTTTTAACACAAATAAAAGCGAGTGAAAAAACCGAGATTGCATCGACAAAGATTAGCATAGAAGCAGCAACGCGGGAACGAGGCTGGGTTGGCTAAGTAGACTTTGAACTTCTCACTGTTTACTTATTCGCCCGCTAAGGAGGTGTGTGTGTCGGCGTGTAAAGTTCTGTAGCCAAAGAACGCGAAAACCGTTTTGCGCATAATAGTGTTTACAATCTCTGCTGAGGTGATAGGGTAAATAATCCTTGGAACTTCAACAGGATCAATATGGCTGAAGCTAGACTTGGGGTAGCATTTCAATTCCAAGTGACCGAGGATGGAATTATCGTCAACTTCGACAAAAACGGGCTTAAATCTGTCGGTCGAGCTATGGTGAAATCTGCCAAACGGCGGGTTAAGGTTGCAAAGAAGGCGATTTTAAAGCGATCGTTCCCTGCAACCCCAGCATCTTGGATCCTTCTTGTTGCTGCCTTGGGTGCTGCTCGGTATTCAGAGCATGAAACAACTCTGGGAGTATTGGGAAAGTTGGAACGTGGATTGCCTTGGTAGGTAGAGGCATTTACTAATTGGACTTTGCCCGCTTCGTCGAAGATTGGAAGAACTTTTTTTCTTAGCCCATAAGCCGTTATGAACTTCGTAATAATATTTGATACTGCTTAAGTTGGTGCTATTTACCTCCCATTAGTAAATGTTCTCGCTCTTTTTACTGATTAAGGTTTTGCTATTAATTTTTTTTACAGATAAACTGAGCTTAATTTGGCAATAATCATCTGACACGATTTAAAATGTGAATCGCGACTAGTTTTATTTTCATCAGATAGTTAATTTTGAATCCTTTATATTTCCTTAAGAAAGAGCAGCTTCATTAAAATGTATGTTTACGTTACTATCATTCAATGCGAGACAGGTGTGAAAATGAAGCTAATAATAATCGAGAATGTATTTCAACATGTGAACAGAACTTTGCCCATTAATCACCGAATCTTGAAGTTTGTTGGGTCAATAAGACCCCATGTATTGCTCTTCGTAAAAAAAGAGCGACAGATGAGGATGTGGCAAATGGGTGTGATCCTAATATTATAATAAAGCTAATAATAATGGTTACTAGGAAGGTTCGTCGGGAAGTTTTGAAGTAGGAACCATGTTCTTAAAGTTGGGCTCTTTTTCAATCTCTGCTGAAGAGACAAGAGGGAAATCTCGATTTTGTAACTGGCCAGTATCATAGGAACTGATGATCATCTCGTTAACTGGATCGAATTAAACCAGAGAAGAAACTTACCCTTTTTCTGCTAACTCTGTATGCATAATTACTTTCGTTATGTTTTGTTTCTTTTGTTAAGTTGATAAGCGAAAAGAGAAAGAACCAGGGAAGAAACTTATTCTTTTTCTGATAACTCTGTATGCATAATTACATTCGTTATGTTTTGTTTCTTTTGTTAAGTTGATTAGCGAAAAGCCATACCTGTAACAACGATACCCATGCGGTTTGGAAAGGACGTAGGCCGCTTAATTTGTCTTCTGCTATGAGTTTCCTTAGTCATGTTTTATGAGTCTTTGTTTTGACTGCAATGGCTTGATTTTAGGTAAAGATATCAGCAGAAAAAGATATTTTGAATTGAGATGAAGGATTTTGCTTAGGGTTGGGACATAAATAAATCCAAAAATTTAAATTATTTACTCACTAACCAGGTCTGTATTTGGAAGCACTGCCTATCAAAAGAGTTTGATACATGTTCAAGGATAAGGCAGCAGATATTTTGTGTTGTATTATTTTGCCTCAATTTGAGCCGGATATTGGGGGTGGGCCTTAAAGTAATGACAACTAATTTGAATTTCCTCTGCTGACCACGTAGTGAAACTGTAATCTGGCTTTCTTGTTTTGGTTTTTTTTTGATGATTATTGAATTTTGAGGGTTCAACTTGTGCAGAATACATATGAAAGTTGTTTGCTTGAAGTTTTAAATTTATTTTTGTTTCATATTGTATGACATTATCAACTTTGCATTGATAATGATTTTCGTGCTGGGACACCAACTCAGTTTACATATATATAATGTATATAAGTCTTTGTGCTATTTTGGCAATGTCTGTGACACCTCTACTCGTGGATTATTAATTTCTCATAGAATTATGAAAGGCATATGTTGAAAAAACATATCACTTTGTTTTGTTAATACTTCTTTTTAGCTTTACTCTCTTTCCTAAGCTAGATCTTATCATGTAAATAATTCTATAAATTAATTAAAACTGGATCTTAACTATCTTTTTGGAAATGGTGCTTCTCTTTTATGAATGTTTACTGTTATTTATGCTTAATTTCCTTAATTTTTCTCTCTTCCGTTCCTAAATATGTACAGTGTAATAATTGTATTTACATCAGTCATGCCAATTTCTTTTGAATTTGAAGAAGATGAGATGAAGTAATCTGAATTTTAATGGGATTTTTTTTGTAAATTTTCCTTTCATATTTTTTTCTACATCTAATTGAAAGATCTGAATGTTAAGAAGAGTCATTGATGTTGTCTGCAGTGTATACTAAAACAAGTTTAATTAACCTTTGGCACTGTAAGAATGCATATTCTCCATACTGTTCTGTAAACATTTCCCAAGGTGCTGACAAAGAGAATTTGTTTAACAATCAAGAGCTTGTGAAGTTGGTGATCATTTGTTTTCTTCTTGTGATCTTAATGTTTGATTCAGGAGTGATTTGTGTGGAGAAATTAAATGCTAGCTACTCCTAGGGGTTACAGGGTTGAAAACAAAAGTCATTTGTCCAAAAGAAAAGCATGTTTAAAATTGTCACACAAAAGACCCAATTAAGGGCACCATTTGGAATCAGTCCAGCCTGTATTTTTTATACTTTTAATCTTTTTAAACTTTTAATGCTCAGATTTCATGGAGTTGTTTTATTTGGTATCAGATAATTTCCAGAGTATGAAATATTAGGGAAAAACTATTGTTTATCATTCATTTTTTTTTTAAACACAGGAGTCACAATTTAGATCCCAAAACAGTAATAGCAGTGGCAGTGTTGGTGTGTGCAACAATACTGTGGATGCTGTTAGGTCACATTCAGCAGTTCACCTTGCGCCAGCTGTTGCGTTATAGAGCATTTCTGTATGAACCAAGAGGGTAAGATTACTTGACTTTGATTTCATGATAGAAAACTCAAGATTTTAAAAAACTTAATAAATGAATTACTCATAAAAACAATTGTATTCTTTTGTTGTAGGAAGCTGTCATTAAAAACTAAGTGCTGGCTGGTATGTTTCATTTAGTTGACATGTTTAGTCTTTGTGGTGAATATTATTTTCAAAATTTATCATCCTTTACTCTCATTCTTTCCTCTTGTGACTTCAGGGATTAGTAAAACTCCTTGGTGGTAAAAACCCAACTTTGTACAGTTATGAGAAGTCTTTGCCATCTTTGCCTGTTCCTGATCTCAATGCCACCACAGAGAGAGTAAGTTATATGTTAATTTTCTCATTTTTGAATTAATTTCTGATCATAAAAGAAACTCAATGTCACAATACTAAAATTATTTCATTTTTCAGTATTTGCGTTCTGTTAGACCTATTCTTGGTGAAGAAAGATTTAAAAAGATGGAAACATTAGCAGAAGAATTCAAGGTTTGAGAGAGCTTTAATTAAATCAAACTTTCCTGTTAGATATATTACCTATTTTAATTTATTTATAGATATTGACTGGGCATGTGCTTGAACAATAAGTTTTGTACATATATTGACTTCCTAGTGTAGGTTCTGAAATTATATTCTGGCAGACAACTTTATTTCCCACTTTTTAACTATTTTTAAGTAACTGATTTGTTTATTGTTTTTGTGTCTTTTATGATTTGATATTTTGCTGTATAAATAAGTTTGTCATAAATTGTTCTAACAGTTGTATGTTAATTCTCTGGGAGTTATAACTATAAAGTTGATGTGATTTGACAAATTCAGTTTTCAAGTAAAGGGTTCAATGATGGTCTTCATAAGTAGCCTGTTTCACTTATGGCTGCAATTAGGTTTCGTCACACACAAACCACAGCTCTTCCCCAGAACCTTACATTTGTGATCTAAGGTAGCTTTGACACACTTTTTAATGTTATTTTTCTTTAGAATGGTCTTGGGAAGAAGTTACAGCGCTACTTGGTCTGGAGATCCTGGTGGTCCACAAACTATGTTAGTAAAATAGTTAACAGTCATGGGCACCCTCCTAGTCTGCCTGTTGGGTACTGATCATAAAATTTGTATTAGGATTTCGATTTACTTCAGTATTAGTAAGAGTTTTCAATGAACATTGACTTTTATTAATCTAAACTAGTCATTAAACATACCTACAGGTGACTGCACATACAGTAAGGTTTAATTGCCTTTTCACGATTTCTCTCTTAGGAAGTTTTAATAAATTGAATTAATTTGTATTTTGTCATGAAATCTTTGTGAACCTGGTAACATATCTATCTTAAACTAAACACTTAGTTAACATTGTTCTTACATATTAAATTTAATTTTAACCCTTAGTTATCACATGTGCTTTCCATTAGTAAACTTACAGCTTGTTATTTTGACCAGTGACACTGCATATATATGTTAAGTGAGGAATATGATAAAATTTATGTCACTGTGGTAATAATTTATCTGTAACTAATTGTGTGCTTGACTTTTAACAGATCAGTGACTGGTGGCAGCAGTTTGTGTATCTTCGCTCCAGGGAACCTCTTATGATCAATAGTAACTACTATGGAGTGGTCAGTATCTTTCAGTCTTATGATTTGATATTAATTGTGATGTAGTTAAACATAAAAGATGCACACAACTAGTAGTAGAAAGTAATACAAGTGAATCCAGGGCTGACTATCAACAGCCTGAAACCATTGGCAGGTAAATCTACAATTGTGTTGGGTTTCACAAACAACTGCAGTCATTAGTGTAAGATATGGTTGAAAAACGTGGCAAATTGATTTTGCTCTTCGTAAAAAAAAAAGTTAAGAGTCAAGATTCCTCACACAGGTATTTCTTACCTTTGTGTAAACTCTTTGTTTAAAAAACTTAGATCCAGACAGACCCTGTTTATTTTTCTATTATATCATATGAAAATGTTTTCCTTGGTTTTTTGATGGCTAGTTTCTGTTATAAGTTTATATTTTGAAATATTAGCCACATTTGTGGTACTGCAGCTGTTTTGAGTTTTTTTTCACCACACCATTTTATCCAGGACTCTGTGGAGGTTCCATCACCAATACAAAGTGCAAGAGCAGCCAATATAATTTATGCCATGTACGCGTACAGAAAACAGATCTTCAAGGAAAAACTGGAACCTGTAAGTTTAATTTATAATCACTTTATACAATAATTACTCGTTGAAGGCCCTTGAAGTTTATGAAATTTACTATTTTAAGTCCATATTAGAGGTGCATTCCTTTTGGAAGTTTTATAAATAAAAGGAACACAACCATAATTTGGAATTGAATCACTCTACTCATTTTAGGAATAGTTAAAAAAATATAACATTATTAAAAAAACTTTTTACCCTTTATGGTGGCTAATTTACGTTTTCAACCCACTTGTTCACACTAAATTACCTTTTTAGCCAATAGTTAATCCCCTTATCCCCTTGTTCAAAGTTTGGATAATGCTGTCCACTGGATAAAACTCTATTCAAAGGATAACACTATATGTTTAGCTATCACTTACAGATCTGCTGGATAGCGATTTTTCCGTTGGATAGTGTTATCTCCCTTTTATACAACTGGGCCCAGAAGACTATTTTGATTAAAACAAAAACTCAATTTTGAGTTGTAGAAAACTTGTCATTGTTGATATTTAGTTTTATAAATGAATGCACCCCCCTTGTTGAGGTCTGTTTGGCAATAGTGGCTGCTCGTAGTGATTAGTCAGGAGCTTTTACTTGATAGGTAGCTTCTAAAGAACATTCAGACGTTAGTCCATAACCGTAATATGGTTTCGTTTGCAGCAATTTGCAATGGGTTTAATCCCACTTTGTTCAGAACAGTTCAGGAAAACATTTAATACAACTAGGATCCCACTGAAAGAACAAGGTGAATGTAACAATCATTTTCTTCTGGTTGAGGTTGTTTTCTCCTGTACCATATGCCTCCTTACATTACTTGCATTAACTGTATCAAATGGCTGTTACATCCTTTTCATCCAATATTACAATATTGTTTATAATAATTCTTATCTATAATAAAATCTTGTTTGGGCACTTGGTTTGATTGACTGTCAGCGCAGTTTAGATAACCCTTTCTCACCATAATTTGTTCGAATTTGTCATGCACAATACTGTAGTTAGGGAACCCTTAAAATTAATTTGTCAGTTTTTGTTTGTGGAATTTTTACTTTTAGATCACCTCCATCACCATGGTTCAACATCCCATACTGTTATCTATCATCGTGGAAGATTTTTTAGACTTGAGGTCTTTCATCGTGGACAGTTATTGAAGGCTGCTGATCTGGAAAAGTACGTCTTATTATGTATTTTGCAGCTTCTTAGAAAATAGGGTAAATGACAAAGCTGTTTTAAGGGGAATACCTGGGTGACATAAGGCCCTTGTTTTACAAAAACATGGGGTGCTCAGATCTTACAAGCATATTTAATTAACTTCTCAAAAACAAAAGTTGACATACCAGGTCTACTATTGCACAGTTGTGAATATTATTATTCAAAAGAAATCTGTATCAAGGAATGTTCTTAACTTTTGATAAATCCACAGTGTTGAAGTATTGTCATTAGACCCTTACCATGTATACTGCTGTATAATTAAAGTGAAGGAAGTTGTGCTCTAACGAGAGAATCTTCCTTCCCTGAGCAACAATTAGAGGATTAGGAAATACATGTATTTGCGCCAGGTTATTGTTGCCTGAATAAAGGTGCAATTTTTTCATAAGAATCTTTTTAAGATTCTGGTTGGCAGGGTTGAAAGTTTTAATGACATTTATGAATGACTTACAGTCTAAGGCCATTGTAAAACAGTTCATAGTATTTTATGGCTAAGCTGCACTATCAAACTTTTTGTCATAATAAACTCATTCCATGATTTTGTTTGTTAGACAAATTATAAAGATCCTGGAAGATGATTCAAAGCCAGCACCTGGAGAAGAACTTTTACCAGCATTAACTAGTGCTGAGAGGTATAATGACACAATACTGTTAACAAAACATATTCTTGTAATTTACAATCCATGTCATTTCAATGGAAAAATATTTCATTGAAGTACTTTGTTGCAACCTTTACTCAAACATTTCAGAAATCTGTGGGCTGAGACAAGAAGTACGTACTTCAGCAAAGGTGCCAATAAGGAATCTCTGGGTTGTATTGAGGATGTAAGTGAAACCATTTGTCACATCCATGTAGCACAAAGAAAAATTTAAATCTCAGCTAGTTCTGAAGGTTGAAGTTTATAAATTAGATGTGACACATCCCTTGCATGGTGTAAGAATTGACAATACAGAAATGGTTGTCCTAATTGTCAATAAAGCTCAACATCTATCATCTTTCTCACTCTATCTGTAGTGTCTAATGTCAAACTGTTATAAAATAATCACTTCATCCATGGAGACTTTCAAATTTAATTTTTTTCTGTATTTCACTGTATCTCCTGCATGAGATGCTGGTCCATTTCTTGTTACCTTTGGTATTTTTTCAGGTTTCCTCAATAGTTTGTGAGTAAAATCATTAAAAATATGATTATTTTGTATCATTCGATAATGTGTGTGAGGGAATCTATGCTGTTTATTTTCCTTTTGTTTGAAAATTTTTCAGGCTGCAGTTTTCTTGAGTCTGGAGGATTTGTCATTGAATTATGGAAAGGTAAGAGCATAATATTTTGAATGTTAAGACTTAAATGAAGTAAGTAGATTTGATATATTCTGTGAAAGTGGCCTCTTGAAAAATGTTGGAGCTGTTCCTTAGTTATCCTGTGGTATGGGAAGCTTACTATAAAGATTTAGTGATAACCAATCACCTGCTTGTATATTTTTGAAAAACAGGAAGATTCAGAAGACATGGACTCTCTCTGTCGATATCTGCTTCATGGCAATGGTCACAGTTGCTGGTTTGATAAATCATTCTCTGGCTACATCTTCAAGAATGGCAGGGTAAGAGCCAAGTGGTAGATGATCATAATGGTAAAGTAGTGTAGCTCATATTTTACCACAATTGACAGTTATGTCACATTCAGATTGGCCAATTTTCAGTTGTTGACAAGAGTACAGAGAACACTGCTAGCCTCAACCTGTCACACAATGCCTTTAACAGCTCTCAAACATGGATCACTTGGAAATTTTAACATCAATAATCTGGTTAAAAAAGCAATTTGATGGTGGTTTAGTGGAGTCTGTACTCATATCAACTACAATATTCGTCATCACAGTGGTCCAAATTTGTTGCAAACTATAGCATTTTGACTGCTGTGATGAGGAATCTTGTCATCCATAAGAAAATTGACCACACTAAACCACTGGCAGTTGGTTAACTGTACATTCCATCTTTGAACTTACCATCTGCTTGACAGAGAGTATTGAACATGCTGAAGAGAATAATGATTTGTGACAATGTCCTTTAAATTTAAAAGTCTTCATTAACTTAAGAGGCCCCCTCCTTCCACACATTGTTTGAATACAGCTGAAAGGTTAGATAAAGTATACTCCTTCTTGTATTAAATAAGGGTGGGGAAGGAAGACCAACATCATACATGTGCATTCAGATAGGAAAAATAATTAATTAGACTAACTGATATAGTTAGAACAATTACATTGTTCTGCTATTGTTGTTCAATTGAAACTTTTCATTTTCAAGGACTTACAATTATGAGACAGTGTGTATTGATGCTGCATAATTTGAGTGTGTTCTAGAAATTTTATTTATTTATTTATTTATATTTTGCAGTTTGGCATTTGTGCAGAGCACTCATGGTATGAACACTTGTATAAAATAATCTCTCCAAATATACAGATATACACACAGTCTAGTAACATTTATGCTCTTCCATGCTCTTGACCAATGATTATTTCACAAAAATATCAAATGAAATGAACGTAACAAGTTCAAACTTGGTGAGATTGACAGTTAAGGGTTGATTTTGAGAGATTTCAGTCCATGAAGGGTGTGTTACTGAAGGTATTCTGTCAATGCCTCTCAATCCCCAAGTCACCAATGAAGGTAGGGGGCCAAGGGGCTGCAATGGCAGTCACACCCAAATGCCCCTAGAACACCTGACTGGCATACCCAACCTGCAACCCAGCCACAAGCTCTGTGCATGTCACACTAGAGCCAGATGGCTCAATGGAAGGAAAAAAATAATGAATAGGAATAACTTAAGATAGATGAACAGATATAAAACCCTGGACAAAAATTCCTCCAGTTGGGGATGAGAACCGCTATCCTTAAGGATGACAACGCCATGCTACAGAACAGCAAACACATTGCAAATACATGGAAAGACAATGCATGCACTGATTAAAAATACCACTGGACAAAGACAGCCCCAGGGGTTCAACAACCAGATGATAGCTGCTGATGCTACAAAATGCAACAAATGCAGTAAAAATTCCAACAGAACAGCTGCAAAATGTTACTGACCAAAATTTGCCCCTAGTCTTCAACCATGTTAAATTCCTTTTAACCATATTAAATACAGTGCTCACAAAAACAATTATGCAGGTTTAAGAGTTGAGTAAAACATACTGTTAAGACAATAGGCAAATGTTAAATTTAAGATTTTCTATGCATTTTTAGGGCAGATGCTCCTATTGTTTCTCATCTTGGGGAGTTTCTTATGATAGAAGACATCCAAGTTATGGGGCAAGTAATCAATTTTAGTACTGTAAGGTTATCAAACATGCAAACTGTTTTTGTCGTTTCCCACATGGTTGGTTATGGTGTCAGCTTTTTTCAATTGTAACAGAAAAATCATGAACAACTTTGTGATTATGCAACCCACAATTTGCTTGGATAGCTCGTTTTGTGTTTGTTCAGGTCCTTATGTTGATTTGTTGTTGATACTGATTTGCTTATTTTGAACTTAAGTTCTGGATTTTTTCATATGAAGTAGGCCACATTGTATACTTTGTGTACATTTCCATATTTTTTTAAACCAGCTTACTTAACCTGTGTGAGCTGGCATTGGTTTGCAGTTTACTTGCAGAAGAGGGATTTTACTCAACAATCTCATAACAACAGTGTAGCACTCCATAGTCATTAACTCTAACAACTATCTTCAGATACAAGGAAGATGGTCACTGCAAAGGTGAGCCAGAGTTTGACCTACCCCCACCAACAAGGCTCAAGTGGGACATCCCTGAAAAGGTGTGGCACTGCATTCTTATTTCATGAACTGTTTATACTGAAAGGTAAAATGCTAAATGTTTTGGTCATGGAAATCCCAACAAGTTTTGCTATCAAGTTTTCAAACATAGGCATGCTACATATACAAGAGTTATTTTGTTGGCTGGGTGGGTTGAGGTGGGACAAGTTGTACAATTGATGTTTTAATTTTTTATAGAAAATCTTAAGTTCCATGTGGAATTTTTCCCAGGGTTTGGATAATGTAGTTAGAAAATGTGATAAACTGCAGATTCTTTGCAAGGAAATGACACTCAATGGAACAAAGGCTAATTGTGCAAAATGGAAATTGATTGGTGGAATACAAATTAAGCTTGTGAAAACTTGCCTAGTGTTCATGTAGTGCAATGACTGGGTATGTTCTGATTGGACTTTGGATGTTGTTTTCATATCATGTGATGGAATGTAAGTTGTTTTCCATGTACTTTGAGAGTAAAGGGGCAGAAAAAAACATGCTTAACATAAAAATGTGACAGAAAATTATCTTCCAACCTTTCTTATCCTGAGAAATCTTGACCTTATTCTTAGAGGTTCTTGCAAAGGCCACAAACCATTACACTTACCTAATGAGCCCAAAATTTCTGGGTAATGTCATTTGTTGTGCACAGCCCCCCGATTCCATGACATTGGCAAGAAAACAATACTTAAATGTTACAAAAAAATTTCCTGCCAACCTTTCTTATCCTGAGAAATCTTGACCTTTTTCCTAGAGGTTTTTGCAAAGGCCACAAACTATTACACTTACCTAATGAACCCAAAATTTCTGGTTAATGTCATTTGTTGTGCACGGGCCCCTGATTCCCTGACATTGGCAAGAAAACAATGCCTAAATGTTACAAAAAATTACCTACCAACCTTTCTTATCCTGAGAAATCTTGACCTTATTCCTAGAGGTTCTTGCAAAGGCCACAAACTATTACACGTACCTAATGAGCCCAAAATTTCTGGTTAATGTCATTTGTTGTGCACGGCCCCCTGATTCCATGACATTGGCAAGAAAACAATACTTAAATGCTACGATTGATGCAAGATACATAAATGCTGTGATATGATTGATGCAAGCTACATGCCCTAATGGAGCAATCTGATTGGTGCAAGATACATATCCTAAGGCAGGGATCTGACTGGTGTGAGCAACATGCCACTCTTCACACTATTAACATAGATTTTTAAAAGTCAGAAAGTCTTCTGATATATCTCTTTCAAAAAGAGCAAAATGCTCTAATTATGAACATGTACTTCCATGTTGGTTATTTATCCAAGTCTGGTGTAAAATTCAGGTTCTAGCCCTCAGTTGACAATTTTCTTTTTTCATATCACCACTGGATAATTGACAGATGAAATGTAACTTATTAGTTAAGTTACCATTCTTCTTCTAAGAATTTACTTGGTAATTGAACACAAAACAAAGAATTAAAAGGGACCCTGAGTAGTAATGACTCTGAGAACAATGTGATGGACCACCAAATGGTACTTATGGATCAACTTGCATGAGAAAGAAAAAGCATTTGAAAAGTTCCAGAGAATTTGAAACCAGGGCTATTGGAAACTATGCCACTGCTATTGTTTTGAGCTTTTTTTCATATTCTATACACATGGTTAATTTTGGTCTTAGAAAAATAAGACATTTTTCATTGACCATTAATTACTGGAATTAATTATAATTGGACCTTTTTTTCCTTCTACTCAGTGTGTTTCAATCATCGAGTCTTGCCAGGAGAATGCTGAAAAACTGATCAATGACCTTGACCTCCATGTCCTTGTACACACTGCTTTTGGTAAGACAATGCTCAAGATAAATTACTTGGAAATGCAGTGGCCTATTGGTCACTGTGTTTAGAAATGAATTAAGGTGTCTTGAATCAAGGTTTGTCTTGTGTTCTTGAGTAAGAAAGCAATCCCTTTGACTCCTAGAAGAGGGTGAATGTAAACTTCTCACAATTTCATTACCTTAGCCATTAAAAAGATAACAAGAATCAAGATATATTTGTCAGCTAGGGGGTAATGACTTGATAAAAGACCTAATTCTTCCAACAAATTTACAGAGGAATGTACAGCAGTTAGAAAGGGAGAATTACCTATTACATCTTCAGGTTTAATAGGTTTAAAGAAAGCTGCTGTACAATGTTTGAACTGTTTTCTGTAGTATGCAAAATTATCTGCAACACTTGGTTGATCATCAACTATGGGTAAGATGTTGTTTAGAGCTCTTTGTCATGAGAAGTGGCTAACACTTGTAATATGTTAGCTTTCTGAATTGTCTACAGTAACTAGCTTTTCTCTTTCTAATCAATGTTTTGAATGTTCATTGATGACAACACAACCATTTCGTTACAAACTAATCAGAACCCTTCTCATTTCAAAATAGGGGCTTGGTTGTCGATTGTTACACTTGGATTTGCATCTAGCATGAGCTAAAACTGAAAAAGAAAATTACAAAGAACCAAATAGTTTTCTCATTGACATTTTTCAATGTTTCAAATTTTAGGAAAGGGTGCCATTAAAAAATGCAAATTGAGGTATGGATATCCTGTTTATATTGTAGTTGTTATAAATCACCTTTGCCTCAGACATTTTGCAGAGCAAAGGAATGGCACACAGCAACAGAGAAAAACTTTTTCTTTGCTTCTGAGACCCTTCACAGATAAACCCAGAATTCATAAAACCCATAATCCTGTAAGAACTTCTGACTCAATTGAACACAACCTAAACAGTCGTTGTTGATGTTCTTGTAAAAGTTGGCACTGAAAAACTGGTCTTCAGATTTACTTAAAAAAAGGGTGGCAGTGGCTTAAAATCGTAGAATGCATAGCAGCAAAGGGTTGTCTAGTTGGGTGAAGACACTTAAGAAGACAAGTTGCTACTACTTGTTACAAGGAAAATTTGGGATAACAATGTGCTTCATGCCAATAAAACTTTGTGTAAAACTTTGTTCAAATAAATCTTTGTCTCTATGGCTAAGATTTGTTTCTGCTGAGGCACAAATTCAAACTGGTTTGAATTTCGAATTGAAAATTTCATGCATAAGAGATGTTGCAAAATCAATCTAGTATTTAAAGTTGCAACATTTATATAAAGGGCAAAGTGTTTCCATCACACATAGTTACTGGTATATACATGTTCCAAGGAGTAGGAAATTAATCATTTTCAAAAATTTTGCTTGTGCTTTTGTCCTCTTCCACAGCCCAGATGCTTTTATTCAGATGGGTCTTCAGCTGGCCTACTTCAAGGTTTGTCTTTGCCAAATATGACTTTCACCTTCCTCTATATTCATTTAAATTTCGTAGAGGTACAGGGTGTACTCTTTAGCAGTTAAATATCGAGTTCTTCGGGAATGCAATTCATAAAAATGGATTTTGTTGTCGCTGTACCTTAAAGTATTCTTCAGATTAGAAAAAAGGAAAGTTAAAGGGAGCAGGAAAATTACTAAAACAACCTTAAAGAAACCAGAATTTTCTCTAAGTTATGTTAGAAAGGGGCCTCTTTTTGTTGAGGGAACGTGCATTTAACATGTTATGAAAATGTTTCATTGTTTTCAGGATCAACAATCTTTCAGTTTAACTTATGAATCCTCCATGACAAGACTTTTCAGGTAACAGGTCATTTCCTTCTTAGTCCTCAATATTTGCTCGTTGTTATTACGGTATATAACTGGGAGGTACCCCCAGTGATGGTAACTAGGGCCGTATTTTACCCTTACCAAAGCGGATGCAAGCTGAAACCAATCTCTGTGATCCAGCCGCGCTTGATTTCTGTTACGTGTAAGTACTTTAAGGTCTCACTGGCTCCATATGATGTAACCTTTACTCCGATCGGTTGAGGAAATTACTTTGGTTTTGCGTTCTTTAAGAGTCCCTTGGTTCCCTTGACTTTGGTTTTGACTGACATAGTCAGTATGATCAGTCAACCCTTTGACTCCCAGAAGTGATTAACATGAAACTTCTCCCTATAATATCCATTCATTAATCAGCAAATAGGTAATGAGAATATTCAAACTTATCAGGTGGAAGCTGCTATCTTGATCTAGCAGCAAGTTCTCATAACTAATTTACAAGGAAATGTGTAGCAGCTAGAGGGGAGAGTTAACAATCAGATTTTGGGAGTTAAAGGGTCAACGTAACTAATTCTCAGCCCCCTCCCTCCCCCAATTTCACTGATTTTATCTTTTGCTACTTTCAGAGAGGGCCGCACTGAAACAGTCAGACCCTGTACCACTGAGTCTTGTGCTTTTGTCAGGGCAATGCTTGACCCCTCTTCTAAGGTGGGTGTTTTTTTTTTGGTGGTTGTTGTTATTTTTTCACTTTTAACTCGCGAAAGTTACTAACATGTAACTTTTCTTCACACTTTCCACTTATAGAACCAGACGGTTTTCTCTTGATTTAAAACCAAATTCTTTAAACTACGTTACAAAGGTGAATTGTATGAATTCACCTATATTAGCTTCACATGCGCAATCAGGTTAGGCTCCAACAGAATGAACCATCTGGCTCATAACTGGCTGGCTTAAAATGGTCGTGCTATCATTCGGTGGACTGTTTAAACTCGTCAAATTTCTTTAATTCTTAATTTATCAGCCTGGGATACAAACAATTAAAGTGATATGTGCTTCTCATTTGTTATAGAAATCTGAGAGGAGAGAGCTACTTGAGAAAGCCGCGGAACTTCATGTCGATGGTTTCAGAAAGGCTATGTCTGGAGCAGGTGAAAAAAAAAAGTTAAAGATTTTCAACCCCCTTAAAATTGTCCTCTGCAGGCTTTAAATTTAATATGACAACTAGCCATGTAGCCATTTTTTACGAAACCATGAAATAGGCAAAAAAAATTTTGATGCTAGCGGGACTCCAGACGCGACCCTTTACGTAACATTATGAACAGACGACTCTGTATGCATAAAAATCAAATCAGTGTAAAATGTTATGGAAGTAATTTTTTTGTTCTCAATAGGTGTCGACCGTCATTTATTTGGCTTGTATGTTGTATCCAAGTACTTAGAAGAGGACTCACCGTTTCTGAAGGAGGTTAGTTTCTTTGATTTTTAAGGAGTCTATTGCCGAATTGTTGAGCGTTCAAAAAGATTTGGGATTTTTTTTAGCTTTTCTGTATTTCGTACTGTGATTGGTCTAGAAAACTTGTTGTACCGTCTGACCACTGGAAACTGCAAATCTTAAAGCATATATTTTTTCCTGCGCTCAAGACAGTCTGCTAATTTTAATCTAGTTCGTGTTTGCTCCTTTGATGCTTTCTTTTGTTTTGGATTCACAATAGTTTTTGCTATTATGGCGCTCAATCAAAATGCACTTTGTACACCGTGTGGACATTCACAGTAATGTCTGTAATTTTTTCTCTTGCAGGCTCTCAAAGAACCATGGAAACTGTCCACAAGCCAAGTAAGTACAGCTGTATGTCATGAAATCTTAAATGAAGCATGGTGAAGCATAGTATGTATATGACTGCTTGACTTCCAGAACCAGCCTACTCTAGGCAGTCAGTTTGTTGATGAAGGGGGTGATAAAGAGGAACTAGGAATAGAAAAGAACGAGGGGGCGTTGGGGGGGGGGGGGGGGAAAATTAAAAACCTAATACACTGGGCCGATATTCTCTCACGCGATCGTTTGTTTGTTTCCATTTAACAAGAACTTGGCACAGGCTCTCCAGAACAAGTGTCACGTATGAAGAAAAAAAGATTATTAGATTGTAGGTCGAAGATTTATCGTCGGTGCCATTTTTAACTCGTTTCCCCTTCGTACCACATGTAGAATAGCGAGCGAAATGTTTTTGTTGTTTTTAATTTGATTACGTGATGTGCTGTTTGCATTGAAATGCTCTTCGCATTTCAGACTGCAACCCAGCAAACAAATAGAGGAAACTACATCAAGTATCCAGGAATGAAAACGGCTGGAGGAGGGTTTGGACCTGTAAGATAACTTTCTATTTCGTTAAGCTATCCTTTCTCAAGAAATCATAGGGTACTTCGCTGGCTAGTCTTGCAAAATTTGGTTCTACATCAAAATCACATATCCTGGTTAGTAGACAAATTGATTCATGCGTTTTTGAGAGGGCTACTCCTTCAGTTACTCTTTCTCTCTATTATCAATCAAACAGCCATGAAAATCAAAAGATTTCCTGTAAATGGTGGTGTCCTAAATTCTCGTTACGAAAGCCTGTCTTCTTCACTTTGTTTTAGAATTAGTAAAGGAGTTTGCACATTAAGTTAAAGGCTCAGAGTGGGTTTCTTTTAGGTGTAGCTGTCGCAAACTGTTTTCTACCTATTCTTATTTAGTTATTTATCTGTTTGCTTTATTTTTATTTGTATTCTTTTTGGGAGGGCTGTTGAATCTGATATTTCACAAACTTGCAAACCTTATCTCGTTCGATAGGTTCAGATCGGTTCTTTGATTGTAAAGTTTTGTTTTAGTTTCACCGGTCACTACCGAATTACAAATTGAATATCACCTCAGATGACAAGTGTTGTTATCTTTTATCAGGTCGCTGATGATGGTTATGGAGTATCGTACATTATTGCTGGTGAAGATGTTATCTTCTATCATGTCACATGCAAGGTTTCGTCCCAGCTCACTGTAAGTATTTCAATTGTCTGTGCTTGGTCAGTTCGGACAGAAAGATATTTTTCGTCTTGACACGAGCGTGAGACAGCGGAAAGATTCTGAGGAGTCAAACCTAAGAGGTACAGATTCCACACGCTAACGCTCTACCACTGAGCTACAGATACTTTCTATGCTGAGGGAGGTCATTACACTTTGCTAGCTTCATACGTGACATGGCTGGTCTTACGTCCAGTCGAAAGCGTCATTTGTTTAAATCGAATAAGAGAGATGGTTAATTCTGAGTCGGTAATAAGATACGCCCTGTCGCGACTTAGAAAAAAATTCTGACTCCCATATTCAATTCTTGTTATTGCAGAATTCCCCTTGGGCAGTTTTATGTAGTTCTGGCACGATTGATATTAGTTAGGGTGGGTCGCAAGTGTTCCAAAGTCAGTTTTTCTCTGGAAGTTCCTCTCGAAGTTCGAACTAAACTGTTTTACTGCACTTAAACTTCTTTTCATTTTTAAATACTTTCTCGCGTTCTTTCCTCACAGGATTGCAAACGATTTTGTGCAACTATCAGGGAGAGCATGGCAGAAATGAAAGCTTTGTACGATGACTAAACCCGCAAAATCCATTAACATGAGGTTCAGATCAGTTTCTTTGGATGCTTTCGTACCAAGCCGAGGGACTTTTCTGATTAGCTTTCGCTCTTTTTGAGTTTCCTATGTTCAGCTGACACACCTAGCCCTCCCATCCCTACAAGAAATAGGATGCTTCCCCCCCCCCCTTCCAAATTGGCTACTTCAGCTGGCACTTTATAGTTTCAACACAACATAAAAACCTCCGGAATATGTAAGGAATTACTGACCAAAATATGAGCGATTCAAATTTTCCCCTCCTCCCCCGAAAAAAAAAAAAGAGAGAGAGAGTAGAAAATGTGTTAGTTTGATATAGGATATTCAGACAAGAGTTTATATAAAGTAAGTAGGAGTAAATTTATTGCATGGGAATTCGAGGTTGCACATATTTTCATTATTAACGGGAGCGAAACGCGAGATGCTTTTTCAGCTTCATTTGGTATCGGAGAATTTCACCTAATATTTTTTACAATACTTGGATATTTAATACTGTTTCACTAGTATCTGTAAAAGTTTGCAGAGTAAAAATGTAAACTATCCCACAGAATAGATTTTCATTCATGTGACAAGCGGCCATTTTTGTTTCCTCAAACGAAAGAGAATTTACAACGCATGGCCGATGTGAGGTCACGTGATAACGACAGAAAGCCTTGTCTCTCTGTGTCGTTAAAAGCCTGGTCAAACGCACGCACCATTTCAACAGAAAACATCTTACAACACTTTTGGATCGTGTTGTGAGATGCTGTGAAGGAGATGGCCAAACGCGCGCAACAGCTTACAACATCCAAAAATGTCGCAACACAAATATGGCCGTTTTCCACCTGATCCAACCCTTTCCAACATCTTTCAACATGTAGCAATATGTTGCCACAGGGTGTCCAAACGTGTCTAACACGTTGTTTTCTACAATGTTGCGTTGAAATGTTGCGTTCGTTAGGCCGGGCCTTTACACAACGTATCTACCTGTTTCGTTGCGTGACGCTTCAGTTCTTCTCGTTGCGTTATATTACAACCTAAATAGTTTTAATCAAACCGACAACTTTAGGTAAGAATTCCATAAATTATTCTAGCAACAGCCATAAGATCTTTTGAATATGTTTTAGGTTAAGTTAACATAATAGTATGTTATAATGCATGGTAGTTTAGAGTGATTTTGACGTTTATAACAAATGAGTAGACTTAGTTTTAAAGGATACAGTTTAAATAGTTTCATGAATGAAACAAAGTCAAATCGAAATTTAAGAATAGTTAAGTGCCAGACATTGTGTTACGCAGCGAAATTATATGCAATAAGAGCTAAATTGAAGAAATGACGTGGGCGAGAAGGGAGCGCACCAGGAAATGTGGAAAGAAAGTCTAGGAAATGCAGTTGAAGGTTAGAGCCGCGTACGGATGCGATTGCCACGCCGAAGCTAGGAGAAGACACTTTGATGCGTTATAGTGCAAGAAGAGACCGAAGAGTTTTTCGAGCTCACAGCTTATGGGTGGCTCTCCTTCCAAACGTAATGCGTAGTAGAGGTGAACATAAATTTGCAGAGATAGATTCCGGTGCCCCATGAACGCTGCTTTGGTACTTACTTTTTTCTTATTTCCCTTTTTTTTTCGTTTGGCAATGCTACTGGCACGCACATTATATTAGATTAACATGGGAAAGGGGGATTGCTCGTATTGCGCATTGCAGTGGATAGCAAGTTTCTCGGTAGTTTTGTGAACTTTAAAAAGCTCAACGGCTAAACGTAAATTTTTAAAGTAATTTAAGAGTGAGGTTTTAGTGTTAGTGTGAAGAATATTTCCTTAATAAAATCTTATGATTAAGATAGGACTTAACTAATGACCGCTTTCTCGATTCCGAGCTTAGGTCTACACTGAGAAAATTCTTTGGAAAACGATTGCGTTAAATTTCGAATTCTTCACTTCTTCTTTGTATTCAGTTTCCTTGCTCGGATCACCAGACAGAACTAGACGATCAGGTGTTCCAAGTAGTTGGAAGCAGTCGCCGAATAATATTTTAAGAGGTTGAATTAAGAGGCAACAAGCAGTCCCAGCGCATTTCAGCTTTCAACACCAATATGCTGTTATACTTAGGGGGACGAACTTGCACTAGGGCGAAACCACCATAAACCGTTCTATCAAGGCAAGATCTAGAGGGATTTATGGAGGTTTTGTCCCGTTGCAAGTTCGCTCCTACCACCTTTGCGAGTTTGCCTTCAGTAGTAAAGCAAGTTCGCCCCCTACTTGAACTCGTTTCCCAACAGCAGAACAAATTCATTTTCCATCGAAGTCATGCTGTATTTTGATCCATCAGTTAGTCTTTGTGGTACCAAGTATTATTAAGGCGCGATACCCGCACGAGATGAAAAACCACGAGACGACTAAAGCTAGGAATTCTTCAACAGCCTTCGTAACGATTCCTTGTTTGTGGTCAGACAAAAGTTATCCTTGCAAATGTATCTTTGAAATTTAGAGTGATCAGTGCATCATGAAACTTCGCGGAAATCGTTTTCCTTTGAAGGGAGAGCATTTTTCCGTTTTTATTGATATAGATCCAAAGAAATAATCTTTCAGTTCTATAAAAAGCGGGAAACATCTCAAAATAATTTCATAGAGGCATCCACCGACGCATAATTTAAATCAAAACTTTGTCAAGGAGAAGTATCTCAGTAGATGTGATCTGCTCATCATGGAAGCCGTGACGGAATTTTTTCATTGAAAAGAGAGCATTTTACTGTTTGAATCGGCGACTTAGGCCGAAATAACTGAGCGAGCAAGCTGCGAAATACGATACCTCGAGTTATTCAATAGGATGATAGAACGGAGGAAAGGTAGATCGGTGGAATGACGGAAGGAAGCTATAGAGATCATGAGACGCGGAAAGACTGAATATCCTAAAACGCGGAATGCTCTATTGTATGAAAAGAAATTCTCAAAAAATGAAATTGTAATAAAATGATAACATTATTTATAATTAACAGGTGAAATCAAAAGAAGCATAGGTGATCATTGTTAGAACCCAGAGGATTGTGGAACCATGAGGCTTTTAATTTGAGCTAGCCCCTTAAAAATATTGTCATACAGCTATTATTATCACTATAATTGTGTTAATATTATTATTTGTTACCATTTAACTTTTGGTGGAATATCAGTTATGCAATATATTCTTGAATCATCTTTCTCATGTGGAACATGGACAGGGTACTCATAAATATGTGGGATGAAGTAGGTTTTCTGTTTTGCATATGAGACAAATATTGTGCAACGCTGCCTTCTAACGTCATTATACAACCTCTATTTGTTTTCAAGGCTAAAAAAATTGTATCATACCGGTAGCCACATACAGTCTTTGACTACAGTCTTTGACTATATCCCTCATTTGAAGTGGGACTTCGACTAGGACTAGTGCCTCGCGGCGAAACTTTGTTTGGTACTCTTGGTACCAGGACTCTTCGTCCTGTTACTCATTCGCCTTCTGTCAAAGTTTACCAAAGTTTGAGGGCTTCTCTATGAATTTGTTTCCAGGTTTACAGAAAATTTTATGCAGAAAACTTAAGGAGAGGTAGGAGAAATGAAACACACCAGTTTTCTCTTCTCCCTGAAGTCGGAACTTTGTCAAGGTAGGTAAGATCACGACGGCAATTTTTTTCGGAAAGTTCTTGAAATGATTCAACACTCGACATCTGTAGTATCATCTATTTTAGTGCAAGCCGATAAGCGTCCCTGGTTTATTTTGTTTGATATCTCGAACTGTTTGTACAAATCCTCTAATGAGTAAAAGCAAGTACTGGTTTCTATAATTGGAGGGTAGGCGCAGCGCTAGTTATTTCGAAAGATTCTTCTTTCCTTCCTTTGCATTCACTTCTTGTCCCGGTGCGGCCATTAGCTTGCTCAATCAAACTCTTTCACTAGTGATTTCTGTGACATGACCTCGGCCGATATTGTGTAAACTAATCGCAACTACATTCCTCGGCCTAAGCAGTATAGCTCTCTTGATTATGCACTTGAAATCTTAGAGAAGACTTTGTTTTATGCGCTTTGGAGGCTGGAGGGTTTCTGTCACCCGTTGAGTCGCGTAAATTGTATCCTATGTTGAAGTCGGCAATATTACTAGATGTAAATTTCCACTTATTGAAGCAACTCATTAGCTGCATGTAATCGCTTCTGAAAACATTGAATTTCGAAGTCTTATCAAGGTCTATCAGGTTGAGTATTACGTTTATTGAGGTGCTCTTGTCGCTAGATATTTTAATTTGTGCGAGACCCAATATTGAATAGTTTTTCACAGCTTGGAGTAAAAGTCGCTCGCATATCAACATTCATCCTTGTAAAGTTAATTATGCATTTGAAATAAACTCCAGTTTATGTCTATATAATTTCTCTCTGGTGGTTTCATTACTAAATTATTTTCTTTCCGTAATCCGCAGGTAAAAAAACGCATCGTGATGAGGTAAAAATGGAATCCTATTGATCTTACGAGGATTATGTCTCAATATTCTCGAAAAGACGGCTCTGCCAGTAACAGGACTATCCCACATACACGAATTGAGGACGAAAGGCAGATAGAGGACATTTACGAATTTGGAGAAGTACTTGGAAGAGGGAGTTTTGGGGTTGTCAAGGAAGCAACGAACAAAGCAACGGGTAGTAGATGGGCCATAAAAGCTGTTAACAAGGAAAAGGTATGGCACAATGAAAAGTTTTATCGCCCTCAATCCAAGTGCAAAATGAATATAATTCCTCCGATATTATGTTAATGCTTTTTGTTTAGTTTCCGGTTGTTCACAATTTGTGAAACAGATTGAAAATCTTAAAGGAAAACCAGCTGGTTCTGATAAAGGTCAGAGGTGAAATGTAAAATTTCCGTGGTTGTAAATATCTTCCTGGCTTTATTATTCAGTGTATCACCAAGCAAATTGTTCGTATCCTGGACTTTAATCAAGTTATTTCTCTTACACTATAACCTATTGTTTAGATGTTTAGCACGTCAGCTATCGGCTCTTACAGGAGTGGGAAGTTTATCGTTTTCATTTAGAACAGAATTGGAGTTAAACTATGCTTAATATTAGTATTTCTTGGGTTATAATTTTTTTCTTTGAGAAAAATTTAATTTTGAATACAAACCAACGTTGTTCTCGAAAAGTTATTTACTGTCATGTCACATGCTTTTTGCAAGCCTGATTTACTAAATTAAGAAACAGTTATGTGCACACCCTTTCTAGAATTTTCAGGAGCTGTTTTCCAATGGTCCCCTACTGAGGGAATTTATATCTGTGATTAGACTGAAAGCACTACCCCTCTGTGACATCTAAAAATATGTTCCATTTCAATATCCTAACCTAGACCATACATTTATTAGAAACTTTATTTACATGTATTATAGTCCAACCTCAAAACCTTAATAATTATATTAGTGGTATATCCCATGTAAAATTATGTGCAAAAAGTGCATCTCTTTTTGTAATTGCCTTTAAAAGGCAACCTCAAAACTTTGACAGTTGGTCAAATTTCACCAAACATGCTTTATGCATGTAAGGCCTTGACTGATGTGAATTGCTTAGAGGCTAGCAAAGGAAGGGTCCTAGTCCTGCTTCATGCATAAATTTGTATAAAAATCCATAAGTCATGTGCACTTCGAAAAGTTTTTCATGCATCATGAATATAAAAGGGAAAACTTAAAATCTCTCCTAACCTTTCTAAGTTTATACACAACAATTATTAATTTTGGGCTTGATCATGCAGCACACTTAAACCCTTTGCCATCTTCCACTTGTATGCTTTACAGATACATAGAAACAATACCTAGAGTGCCTATTGAAAGTTAGCCTTAGTTTGGTGGGAAACAGGATTTGGAGTGAATTTTAAGACATGATAAAAAGAGGATTATAACCCAGGAGTAATTGATAATAGGCGTGCAGAATCTGATCTTGTATGCTGATTTCAATTTTGTCATTTTTGTTTTATGAAAGTTGCTAAATTTAAAGTTTTCAGTTCTCTTTTCATCCTTCTGAAAACATAAATGTCTTGAATTTCCTTTTCAGTAGGCAAGTAAGAAATGTGAGTTATTTTATATTTCTATAGGGATGTCTTTCAGAACACTCCAGTTCTAAGAGTAAAGTACATTGGTGATCAATATATCAGATCAACCCTTGACCTAGAGGGCAATTTCTCATGCCTGAATAAAAGATATAGACCACCTTTATTTATTACACCTCTTCAGTGCCGCACAAACCCTTTATATTCTAATATCAGTATGCTTATTCTCAATACTGTTTGGTCTACATTTCTTATGGTACTAATGAGAAATTTTTTTTTAATATTCAAGAGCATTTTAAGGTGATTATCATTTCCTTTCCTCTGAAAAGCAAAATTTTTAAAGCAGTAGTGATGCTGTATGAAGATATTAGATACTAGTCACCCTATGAGGTTTAGAGGTGTTTTGGTTTGTTTCTATTTGATAACTCTATAAAGCTATAGCTAGGGCCTTTTTTTCAGTTTTTAGACATGGTCAGGGTAATAATAATCAAAAGCATTTGTTCTCCACTATAGGCTGGTACTTCTGCTGTAAAACTTTTGGAGAGGGAAGTTCTAATTATGAAAAAGATTGATCATGAGCATTTGGTTCATTTAGAAGAAATATATGAAACATCAAAGGTTAGTAACCCTAACCTTACCTTATTTTTTGCAATATGTTATTTCTAGAAATAAAGAAAATGGCTAATTATTAGGGCTAGTGGTGGGAGGTCAAAGCAGGCCTGTTTATTTCGGTATGTACCAATATATTCTTTCAACACATCTGTTAAAGATATTTGGCCCTGATTATCCAAATGTTGTTTATGTTGCAGTGATGGTGTTCATGTCAAGTGATCATCATCATTTGATGAATAGGATTACCCACCATATGTCTGTTTTTATTTCAGCGCATGTATTTAGTGATGGAACTGTGCGATGCTGGTGGTGTACAGAAACTTCTCGAAAAAAAGACCCGGTTTACAGAAAAGGTATATAGTATATTTTTTCATACTTTTGTGCTTTCATCAGAATTTAAGGTCATTCTTTTGAAATAGAACTTGTGCTGTGATTTTTGTCCCACGTAACCTATTGGTTGTTTATCTTATAGGACCATAAATTTTGAACACATAGGAAACAATTCAGACAAATAAAGCAGTTTTGAAATTTTATTGGAAAAACATTTAATGTGTATTGATTGATTTTCAGGAAACATGGACAGTGATAAACCAGCTTGCTCATGCTGTGGCATATCTCCATGACTGTGGTAAGTGGAGAAACAACAGGCCTTCCTTAAGAAATTGAGTAAAAATGAGTTTAACTTTTGTCATGTTATTAACGCATTCAGGTTATTTTTAAATCTCATACACTAGTAGCCACATGAGAATGACTTGTAACATACAGGGTATATAGAAATAGAGTTTTGAGAATTTAGTGATGCCCTTATTGCTTGGGGTATTTGTTCTTGGTGGATCTTTTTACAAAATTTTTAACATAATACTGGGATGCAAAAAGCTTACACTGACTTGATTTTATTGATGTTGATTTTAAGATGAAAAAAATGCATTAAGCTAGACCAACTGTCTAGGAGACTAGATTAAGTACAGTGGCTGTAATTGATTAGCAAGGAAAGCTCCCAAGACATTCAGAAAGAAAGACAAAATGGGATATAAAGAAGATTACAGAAAATTGAGATCAATGAGTTGACAGTAATCAAAGGTCTGTTGTTCATTTAGAATGATTAATTTGTTTGTTTTTGACTCTTTTTTAAGATATTGTTCATCGAGATTTAAAACTGGAAAATATTCTTCTTGGTCAACCTGTTGGTAATGAGTTGTTAAATATCAAGGTAGGATGAATAAACAGTTTGGTTAAAAGTGTATCTGTTAGGCATAAGGGATCAATTGATTCTCCAGTAGTTATCTAGAAGTCTCCAGAATTCTGATTGCCTTATCTTTTTTTCATTCTAACATGGAGAATTCTCTTCACTTTAAACTGTTTTTCTGTTACTACATTTCCTAACAGAAATCCTGATTGATAATTCAGTGTCCTTGTTTGTAAATGCAAGCCTAAGCCAATAATAGTGGGCAGTTGAATGAAGTTTTGAAGGATTAATCCTGAAAAGGGGACAAATCATAATTATTTGTTAATAATTGTTATTATTCAATTAATCATAATTATTTGTTAATTGTTTCACCTTGCTGATCCACCTCGAAGTCTTCTATGAGAGGGAGTTTTTTAAACCCAGTATAGATTGTGTAATTTGCAATTTAAACCAAGGTGTTGCTAATGTAGTATTACAAACCTTCGTTTAGCATGTACAGTAATTGCATCTTTTTTATCTTTTACAGCTTACTGATTTTGGCCTTTCATTTGTGAAAGGAAGTGTTGGAAGTGATTCAATGATGCAAAGTGTTTGTGGGACTCCAATTTACATGGGTTTGCATAATTTTCTCTTTACCTTTCTTTAATTGTAAATAACATTGTAGTTTTGAGTTACATTTAACTCACTTAATATTAGATAAGAAATATATGTTATTTGCCAGCTGGGAGGTCTGTATGGTGAAAAAGGCTGCTATTTTTTGTGTAAGGATAAGGGAGATTTAAAAGGTTTCCAAACAAACTTCGAAAATTTATTTTTTACGAGTATCTGTCACAATCTGACACCTGTCAATTAGAGAGCACGTAAGAAAAAAAAGAGCATAAGAACATTTAAAAAACAATGGAACTAGTTTAGCAAGGACTGTCACAACAATGTTTTCTTCAAAAACATTCAATGATCTAATGGAAAGTATTATTCACTCTCATCGATGATTCATTCATGTATGAAGATTTACCTCTGTTCATTAAGTAAATGGCAAGGAAAGTAATTGTGAGTAAATATTTTGAAGTTGTGAGAGTTTGCTTGTTTGTTTGCTGCAATGGTGTGTGTAAATCTGGTCTTTCCTCCACAAAAAATTACATTCGAATGGCACACTCCAACGAGACACAAGGGGATTTAATGCGGCCTTTTCTCAATAAATTCCTTCAATTTCTGTTGTGCAATTTACAGTACAAATGTCCAAATTGAACAGACTTGGAAAGACTCACTGAGAGCATATATTTGCTGTAGAACTGAATTTAAAACTTTTAAAGCTTGCTCTTTTACAATGAACAAATTGTTTGGGAAAATTCAGATATTAAATGAATGAAAGTTCCATTGTTCAGTTTAATTGTAACCAAATACCTCACATTTTAACTTTCTAGGTACTTTTTGTGAATGATTAAAATTAATTGCAGACAGTTTTTAGGCCGCTTGTCAACCAATGTAATGACACTATTGCTTAAACAAATTCATTCTGAAACCAATATTTTTCTGTCAACCAAAGTGATTTGAGAGAGAGAAAAGAGAGGATTCATAAGTTATTTATTGGCTTGAGGTAGTGACTTGACGTGTTTGCTTAAAAATACTGCCCAGCCAGAAAAATGAGATGTATTTATGAAAAATGGCAAAGAAATTTGGGATGTACTCGGCGATTCATGAAAGCGTTACCATGGCCCATGGGCAGAGATAGGAAAATACTGACTGGGTAAAGAACCTATCAGATTGCAGGATTCCATGACAGGATGGAAAATGCGTGCACTGTAAGTACCTCCCTTTGTCCCATACAAAGCCTTAGAAAACTTTTCTAGGGGTTTGTATGGGACAACGGGAGGTACTTACAGTGCACGCATTTTCCGTCCTGTCATGTTACCATGCCCTCTAAAAAATAATAATATGAAATATTTTATTTTTTAATTGTAATAAGTAGATGCTTTCTTATTTGGAAGTAAAAAAAATTGTTTTGTATGTCATAAGTTTTAACTTTTATCAAATTGTGAATAGAGTTCAAGTGCTACTTGGGACAATTGTGCAATTGTGGAGAAGGTCACAAAATGAAAATTGTTCCTCTTTGTTGTGACTGTAGAGGGAACACACCCACTGAATGATCCATGCATGTGATCATTTTAAAACAGTAATTGCATTATCTTTGTGTTTCAGCTCCAGAGGTGATAGATGATCTTGGCTATAGTCAACAATGTGATATTTGGAGTATAGGTGTTATAATGTATACCCTGTAAGTTCTTTTACTCTCGTGCATAATGTAATTGTTTGTTAAAGTTTAGCTTTCTAAAACCCCATAACTACATGCAAGACACAGTATAAAGGAGTATGGATATTTCCTGGTGATACACTTTGTAACTTAGTCTTAAGGGCAAAAATGTTTTATTTATTTTATCTTTAAGTTTAACTGGGAGACCACCATTTGTGGCAGAAACAGAAGAAAAACTTTATGAATTGATAAAGAAAGGTGAAGTGGACTTTTCAGATCCCTGTTGGGAAACATGCCATGAATCTGGTAAGATTTAGTAATTTTGCCACTTATTGGATAATTTTGGAGTAAAGTCCTTGTAAGAGAAACAGCAGTTGCCCCTTTGAGACAGTCTGTAAATGGAGTGTTCTAAGGCAATTTCATCCATAGATATGTAAATTATAATGACTAGCACATAGTGTGAGAACTTTCTGAAAGGTACACTTCAGATATGTGGTAACTTTTTCCTCAACTTTCCAATTTTTTTCTCTTTTTTTGATGCATCAATTATCTATCCATAACCTGTTGTGTATTACATGAGTGTTATCACTAATTTGGGGCACTTTTTTATTTTAGCAAAAAACCTCCTTCTTGGAATGCTTAAAGTTGATCCAGCTTACAGACGAACAGCAAAAGAAATCTTGAATCACCCCTGGATTACTGTGAGTAACCACAAACCACAACTCACAGTAGCTGTTAAGTTGTGTATATGAAAGAGCTAGCAAGAGACCCTGGACTTTGATTAGGCGTTAGTCCTCAGTTATTGCTATGAAGCAAAGTGCTTTGGTGCAGTAACACAATTATTGGCTGCAAACTGGTGGACATCTCATTGCCAAATGATGAAACAAACAGCTATGAATTTTTAGACTTAGAAGTACAAGATCTTTAATTTGTGATTTTTATACATGAATACCTTCTAGGGTGATTCTGAAGCATCAGAAACATCAAATGTTCTTGAACTAATGAAAATGTACAGGGAAGAGCTCAGACAGGTAAGATCACTTGTGTTCAGTGTTTGTAGATGTTTTCAAATATCTCGGTGCTTTCAACTTTAATGTGTATAGTGCACTTATGATTTGACTTTGGGTTATGTTGTGTTTCTGGTTATGTTGTGTTTCTCCCAGTAGGATTGGTAAGTTTAGAGTAAGTACTCAGAAAAAGGTAACATGCTGTTGACATTATAGTTGTTTTCCATGTGTATTGTGATTGGTCAACTCAGCACACCATACCCTGCTGTGTGGCCCAGTAAAATTTATAGCTGTTTACATTCATTTGCCAAACTCTTTGGTTCTTTAGCACCAGCAATTCTTAACTTTTGTGGGAAATTGAAAATTTGAATCATTTGTTGTTAGAGCAGGCAAAAGAGGGAACATACCTGTGGATTTGAATTTACCTGTTCTGCTTTTGGCACACTGCACCCTTATGTAGCCTTCAATTTATAACCCACACATTGTATTGAAGGGGGGAATTTTTGTTGGGCAAATTGCAGTGCAAAATTTAAACTTGGTTTGTAAGAGTTATTAAGTGCTGTGTAAAACAAGATTTTCATCAAATGTAGTTTTTATTTGTTTAGAATTGAGTAGGCAGGATAGTGTGTATCAGAGTGTACAGGGCTTATCTTGTCTTTCATCCTTACAGGGCTCTGAAAGTCAAGAAAATTCAGAGACTAATAATAATATTAATTGTGAAATGGAAGATGGACTGGTGCCATCTCCTGGTTCTTCTTCAGAAAGTCCCAAAGAGGTATGATTGAGACAGTTATTGTGGGGAAACATTTACAATCTGCTTTTAGTCTCTTCCCTTTATAACGGACAGATACTTACAGATAGCTTACAGTAAATGCAACAAGGAAAAGGGAAAATAAAAGGTGTACATGATCTTCCTTTACTTCCCAGATCATATCACTTGCCGCCACCTTCATATTAGACTTTGAAAAGGCATCAAACCTTTTCTTGAATAGATTATGTTAAATTTTTACAGGAAAATGACAGAAAACAGAGTAACTCTGCTAAGGGTGCCTCGACACCAAAAAAGTCAGTTCCCTCAAGTAGCAGGAAATTGGTAGGTTGTACCCAAATGATAAATGATGTAATAACTGCTTAGCTTGTGTAATTTGTAGATACATTGTAGGAAACTCATTAGAAAGTAGGAACTTGTTGAATTTATATTCCAATGCATTGCTTCTCACTCATTATATGAAACAAGTAATGAGTGGTGCATTAGTATAAGCCACAGATCAGGAAGAGGGGGCATGGAGGGGCTGCAGTTCCCCTTCTAGCCAAAATGTTAGAAGGCTCACCCCCCCCCCCCCCCCCTCCACTCTGCACATTTCCGTAACAATGATATTGCTAGTGCAGCATAAAAGTAATTTGGCAGAATGTTCATTTGCGTGATATTTTAAAATGATTTCATCAGGATCCTGCTTAGAAAAATTATATGTAATTGGACCCTTTTTGTTTGAACAGCTTTGGTCTGTGCTCAAGAAGCAGACCTTTAAAAACATTGTTTGAAAATTTGGGTAAGGGTATGCTCTTGGGTTAGTACATGGGATAAGCTCCCCAACACTTCAAAGCCCTCTGTCACCTCTGGTTCAACCTAGATACATCATTCTTTAGAGCTCACAAATGCATGTAAATGAGTGGCCATGCAGGGGAGAGTCTTGTATAGTTACTCCTTGAAAAGGGTTTCACTTTTTTTAGTTGCAGGTGAGGTCAAGATTTCATGCTAAGGTTGCTTGCATCATCCTTTAAACATATGTGACAAAATGATTTCAAGAAGTTATTTCAAACCTAAACCTTAATTACAAGCCGCTTAACTGCATTTGTTCTTAACTTTTAAACCCGATGTGACATGATGTACTTACTGTTTCTTTGAAAGAGGTTAAATATTTAGGAGTGAAACATGTGTTTTTCAGTTAACTTTAATTGATTTGTTGATTTACAGTCAAATCAGACTCCACGTCGAGGAAATACAACCAATCAAATGGGGCCACCATCACCCCACCCACGAGACGCCCATAGCCCATCTAGATCACGTGACTCGCCTTCTGGTAGTGGCAAGTCAGTGCCTGGCTACATGCAGCCCACGAAAAGCTCAGGTGCTACTAAGGGGCCTGGGACTCCACGGACCAGAAAGACATCGGAGAAGAAAAGATGATGTAGAGAAGACGACGATTTATTAGATACTCTATTTTTTGAAGATTCCACAGAGAAAATAATTTTTTTGTTCTATTTTCAATCAAATTCTGCATTGATTGCTCATATCGAGACAAATAGTCTATGCAGTCAGAGGCCGGCAAGTTAATTTGTTAAGAATCGATTTTTCCTCAGTCATGACCAACTGTTTCTTGAAATGTGTTTTTTTTCCGAGAAATTTGGCCTTTGAAGTGGGAGCTTGGTGTATCAGAGGATAGCTCTGTGTGGCACTTCCCGCTACGCAAGATTGTGCGTGACAAAATTAGACATTGATAAGTCTTGGGGGTGAGAGTTAAATTTTTGTTCTGCAAGAACCTGTCAAGGAACAAGGCTGGGGCGGGACATTCCACAGTGTAGGGCTTTGATGCATTTTACACGAGTCAGAGTTGATCAAGTACTGTCTGTCGGTCTTTTTTCCTATATTTATAGTCACAGAATTGACTGCTGGAAGGAAATGTAGGTGATCTTTAAAATACTTATAATTCCACAAATAATAAGATATTTTAGGAAGGAATTATTCAAGCAAGTCTGTTTGCAAGTTGTTACAACACTTAACAGCATAGTTGCACCTTGCTATCTCAGACTTTCAACTTTTGTTTGTACGAATTATGTCTCCCAAGAATTGACTACAACTCATGTAGACTCTTACAACGTTATCATGCTTCAGGATAATGAGACGAAACTGTTCAAACAGATCACGTCTAGTGCTGTCATGAGTGGTACCAAAATTTTAGAGAAGTTGAACTTTGAAACGAAAACGGGAACGCTTTGAACCCAGGACCACCCTTTCACTTGCTTGAGACACTTCATTTATGGATTTTGTCGCTATTTTAAAACGAATCAATGGTAAGCTACAATAAACACAACTTTGGTATGGCCAACTCATGATAAGCTCGAAGTTCAGTACTTAATGTGGAGGTTGATCTATTTTCACTGTAGTTACAGTACGTTTATATTTATAAATAATTGGTTTTATTGTATTAGGAGCTCGAAAGAAGAAACCCAGGTCTTCAACTAATGTACAGAATATTGTTTCAAAGAAGATTCTGTAATTTATAGAAATTCCCATTCGGCTCATTTTACGCAGCCTAGTTTTACGTCAATTACTTGAAATATTGTAGTGTGAACAATAGCATAATAAACCGGCTTCCAGGTCCACAAATTTCATGTGTCGTGGTATTGTAAGTTATCTTTGTAAAATTCATAAGTTAAGTGTAATTAAAATATAGTCCAAGTCCGTCAATTTTAACTCGTCCGTAAGTTTCTCATCCCTGGATTTGCCTTTCCAGTCGCTCACGAGAACAATTTGGTTTCCGTCTGGTTTCGGGCACTTCCTACCAATTTCTGACGCTTTCGTCCGTTTTCGGATGGTACCGTTCAATTTCGAACGTTTCCATATGGGGAGCCATCTGTGCCAAAACAGGAATCGCTAGTGATAAAACTCAATCGTAAGTTCTAAAAACGGTTGTCTGTTCAACGGTAGAATCAGTAATAAGTCGATGCCAACACTAACGATTGACGTTTTGCGGTAGCGATTTCAATTTCAGTATCACAAACGATCGGTGGCAACACTGGCGATTGACATTGACTCAAGCGATGAAGGTTTAACATTATCGATTGATACTAAAAACTGGATGATATTTAGGGCTATCGATCTGCCTTTGTACTTTTTCCGATTTCGAAAATTTTCGTCCGATCTTAGAAGGGATGAGCGAGTTGAACTGCGTTGTAGCTAACCCAAACCTGTACCTCTTACTTCCTGAGTTCGAGGTCCGCAACCCGTAAACTTCAATACGGTTCGAGTAAACGTATCTATGAGTTCAAACAGAGGACAGTGAGGAGAGGGATTTAAATTTAAACAAACCTTTGAATTTAGCAGGTCATGGAGTGAAATACAGCCCACTAAATTGACCAATCATAGCGCAGATACTAACTAAGAGATATAACCATGATATTTATCTGTTTTCCTCAACGAAATTTACTGAATCTCGCAAGAAATACAATTTAGGAAAGAAGCTTCGCAGTGAATCATCCACCCCCACTTGGCATCACTCACCGTCAAAAGACATCGTTTAATGTTACAAGGCTTCGTTTAATGTCACAAGGCTTCGTTTAATGTAACAAAGCTTCAGTCACCAAGATTAGACATTCGTAGTCGTCCCACATCATTCGCCGTCATTTAACAAAACTGGCCATTATTAGACATCATTCAGTGTCATTACACATCGTTCAACTTCACTCACTATAATTTAACGTCACTAGGCGTCATCCATTTAAACAGTTTATCCGCATCATTTGCCGTTCGGAACTGAACAGAACCGTCCGAAAACGAACGAAAGCATCAGAAATCGGTAGGAAGTGCCCGAAACCAGACGGAAGCCAAATTGTTCTCGTGAGCGACTGGAAAGGCAAACCCAAGGATGAGAAACTTACGGACGAGTCAAAGTTGACGATTGACGAACATTTCACATTTCCTTTTCGCTCATAAAACATACCATTCAGAATACATAATACATTCATTTTGGCAAAGAAAAAAAACAATCCCTTACCAGGAGGCATAAATGTATATTATAACACTTTGAAGCTTAAGGCTTTACCAAGACTAAAACAGGAAAATTTTTTGTTTTCTTTTGTTTTTTGTGCGCAATATTTGTCAAAATTCTCTAGTGCTCTTTATCTATTTTTTCTTTCAATAATTGGACAGACATAAACTACGTCACAGCGCGCGCGGATCTTCGAGCAAAATTTCACCAAATCGCATGGTAGCATTCTTAGTTCCGTACAAAGCAGGCTGTGGTCTTACAAAACTTAAGTCATTGCATATGGCAGCCGACTAACATTTACATTTTGTGCAAGAATCAGTTAGTTTTTAATTTCGGATGTCATGTATGCTCGTGTGAAATGTCTTGCAGCTTTCTGTGACGCTTACACAGAGTATTTAGCTCTAGATAGCTATCCGCTGAGTATCCCCATACTCCACCAGCTTTTATATTTTTACGATTTCCAAAAGAGGAAAGGGGATGATGATTCTGTTGAACATTTGTTGCATCGTGGCCTTTTTGATCGTCATTTGTGAGGTATCTTCTTCGTTTAAAATTCAGTGTAGCTTCTTATACGCGCCTTTATATATCGTAAAGTTATTTCACTCCACAATGTAAATTTTTATCGTAAGGAAATTGTTACGAAACAAGTCTAGTCAGGGGTGAAGGAAATTATTCAAACACAAGAAATATGAAGTTTCGATAGTTTAGTTCCTAAAAGTGTTAGTAACTTCTAGAATTTTACTAATTCATCGTATTAATTGTGAGTTGTTTTCGTCTTGTTGTATGCACAACATGACGATGTAAGATGCAAGTGTGTATGTCCCAAAGAAATCAACAGAACAAAGAATGTATTTTAATTGCGAGGTATTTTCGTCTTGTTATAGGCACAGTATGACGATGTAAGATGCAAGTGTGTATGTCCCAAAGAAATCAACAGAACGAAGAATGTATTTGTCAAAACTGTGGAGCCAGAGGATTGGTAAGTTTTTGTTGAAATTGAAACACTATGCAGCGGAGACAGTTTAATAAGACACGTTCTGTTCGTACTCCGAATGAACGGTAACCGAAAGTAAACTTGGAAAAATATGTTTCATTTGATGTGTGGGCAGCAGAGCACAGCTAGAATTCTGATACGACACCTGGCAAAAGCAGTGTTGTAGCAGCTTTGAAAGGATGAGCTGTAAATTAAGCTTAGATTTGTGGCGTACTACTTTTCCAGTGAGAGCTGAAATTGATTCACAAGACTAACATTGAAAAGAAAAAGAATCAAAGGAAAGAAATACAAAAACCTTACACAATGTATACGATGGTTTAGCACATAAAATGCACTGATAGTTTGGGAGTTGGGTAAAGGTAAGGAAAAATATGAGCAATGAGCTGAATGTCTTCTTCTTTTATGTGGTAAACCATGGAATATTAAAGGGATTTATTCCCGTTAAAATCCTGAATATTGAGAAAACACTGCCTTGAAAACTGAACCATCTACTGAGGGGGTTATTGAGAGCCTTTCATGTTCTATAGTTGACATGACCAAGTTGTTGTCTGGGGGTGCCTCATTTTTAGAATTTACTGACTTCTTGAAACTGGCTGGTATATGTGGTAACTAAATTTGTAAAACATGGGTTTTAGTTTATGGGGTGAAGAGAGGTGTTAATGTTTAACCTCACCCCATCTTAATCATCCCTTGATCAAGTACTTCCATGTATAATATACCTGTGGCTATCTACTGAGGGAGAGTTGGCTGCAGAAATAAATTTTGGGTCTAAGGGTACTCACTTATCAATTTATTAATTCAGGATAATTATAGTAGCCATAGAGATGTATCTCTAGATTCAGGTTATTTTGTGGTGTAATCATATGGCTTCTGACTATTACAGCAACAATTATTTGCATTTTGATGTTTTTTTTATCTTGCAGCAATTGTGGAAAAGTTGTGCAAGGAGATGAGAAGTACTGCTTAAGATGCCGTTGTGAGTATGAAGCCAGGAACACGACTCTCATCAAGGTATAAATATTAATATGGTTACAGGAGATGTCTGCTTAAACATATTGATGAACTTGACATTTCTAAGAAAGCTTCCTTATTAAGTGTTAAACCCAGTCAAGCCACTACTTTTTGAGTTTTTGGATACATTTGTCTTGTCCAATTTTTGTCACCTTAATTTAAACTTGATATTCCTTTTCAATGCTGCAAATATTTCCTTCCTTGATTTTTTTACTCTGTTTTCTTCTCCTTCATCAGATCTCTAGACTGCCTAATTTTTTAGCAGTATATAGTGATGTAGCTTGATTTAAATTTATCAGCAAACTCCTTTCTCTGTAGGTTACTCTGATTAGTTTGCCCATGTGTCCTGCTTAGGCTCCAAAACAGTTATTCTAAATACCAAATCACTTTCAGCTAGGTAGTAGCAAACCTTTTCTTAGATACATTCAACTATAAAATTTGTCAAAACATAGTATTTGCTGTATAGTTTCAATGAAAGTTCAAATGGCCTTCTTGAAAAAAATCAAGTTTTGAAACCACAGGATCACAAACCACTTTAGTATGCTACCCAACATCCCCCATTCAATGTTTCCCAGTCCCAGCTAAACTAAGCATACCATTAGATAGGGTGTGAGGGGTTCAACAAAGATAAATGGGAGGGGGGGGGGGAGAAGGAAGAGGCTCAAATAAGTAATGTGTTTCAGAATGCTGTGATCTCACTGGTAATGTGTCTGCTGTTTTGTGGTTGTTTTGTCTTTATTTGGTATTAGGAAATGCTTGAAAAGAATATAGAGTAATTTATTGATCTATCCTGGTATTAATTTCTTTGCATGGTTTATTGCTTTCACCTTTAGGGATGTGATTAGAACTGATGTCTTATTAATAAGAAAAAAGTTACTGAGCCTGATATAAGTTGATATTCACCATAAAGCCATGTTGATGCATTGAGGTTGTTCTCCCACCATACAAATGTGAAACAAATAAGTGATATGGTACAGGACTTGTGACTGTAACCATGAAAAGCTAAAAACAGGGCAAGTTCAAATTTTATGAGCAGCAAATGCAATTAAGTGTAAGACAAAGATCAACCTCCAGCATGGAAAACAATAGGTAAAGACTTAACTGATGCTTACCTAGAACAGGAAATGTGAATTAAAGGGAGGGTAAATAAAGGCTTAGGGTGACACACATTTGGAAAACATTTCACGTGACTTGCTTTCATGAATCAGAGAAAGGTACTTTGAGAGTAGAGAGTCTAGCTCAAGAACAAAATATAATGGTAAGGGCCAGTAGGCCTTATTATGAGGGTAAATGAAATGTTGGCAAGGTTAAAGCCAAGTCAATACATTGGCTTCACCTGTGAGATAATACAATAATAATAATGATGATGATAATAATAATAATAGTAATAATAATAAGAAGAATGATAACAATTATAGTTATTCAGTTTATTTAAAAAGGGTGGCACCGAAGAGTTAAAATAGCTTATAAACTTGTGGCCCTCTATCTAAAATATAACAGAACTTACTAGATACTACATCTATGTGTACACAACTTGTACATAAAAATTAAGAGGTAATGATAAATTGAATGTTGAACTATGAAATGTCTGTCTATGCCAACATCAAACTACAAAAAATTAACATCTCTAAAATCATAACAAAAATACAATACTCAGTATTATAGGTGTATTAATAAAGTATAAAGTGTTGTAGTTTCTAACGTCTCTATAAGAGAGTCCTAAGGTGGTTTGCAGGAGCATTGTTATGTGCTTTTGTTCAATTTCCTGTACTGCTTTTCTTGCTTTGTCTCCCTCTCTCCTCTTACTTTTGGGTCAGTACTCATTCACACTCTGTTCTCCAGGTTTTATTTAGACAGACTCCTTGGGGTGGGCTGTGGCAGGAGTGGAGGGTATTGCTGCCCCCTGTCATTATTTATTACTTTAAGGCATCAATCTTACAATACCACTACCATGGTGTTTTAGTAGGCTCTTGTACTACAGATTTATATTCATAGCAGATTACTTGCAGTGTACTTACATTTTGGTATTTTTTCCATTATTTCTGTTCAGCTTTTTTTTTTGTTCTGTATCTCTCTCCAGGTGGTGATCATATTCATTCTTGTTGTAATTGGAATTCTTTGTTTTTACCTGCTGTATTTGTTCATTGATTCCAAGCGCAAGCCTGTTGAGTTAAGCGTCGCAGCTGATGAGGTAAGGTGTAATTTCTCAGTTTGTTTACCAAGCAAGCATTTTTACTAGTGTATCGTTCGATACCAACCACACCCATACCTATCTACCTACCTACCTTCTTTCTGTACCTTGTGTCAAAGGCCTAAGATTGTTTGAATAGGACCTCAACATTCCCAAAACAGTTCTGACACAACCTCCTCTTCAGGGCACTTAAGTTTGAAACCAGAGGTTTCAAAGTCAAAATTAAAGTTTAAGGTAATATTTGAAATTACAGTTATAATAAAAAGAAAATAAAAGTGATGAGGAAGCTCACGAGAAACCTTCAGGCTTTATAGTATTGAGCTCACTCGAAATTTCAGACCTATCATGATCAATTATTAAAACTTCTTTTTTCGGATTGTTCGTTATTATTTCACTTCACGTATTTTTAGACAATGTGTCAAGGCTGTTATACCGAAAGTTTGTTTTGTGACAGGCATGAGAAATCGATTGGCAGGCGTGGGCTTTCGAAAGATTGAAGTTGTCAGTGACCCTAGGCGTTAGAACTGACGGGTACACCTCCCCTCTCAGCCTCATTCTCGGTTGAAACTTCTGACGTGAAATTTCTCGATCTCACACTTATAGATACAAGAAACATTGCGTGGAAGAAGAGCGAGAAGTTTGAGAAATTTTGACGAGAAGCTAGCAAAATGGAAGAAAACTGTTGCTGAGCAAAGAAGGAACATTTATGGGACGAGAACCATGCTAAGTTAGATGCAATGTAAAGAAAGATGTGCCATTAGGATAAATGTAATGAAGTGGTCGCAGTTGGAGTGGCCATCCTGTTGAGGCACGCCTATCTCAAGCTCAGTTGCCAAAGTTCAAATGTCTCATTCTCATCAGTGGCCAAACTGAACTTCTCCTTACAATTTCCATCTATTTGCAAGCAGAAAGCTAATGAGAAGTAACAAAAAATCAACGAGGGGATATCGTATGATTTTACACCAATTCTCAAGTCTTGAATCATAAAAATGTAGGAACGATAATTTCAAGAACTGATAATATGTTGGGAGGGAAAGGGTTAAAATACGAAGCGAGACGATACATTTTAACTGTTGCAAATATTGTTTTGTATTGTAAATAAAGGAATCTTTGGCTTTTGAATAAAAAGTAAGCACAGACTACCCGTGTGGGTTTTCAGGTATTCTGTATGGTATAACTGAAGAAGCACTCTTTCCATCTATTGTGTCCACAAAATACGCTGACATCTGACAAATGCATTTACTCCGCAGTTTCCTGATCACTGTTTGGAAGGCAAATTATGCTAACTGTGACGGAGAACAGCTCATATCATTGGTAACCCGTCTGTAGACCTGTATGACCTGAATGGCCTGAAACCAATGATCATACGCAATGATTATATCAGTGCAGTACTGAGAATATAAATTATTAGTTCAGGTTATTTTCAGATGTGTTGTTAAACTTTAATCCGACGACGACTTCTTTTGTATTCTTTATATGCTTCGTCCAGTACAGTGCCATTTGGAAACTTTTAGTATTCAACTGAAATGTCGATATGCAGAGATTCTTGAAATTCATATCTGGCTGAGATTGTGTGCTTTCTTAAACGAATCAAAAGTATTTCAACTCCTTAAACATAAACAAAGTGGAAGTTTAACATTACGCGACAGCCGCCACTTTCTCAAGTCAAACAGGTAGTACATCCAACAAGTCTTGGAACACTCCTTGCAGCACAACTTTTTTTATCACTAACTTGTTTTATCACGAAGCTCCGATGTATCACAGTTTCTATAAGATATTCACTGACCGAGTTCTGAACAACAAGCCCCAATTAGTTTGCAAAAGGACTTTGTTTGTCAAATATCTGGAATAGAAAATCCAGTTGTTGTCGTAAACACGATGGCATCAATGGAATAAGTTATTTGTTGTTGTTGTTTTTTTATTTTACGTCAGGGGAGTACTTTCTTTACCGTATGAGTATTGTTGGCCTCACGCTGTCCGAGCACTAGCTCAATCCGAACTCTGAACATGCCTAAGGGTTACAAGGTATATGAACTCTGAAAAAGAATTCGGGCGAAGTATTTGAAAATTTAAAGGTACGTGGTTTTTCTTTCGAAGACCATGAGTTAGATACAATGTGCGGCTGTTTCCTTTTGTTTTGTCTACCTCTTAAACTATAGGTTTATAGGAAATCTGCATGTACATGTGCATGTGTTTTCAACATATGAAACTGGGATTATGACTACTTCAAAAGACTTTACTACATGCTGTATAGGTACAGGCAGGTGTTGTAAAAAAAAGTTTGCTCAGCTTTTTCATTAGTACACATTTCTTTTTCTGAGAATTTTGTTTATCCAGCCTGTGCGAAATTTTAATTTTTCAACCAAATGTTGTTATTTTTTTTAATATTATTAGATCTCCAAGTATAAAATAATTACATCAAATCTTGCAGATGTATGGCACTTTAGTTTTTCTCTGATCCTCCTAACATTTTACCATGTGAAGGGACTGGTATTGGCTATAAAAGTATAGTCAAATTAAAGTTTTTGCCTATGCATCAAGTTTTTGTTATAAAATATTGTATCCTTCTTAAAACTAGTTTATCAGAATAAGAATGAGTTAATATGTTTTTAAAACCTTCAAGCAGTATCGTGACTGGCGATGCCGCAGAGACACCTGGGAAATTTGAGCCCACGTTGAACAGCAATGCGGCTATTCATTCAAAGATAAATTTGAGCGGCCATTTTGAAGTGTCATGAGAGGATTTCCTCGATCTTTTGGAATGGAGATTCGATAGATGAAGATAAATACTTGGTATGCTTTATTTAAATTAACTAGCAAAGTTTTTTGTCCGTATAGTCATTAGAGATACGCTTAATCTAAGATGAATAAGCTCGCCACTCGTGTTCTACGTTTCTAAGTGCTTCAAAGTGCTGCTTTCGTATTCATCAAACTACGTAACAGCATCGTAAAGAGTAATTTCTCTTAAGCTTTTTCTCGAGGAAATTTGCAAGTTCTTGCTCCACATTGAAAATAATGTTGGCGATATTCATCACTAGTAAACAAAGTCAACGACTTGTTCCTCTGAAACATTTTCAAGGAATTCTTGATTGCTCGCAATAATCTGAAGTTCGTCATGTTACAAACCTTTTTTTATCACCGTTTTCAGCACTCCACTGGCTACTTTACTTACGAGAGAAGCCCAGACGGTTACTGATACTGTTCAAGGTTAGATACAGTGAAGTAGAAAATGAGATGGTAACGAATGACGTCATTGAATCAACAGCTCTCGTCCTTAAATGGTCATCCTTTTAGGATCACTGCCTCGTAAGCGATGCCCAAGCTCGTCTCATTGTAGTACAAGTAAGTATTAAACAATTTCTTCTTTGGTATGTAGTTACTTACGTGTTACAACTGTACCTGTTGCATGTAAGGGTAAGACTACCTCTCTACCTGCTTTGTACGTAAAACGTTGAAGACATTTTGTAGAAATGATGGTGCAATTGCGACATAAAAAGTTTCGGGCAAGATAGCCTCATGTTACCCGCTTGGGCTGTCAATCAGATCACGAGATTCGCCCACTCTTGGGGCCAGCCATATGGTAGAAATCTTTATATTGCTGCGATGCTACAGCATTAATTACTCTGGCCCAGTGGAAGAGTTGAGCGCAGATGTTTTTGTTCTCATGGGTGGAAAGGGGTATTGTAAGAGGATAGTGTCTTGCTCATACCTCAGCCCAATTAGCCGCCTACGTCTGGATCCCAACTTGCACTCGAACCCAGGCTCCAGCGCTCTGGTATCCATTAGACCACCGGCGCTTATCTTACTGAACCCTTTGACCCCGAGTGATTGGCATTTGATTTCTCCTTTCATCATCACCTTTGAATCAAATAAAAAGGTCGTGAGAATGTAGGAAATAGTCACCAATTTAAGAAGCTCCTGATTGTTAAACAAATTCTCCTTGTCAGTACAAAAGGAAATGTAAAGAGAACGATCAGGTGGAGATGGATAAGGCTGGTTAAGATTGAAACGGATTTCTTGAAGAATTCTGGCTGAATTTTCACGATACGCGAACTGTGACTGCCAATGTTAGGGAAGAAATGGTTCTATTGCATCAAACTTACGTAATTGGTGTCTGCAGTGCTTTTAGCAAGACCCGGAGCTCCGGCGGGTATTCGCCGGGTATTCGCTGGGTACACTTTGCCACGTCTAAGTTAAATTTACAGAACAAAAAGATGAATCAGTAATAAAAAGTAATAGTCAATTTAGCATTGGATCATTCATCGTATCAATTTCTGTAGGCTTTGATTTTTAGATTTTAATTTCATTCTTTCACTAGCAGTTTTTTTTCTGCATGTTTCGCGTGTTCTTTATAAATTTAGAAGTACATCGTCGGTTACTTATAATAATTTCTTTACAACTTTGTTTGGAACTAAAATCGTCAAAATAACTTTGAACAAATAAAACAACAGCAATTCTCTTCAACTGCTAGTTCGTAAATAAACTCGACGAGACGAGAATACTCCTGGAGTTTTTGCAATTAGTAAAGCTCGTGGAATTCATTGCCGGATATCTTTAATTTCACTCATTAAAAAAACCAAAGACAAAACACACAATATATTATTTTATATTGTTTTTGTAGACTGCCTAACCCGTATAAACATAAGTTTTGATAAAAATGATCGATATTGTCTTATCATATACCTGGCGAAAAAAAAATAAGATTTTGAGTTTCCAAGAACAGACTGTCTCAAAATTCGGTTACCAGTAACCATATGTCTAGCAGAAGAACTGAAAAAAAAAAAAACAGTATGTTGTGAATTTCCTGCCTTTCGTGCCTGCATGTCTTTATCTCTGACGTATGTGAGGTCTACATCGTTTTCTGTTGTAATCTTCAATTCTTTTCTTGCGTAATATTATACATTGTTTTATGAGCTTCAGTTTTTTTACGGTCTAAATACTAGTTTCAGACATCATCCGTATTCCGGTTCCTGCCCAACAATTTCGTTTCAATTTCCCCCATAGTAAGTATTTTAATCGCATTTCAGCCTTTACAGCTACTTTGGTTCCTCCAAGAAGTGTCTGTGCGCGCTATTCGTTTATTTAGTTGTTCCTCCAAAACAAGGGAAGTTTTCTTCAGGGAGTGATTGAAAACTCTTAATAGTTATTTAGTATTGGTAATATCAATCAAAACAGGAAGAAGCACTTATGATGCAGATTTCTGTGTAAACTTAAACAGGTGCAAAAAAATTGGTACGTTCTTGGTTTCACTCCCATTTTCAGCTAGGAGTTAGTGTTATAAAAATGAGCTGTCAAAAGGAATCAAAAGTTTTCTTCTCCAACTCTTTTAATTTACTTCTTTTCATGACACGTGATGATTTGCTTGATGTCCGAGCCACATTGGTTAACCGCAATACTTGACGAAGCACGTGGGCGAAAGGATTAAGTACCATTTTGATGAGATTTTAAGTACAAAGTAAACTGATAAAGAGACCTAAACAGACTAAAAGAAAACCGCAAATGAGCTATCTGACACAATAACGACACTCAACTGAGTTGTGAGGGGTGTGTGGGTGGATCATTTCATGTGACGCTTCGAGAATATTCTAGTCATTGCATCGTGTCAAGTATTCTAATGGTTAGGAAAGGGCGATTTTTTTTGTTTGACGTCGTTTGTTTGTTCTCTGGCGTTAATTTTACACGTGCTTCTGGATATTTAAGCGGACGGATCATTTTATTTAGGAGCGTATTGCATTCTTATTTTTGTAAGATACGTGGTTTGTAACTAGCTAAAAGATCATCACAGAACAACCGTCTGAGAAAGTGGATTAAAAATTTTTCTGACAAATTGTAAGGTAGAGAACCAAAGCATAATCTTAAGAAACAGATAATTTAATGACCGAAAAAAACTCACCCAAAGGGGTATAATTACGGCGAGACCTTGTATGGTAGCTATGGTAATGCCTGGATTTGAGCTTATAATCTCAATTTGGCTCAAATAAAGTATGAGGGAATTTAAATGATTTAAGTGTTTGTTTCTATGTGTCTTTTCAGTAGTCTATAGAAGTATTTGCTTATCAACATCTCACCCCTCACAGTCTTTTGAGTACAACCATTAAGTATATTGCACCAGGCTCTGTTCAACAGTGCGTCTCAGCACTCAACTTAACATTTGACTGTAAAGCAACAATTTTGTGCCTAGAACGACTCTTAGTTGTAAGTAAAATATGAAGTCCCCTAGTGGGCTTTAATGAAGCACATTTCTTTCGTAAAGATTTCTACTCTCCTGGATTGAAATTGGGGTAATGAATTTTCACTGCGATACGCTTGCGTGAACATCCGTAGCAAACATTAAATACTATACAAGTATTCATGTATTGTTTTCCTTGGGATAACTTTTCACAGGAAACTGGACTCAATAGGAGATGAAGTGAAAAAAATTGGATGCCTTATTTCGTATTGGTTTTGTTCTATATTTTAAAATAAGCGACTGTCACGTTCAAGTTTAAGGCTGTTACGCTCTGACTCCCCTGTGCTACTATATAAAAGTCTGCATCATAGTTTTGACGGCGTAAGAAAAACGCCTTCAGCGGTTCCCATCAGCGGGAATTAAAGTTACATAAACTTTGAATTTGTTCCCGTCTGATGGAGTTTCATACAAATGAATGCATTGTATGGAATTGTTTGAAAGTTGATAACTCGTTCTTGTAGACTTCCCACGCAAAGTATTTGTTTCACTTAATATAATGTCTTAAATGAGCTCTATAGAAGAATCTTCGGCACTCACCGCAAACCACAAGAATTATTTATTGCATAATCCTTTGATTCAGATGGTCAACCGTCGAAGAGAATTCCCGGTGACCGCTTGCTTGTCGCGTTGCATGACTCTTTACAACACGCGTGGCGAGTACTTCGGATGGCGCTTACTTCAGGGGGGCGCGCGTGGGCGGCCGGAATCGCACGACACTCGCGTTTTGAATTTGTGCACTTCTTTGACATTATACATGCGGCCGGCATGCGAACGCTACAGGCCGGCATGAGTTAGGCGCGTGTGCAGGTTTAAACTTTTTATACGAGCACTTAAAACAACAATTCCGTAAGTTCCGCATATGATTTGAAAAGACACTTAAGCGCTGGGTGTGCCGAAGAACACGTTTAGCTAGTTAGCTGCCTTATGTCAAGTATGCTTCTCTTGATGAATAGACCAGTCATATTGTCTGCACTGGCCCTAAACCTGACCTGTCACGTATAATGTGGTGCACCCGTATGACGCGTTTCACTTCAGCCCCCGCCATTAACACAAAGTTACTTGCTTTGCACCTGGCACGAATTCATAGTTAAGCAAGTCGAAGCATGGTACCCCAATCGTTAGGTGTTCCACTGAATCTTCTGATGACATTTTAATTTGGAGACTTTTTTCTCAGTGAAACAAATTCTGTAGTACAGTTTTCCCATTGCGTGCGACGGCCACGGGACTGTCATGCGTATTCTTCAATTTGTCGTACGCGATTAGGAAGTACATATTGACTGAGTGGGAGTAGTTGAATACTTGGCTTGAGGTCAAGCACAAGGTCCTTATTTATTCTAACTCTAAGTCTACAAATGGAATTCACGTTATCGGGAAATTCACCAGACTCGTGTGGGGGTGAACGGCTTGTACCTTGCCTACCTAAGTTAAGTGTACGACCCCACCCACTTCAGATTTTTCATGATTGTTTTTATGAGATTGTGTGAGCGGGCGCTGTACTGGTCATATGATAAGTAAAATGATGGCCCGGTCAAGAGATTACGCAAGCACTCCCCTGGCTTATGACTCTTTGCTTACTTCTCTCTCTAAAAAAATAACCATGGAGCTAAATGTAAGCCTCCGCTGCTGGGGCTTTGCCTATAAGACTACTTCGGTATTGCTTATTTTAGCAGAATAGAGAATATGTGAACCTGCAATCGAAGACAGATGCTGTTTAGACGAATTGAATTCCCCTACTTCTGGCAAGCATTTTTAGGAAACGTCAGCTTCTACTGAATTTGTATCTCCATCCTCTTTTAATATTCTTAAAAATGGCGAAATTTGCATGTTGAGGAGAAAAACGTTCGAAATGAATTTGACAAGAAATGATAGGAGAGGAAGAGGAAGACCGAATGGGAACTAAGGGCAATTGTTTCTAGAGGTTTGATCGCCATTATAACCAAAAAATTTCGTATTCCGTGACAAGATCCTGGAACTCAATGGTAGCACCTGTCAGCGGTAAAACTGAGACTCTCGGATTCCACTCAAGGACTCAGTGATTTTTCTTTCTTACACTATTTCCTTGTACATTGTTGTTGCATTTTACTGTGGTGGAGCTCAATGCTCTTTTGGCCGA